GCTTTTGCCTTGCAAGTGGCCGACCCGGGTTCGATTCCTCCGTCCCTCTCAGAGAGCCCAGCAAACTACCGAGAGTATGCTGCCCACACGGCAGAGCCTGGCAAGCTACCCGTGGCATATTCAATTACCAAAAACAGTAACACCAAGTCTCACAATGGAGACATTACTGGTGCCCGCTCTAGCAAATCGATGAACAACAGGAGGACAGTGCTACAGAGCTACTATTAGTCTTCAGAAAAAGTATGATTATGTCATCTTTAATTCTGTCACCTTTTCTTTTCGGTCCATCCCCAAATGGACTCAGGACTTAGTTCTGGCCCGGTGCTGAGGGACCACTCAGGGACCACAATGGACCATATGTGGTGCCTGGTATCTAGCCTGGGTTGACGATATGCAAGGCAAGCACCTTATCCACTATACTGTATCTGGTCCCTCTCTCATTCTCTTAATGTCACTCTTTCTCTTAACTCCATCCTGCGCCCAGCTGGTTGACATGTCTTTTTATTCTTCCTTAATGCCGTTGTGATTCCTTCCTCTGCCACCTTTAGTGCTAATTCAAACCTTTAGCCTTTATCACAGTAATATCCTTTAATGGTTCTGTCCCACTAGTCTCTCTAAGTCAGTAATAGCAGACAAATATTACTAAAGCTCTCCAATAGCTCTCCTATTATTGCTCTCATGCTCAAATTGTATAATTGCAGTTTATTGTTAGCAGAATCAGTAAAAATCCTAAATCCTATCTCATAAAGATAAGATCTTCCAAAATACACTTCCTTTCCCTTACCTTCATACAACTCTCTTTTTTCTTTCTTTTTTCTCTTTCTTTTATTTTGGTGGGGGATAGGGGGAGTAGCACATCAGGCAGGGCTCAGGGCTTAAACCTGGATTTGCACTTGGAGATCACTCCTGGTGGGCCCTGGGAACCATTTGAGGTGCTGATGATTGAGCCTGATTCAGTCGTGCGCAAGAGCTCTACCTGCTAAACTCTCACCAGTCATGAACTCTCTTTTATAAACTCATCATGCTTACTTTATAATGTCCAATAACACGCTGCTCTTTGCCCATCCCTACCTCTAGTCAGCCTGTCTTCTCTGAATGCTCTAGATATGGCAAAATCCCTCCCGGACCGCAACATCCTTCCTGACATCTATTATTATCTGATCCTTCAAGTGAATGTGAGTCTTGCTTCTCTTGCTATTCCCAAAGCAAAAGACCTATTTTTTCTTCTCCCTGTAGCATTTGGGCAGAAGAGGTATACAGTAATATTTATCAAACTGTTCAATCAAAATTATAAGAATCACAATCATCTTTTTATGAGCATTCATACAAGCAGTTACAGAGTCTATACTTTCAAATCAGAATATATGGCCACGTGCAAGGTAAACGCATCCTGTACTGTTTCCCACAGCCTCAAGGTGAAGATTTTAATAATTAAATTATTTTTAAATAATTTATATTTTTCAGCCCAGTGTCTTTTAAACTCAACCTTCACTTTGTCTTTTGTTTCTCTGGGTCTCAAAAGTCGTAGATTGCCTTTATTCATATCCTCTAATATAGATCAGCTCCTACTAAGTTTCCTCACTCACTAGAAAACTATATTTTTTCATGATTTTCTTCATAATTTGTCTCTTCTCTGAGACTCCTGTTCAGAGGAGGCCAAGTATAGGCCCCTTTTAGGACCTGAATTTTTTGTTTTTATTTTTATTTTGCTTTTTGGCTTACACCCAGCATGCTCAGGGGTTAGTCCTGGCTCTGCACTCAAGAATTACTCCTGGTGGTGCTGGGGATTGAATCCAGGTAGGCTGCATGCAAGGCAAACGCCCTACCCACTTGCACTATCGCTCCAGCCCAAGGACCCGAATACTTACTGGGCCAATTAAAGTTAATTCCTAATACAATGAGAAGACTTGAATTCTAATTGCTAGTAGATATATTTGAAATAGTTAAACTTAATTTATGTCTTGACACGGGCCCACTTAATCAATAATTTGGGGGCTGGGGCATACCCAGCAGTGGTTGAATGTGGGCCTCTTGCATGCAAAGCTTGTGCTTAGCTCACTGAGCTCCTTTTGGCTCCTTCATTAATTTTTAAATAATAGAAATATATTTGCAGCATAATTTCCTGTTCTCTGCTGAAGTGAAAATGGCACTCTTTGAGCACTCCCAGAGATTGGTCCTGAGCACAGAGCCAGAAGAACCCCCGAATACTACCATGTATAGCCCCCAAACAAAAAGTCCTAGAAAATGGAAAATAATTTATGGTAACAAAAAGCAGGTTAATAATTGTTTGGGGTCAAAGGTGAAGGTTGAGGATAGAATAAGGTGGTGGGGAATGAATTACAGGGTTACACAGTGATGGATATGTTCATTATCGTAATTGTGGTGATGTGTATCAAAGGAATGGGTGTGTATGTTTTTAATATAAACAGACATGTGTTTATTCTAAAGTTAGCACTGTAGCACTGTCCTCCCGTTGTTCATCGATTTGCTCAAGTGGGCCCAGTAATGTCTCCATTGTGAGACTTGTTACTGTTTTTGGCATATTGAATACGTCACAGTTAGCATTCCAGGCTTTGCCATGTGGGTGCGATACTCTCCGTAGCTTGCCGGGCTCTCCAAGAGGGGCGGAGGAATCGAGCCGGGGTCGGCCTGGGTCGGCTGTGTGCAAAGCAAGCACCCTACCCGCTGTGATATTGTTCCAGCCCATACTAAAGTTAATGAAATATAACTCTTTAAATATGTTTAGCTGGGGGTATGGTGCTGCCAGCAGGTCAATCTGTACCTGTGAGGCGAGTGCATCAGCAGCCTGATGGTGCCTTCAGACTTCCAGATAACCCAAAATTACTGCTCTGCCTTTGGCCAGACCCCAAAAACTTGGGGCAAAGTTTACCAAGAAAGTTAACAGCCAAAAGTTAGGTATGTGGGAGACACACCCACAAACCACCTTGACTCATCTATATAACTGGAGGCATAGCCTCTCTGGTTCCTGATCGAACTGCTTAACGGCCATGATCCGAGAGACTCAGAAACAAATCTCAAAACCCAACAGCTTTTGGCAAAAATGCGTCCAGTCCCTGCAGTAGGTTACCGGTGCCGGACCACCCCAGGTGGGAATAGATTTCATGCCTTGGCCTGTTCCCCCTAGCGGCCTGGTGACTGCCATCCTCCAGAGGCCCCTGGACAGTCAGGTTTGGGCCCGCAGTGATGAGACACATGGGGCCTCACGGGATGGGTGTGCAGCTGGCCCTTTCCTCCCTGTCCCAACAAGACCCCAAGCTGCCGCCCACGAACGGCCTCTCTGGCTCCTGATCAAGCTGCTTAATGGCCATGATCACAGAGACTCAGAAACAAATCTTGAAACCCAGCGCTTTTGGCAGAAATGCGTCCAGTCCCTGCAGTAGATTACTGGCGCTGGGCCACCCCAGGTGGGAATAGGTTTCGTGCCTTGGCCTGTTACCCCTGGCGGCCCGGTGGCTGCCATCCTCCAGAGGCCACTGAACAGTCAGGTTTGGGCTCGCAGTGATGAGACATGTGGGGCCTCACGGGATGGGGGTGGAGCTGGCCTTTTCCTCCCCGTCCCAATGAGACCCTGAGTCGCCGTCCACAAAAGGCCTCTGTGGATCCTGATCAAGCTGCTTAACGGCCATGATCCCAGAGACTCAGAAAAAAATCTTGAAATCCAGCGGCTTTTGGCAGAAATGCTTCTAGACCCCGCAGTATGTTACTGTCACCAGGCCACCCCAGGGGGGAAAGGGTGCTGTCCCTGCACCTGCTCCCCCGTGGCGGCTCAGTGGCCGCCATCCGCCAGAGGCCATTGGACAGTCAGGTTTGGGCCCGCAGTGACAAGACACATAGGGCCTCATGGGATGGGAGTGGAGCCTGCCCTTTCCTCCCTGTCCCAACAAGACCCTGAGTTGTCACCCACGAACGGTCTCTCTGACTCCTGATCAAGCTGCTTAATGGCCATGATCCCAGAGACTCAGAAACAAATCTCGGAACCCAGCAGGTTTTGGCAAGAAACCCCTCCAGATTTAATTGTTAAAATTTTGGAATTTCAAAGTCACACAGCCACTACTGCAGCTGTGCCGGGACATCATATGTTATTCATAACTGGCAATAGGAAACAAATTGTCTACTGTTGCCTTTTCGGCAGATCTGAGTGCTGGGGTAAAGGTAAAGGTAAAGGCCCTCCCGTTGATCGTCGATTTGCTCGAGCGGGCCCAGTAACGTCTCCATTGGAGACTTTGTTGTTACTGTGTCTGGCATATCGAATACTCTCGGTAGCTTGCCAGGCTCTCCGGGAGGGGCAGAGGAATCGAACTCGGGTCGGCCATGCTGGCCGCGTGTAAGGCGAACGCCCTACCTCTGTGCTATCGCTCCAGCCCAGTGCTGGGGTAAAATGCCAAATAATAATGTGGGTCTGGTGTCAAAATATTGAATGTAATCAAAGTAAAGAGAGAGAGTAATGTGGAAATCATCTGCCCTACAGGTAGCAGGGAGGGTGTGGGAAGGGGGTATACTGGGGTTTTTGGTGGTGGAGAAAGGGCACTGGTGAAGGTATGGATGTTTCACTGTATGACCGAGACTTAAACCCGAAAGCTTTGTTTATTTATTTATTTTTTGCTTTTTGGGTTACACTTGGCGATGCACAGGGGTTACCCCTGGCTCATGTACTCAGGAATTATTCCTGGCGTAAACCCGAAAGCTTTGTAACTGCTCTCACGGTGATTCAATAAATAAAATTACAAAAAATGAAAAAAAATTTTAGCATATTTATATCAATCATTCTCTTATAAAAGTGATTTTGTTTTTGTTTGGCAGTGTTGGGAATTGGATCCAGGGCCTCAAATATGCAAGGCAAGTGTTCAAGTACTGGTAAGCCCATCTTTTGCCCTTAAAATAAACTGGGGTTTTTATATTGTTTTGTGGCCACCGATGTGAGTGCTCAGGGGCTATTCCTGGCTCTTTACTTAGAAGTGACCCCTGGTGGTACTTGGGGCATGATATCTGGTATTATGGATCAAACTGGAGTCAGTGGCCATGAGCAAGGAAAACGCATCCTGTACTGTTTCCCCCAACCTCGAGGTGATGATTTTAATAATTAAACATTCCGTTTTTTATTTCTTTTCTTTTTTGGGGGGAGAGAGGGGTTGGCCACACTCAGCAGTTTTCAGGGTTTACTCCTGACCTGTGTCAGAAATTATTCCTGGAATGCTGGAGGACCATATGGAATGCCAGGATCAAATGTGGGTCGTCCAAGTGCAAAAGCAAGCACCCTACCTGCTTCTGTAGTATCACTCCGGCCCTTTGTTTGTTTCTTACTGGGGATTTGAAATCAGTTGAATGTACAATTCTTGACTAGGTTCTAATTATCTAATGAATCAAAAAAGTAAAAAAAGTGGAGTAAAATTGTTTAAATGAAGATTAAAAGCCCTATTTGATTTTATTAATTTTTTAAATGTATTTAAAAGTTTACTCTTTAATTTGTAACCTTTGGGGGAAAGGTAGAGCAGGACACAAGTGGCAAAGGCAGAGATGCTGGAACAGGTGGCTTTGTCCAGGCCACAGTAGTATTCAAATCAGGCCAGATGCCCCTCCGGCTCTGGCCCACAGTTTCCTTAGTACATGCTGCTCCCAGGTCCGCTGCTTTCAAACTAGCTTCACTTCATCCCAGGACCTAATTCAGAGTATGCATGGCTTCTTCCAGTCTGAGAATCCCTCTCTCCTGTCGCCACTCGGTCAGACAGTGTAGCATCCACCTGGCCCAAAGCTTGTATAAATAGGTGCCGTAAACCACCTCCTCGGAGAGCTCTGAAAATTCCAGAACCTTCAGCTCTGGACTTTGCTCACTTGCTCGAAGCAAAGATCCCGTGGTCACGGGGCCCCAGTGTGGTTTCCAGCAGGCGCACCTCAACCCTCAGGATCTCTCGAGTCTTCTGGAACCTTTTCGGGGGAGGCAGGGGTGGATATCCTTCCCGTTGTGGTAGCATTTGCGGCCAGCTTGCCTCAAAAGCAACTGCGTTCCGGAGCCAGAGTGATATGGCACAGCGTGTAGGGTGTTTGTCTGGTGCGAGACTGACCTTGCATCCCAGTGTAGAGCCAGGAGTAACCTTGGAGCATGGCTGGGTGTGGCCCAAAAAGCCAAAAAGAAAAAAAAACCCATGTTCAGCCAGAGTTTAGCTTGAACAGGGCTTCTTGGCTCAGCGCCAGCATGCCTACCTAGCACCTGGCTGGTCATGCCCTCTGCTGGGCCTGATTTTATTTAGATTTATTTGAGGTCATACTCAGTGGTACTCAGGTACTACTCCCAGCTCAATGCTCAAGAGACACACTTCTGGCTGTCCTTGGAGCACAATTCAGTGTTGAGATAGATACCAAAATTAACTAGAGGAATTCTTCTTTGGGTCTTTGGTGTGCATCTGGAGCTGTGGTCATCAAGACAGGAATCCGTAGGAAGTAGGCTAGATTGCCACTCAGGTTTCTCAAGATTTTTCCCTCTTCCTTTTATTTCCACCTGAATTTTATTTTATATTTTTGTTTTGGGGTCACATACAGCAGTGCTCGGCTTACTCCTGGCTCTGCTCAGGGATCACTCTTGGCAGGCTCGGTAACCATATAGGCTTGCGAGGATTGATCCTGGGTTTGTTGAGTGCAAGGTATGCCCCCTGCCTGCAGTACTTTCACGCTGGCCCCCCTCTTCCTTCTTTTTCAATTATTTTTGGTGAGAGCTAACCTTGGCAATTTTCAGATCTTACTCCTTGCTCGGTGCTCAGATTATTTCTGGTGGTATGCAGGGGAACATATGCAGTGCTGAGCACCGAACCAGAGTCTACCACATGCAAGATAAGCTCCTTACCCACTTTATTATCTCTCTAATCCTGCCTTCTTTTTTTCTTTCTTTTTTTTTTCCCGCTCTTAGGGTCACACACGGCTGTTCCCAGGGCTTACTCTTGGCTCTGTGCTCAGGGGCCAAATAGGATGTCAGGGATCAAACCCAGGTTGACTGCATGCAAGTCAAACATCCTACCTGCAGCACTGCAGCACTGCACTTGGGATCACTCCTGGTGGTACTTAAGAGACCATATAAAGTTATATCATATCTCAAGTTCTCTGTCTTCTTTTACTAAGCAATGTTTATCTGTCAAGCAAAGCTTATGTTTTTGTTGCACTTTTAATTTTATTTATTTATTTTGGGTTTGGAGCCTGGCCTGCTCTACACTTGGGATCACTCCTAGTGGTACTTAAGAGGCCATATAAAGTGCCAAGGATTGGACTTGAGTCACCTATTCTGCAAGGCAGGCACTTTACTCCCTGTACTATCTCACTGACCCCATATTTATTGTTAACAATTGTTTATTTTGGGATCTCACCTGGTGGTGCTCAAGTGTTATTACCAGCAGTGCTTGGAGGACCACGTGGTGGTCCCAGGGATGCAAGGAACATCTGCTTGCAAAACATGTGCTCAGCCCTTAGACACCTATCTCTGGCCGTATTTATTTTGAGTGTTTTGCTTTAGGCCCACATCTGGCAATGCTTAGGGGCTACCCCTGGCTCTGTACTCAAGGATTACACCTGTTGGTGCTCAGGAAACCATAGGTGGTTCTGCGTATCAAACCAGGGTCAGCCAAATGCAAGGCGAGTGTCTTAACCCCTGTATTTTCTTTTTGCTCCTGAATTTTTAATTTTTTGGTGCTAAGAATGGAACCCATACATGCAAAGCATACACTGAGCTACATTCCTAGTAGAAATGTGCTTTCTACATAGAAAGTGGTTGAGTTACATCATATGCTAGAATGACACAGAATAATATTCCATAGATAAAAATTATAAGGGATAACATAATCTACTAGTACACTTTACAAACACTGCCTGAATTCCCTTTAGTTGACTCAAAATAGATTCCCTTGGAAAAGATGTGATCAGAGGGGCTGGAGTGATAGTACAGTGGGTGTGGGTAGGGCATTGCCTTACACATGGCCAGTTCAATCCTCAGCATCCTACACAGTCTCCCAAGCCCACCAGGGGTGATTCCTGAGTGCAGAGCCAGGAGTAACACTTGAGTACTGCCAGACGTGCCTCTCTCCCAAGAAAAATATACGTATGTGATTAGAAACATAAAGTACTGAGGAGATAGCTTAAAGCATGCAGTAGGCTTAAATCCCTTGTACACATGAGCTCCTGAGCACCACCAGGAGTAGCCTCTGAGCATCCCTAGGTGTGACCCAAACTCCTCTCCCCCAGAAAACTACATATAAGTCATGGAGATGACTCAAAAGGCTGGCTCTCAGGGACCAGAAAAGTAGAAGTAGGAATTTGCCTTGCACATGACTGACCAAGGTTCAATTCCCAGCACACCATAAGGTCCCCACAGCCTGCCAGAACTAATCCTTGAGCACAAAGCCAAGAGTAAGCCTTGGGTACAGCTGAATGCAGTTCAAAAATAAAGGCTGGATCCCATGTTCTGCATGTAGAAGGACCAGGTTTAATCCCTGGTACCTCATTGTCCTCTGAGCACCAATCCAGGAGTAGCCCCCACCAACTGGTGTCTGGCCAGTAAACAAAAGAAAACAAAAGATTTCACATGAAAATAATCTCAGTTTATTTGTCCTGAAACTTTAGGTAAGAATAGAAAAACACAACGACCCTTTAGCAGAATGAGCCGGGATGAACTGGAGGACAAATTGTTTCGCCTTCATGAAGAGCATTTATTAGTGAAAGAGCTTTCTTGGAAGCAACAGGATGAGATCAAAAGGTACCCAGACTTCTCCTTGTCTTTTTTTTTTTCTGATTTTTTTTTCAGGAGCCTTGGATGTAGTTCAGCAGTGTCTTTAGTATAGTTCAGTCCTGTAATTCAGTCTCTTCCCTTTCCCCACCCCCAACCGTGGTACTAATCTTTAAGTCTTTAAAAGCTATATTGACACCAGGTCTACACCAAAAAGAAGATAGTTTACTGTTCATATCAGAAAGCATTGAAATGTGAGGATGGCTACCTTCAAAATTAAATTTTGATGCAATACTTCTTTATTCTGTTTTCTTGCCAATCACATCAATATTCTGAAACCATAGGTCATAAAGGATGACCAAAGCTATTACAACCCATAAAACAGGACCATAGACTCCTTCCGTGACCATAAGAGAGGATGGGGTACATGTACAATGATCAAAATCTTGAGGAAACAAAAAAAATCTCTTGTAGGTGTGGATCTGGAAGGGAATATGAGATGAGGTGTGTGGATAGATAAAACATATAGAGAATGGGAGTTCTGAAAATAGGATTTTATCTCTAAGAAGCATTTAGTAGGGATTGGGAGTGGGGTGCACACATAGAGCTTGAGGACTTTATTCTCAGGGGTTACTGCTATTAGTGTTCAGTGGACCAGTGATCTGATAGAACAGGGGCTTCCACATATTAAACGTGCTCAGTCCTTTGAGCTATCTTCAGCCATAGGCTGCATTTTAAGATACTGGTGTCAATGCCTTTCAGACAAAACCACCAGTAACATATCTGTAATTGAAAAAGTTGGGTTTATAGCTCATTGTAAGCTGCAGAAAATATACACCATAAGGGATCTAAAGGGATTTTATTAATAATATATTAGAGCCGGGACTGAAGCAATAGTACAGTGGGTAGGGCCATTGGCTTGCATGCAGCCAACCCGAGTTCAATCCCTGGTATCCCATACGGTCCCCCATGCAGCTCCAGGAGTAATTCCTGAGAATTCCTGAGTGTAGAGCCAGGAATAACTCCTGATCATCGCTGGGTGTGAGCCAAAAAGAAAAAAAAAAGAATGTATTAGAGCCAATAGGGGCCAGAGAGATAGTACAATAGGTTGTTAGGTGCTTGAGTTGCACACAACTGACCCAGGTTTGATCCAGGGCATCCCAGGTGGTCCTCCAAAGCCACCAGGAGTAATCTCTGAGGCCGCAGCCAGGAAGTAAGCCCTGATCACCGCTGGGGTGTGGTGCCCCTCCCTTCCCCCAAGAAAGAAAAAATAAGAAAGAAAGAAAGAAAGAAAGAAAGAAAGAAAGAAAGAAAGAAAGAAGGAAAGAAGGAAGGAAGGAAGGAAGGAAGGAAGGAAGGAAGGAAGGAAGGAAAGAAAGAAAGAAAGAAAGAAAGAAAGAAAGAAAGAAAGAAAGAAAGAAAGAAAGAGCAAGCCAATACAAGGATTTGGGCTTCTGATGGATAATTTTGGGGAGAGCCAAGTTAAGAGGAGTTTGCTCCAAATTTGATAGTGCCATGAGCATGAACACATCTGTTTGGATATCTCAATAATTCCTATCTACTCGGAGGTAGAGCAGAGTGGAGGCTGAAACTAAAACTGGGAGGGGAAGGTGTACTGGAGCAATAGTACAGCAGATAGGAGTTTGGTGTGCATGGGCTCAGGTTTGATCTGTGGCACTCTATATGGTCTTTTAAGCCCCACCAGGAGTAAGCTTTGATTACCACTGAGTGTGCACCCCCAAAAGTATAAATAACACTATAGATTGTAGTATAGTCACAGAGGACAGAGTGATAACATAGTGGTTAAGGCACTTGCCTGACATGCGGCCAACCTGGGTTCAATTCCCAGCACCACATATGGTTTCCCTGAGCATCTAGAGAAGTAAGCTGTGAGCAACAGAACCAAGGAATAAGTACTGAATACTGTCCGGTGAAGCCCCAAACCCCCACCTCTCAAAATAAAAATAGTCACAATCAAAGAAAGAAAAAGAAAAGGTTGAGAATATAGCTCATCAGTAGAGTTTACATGAGGCCTTGGCACCATCAAAAATAATTTTTTTTCAACAATCACTTTGTTATGCCATAATGGTCTCAGAGTGGCCTCATCTGATGTTGGTGCTGTGTGAGATCATATTCAACAGGACATTAACATGGTCTAGCTGTAAACACCAGACTGTCTTCAAATGATACCAGGGTAAAGCTACATCAGAATGATTCACCACTCTTAAGAGCTGCTTTTATCTTTTTCATCGGGAGTTTGTTCAGATTTTTATTTATAATCTACAGGATTGCGACTACTGTATGTCAGCATAACTCAGAGTTTGAGATTCTGTTTTGGGGGTGTTGGGGCATATACTCGGGTCTCCATGGCTGGGGGAAGGGTCATGTGGCTCCAGGCATTGAATCCTATGCTTTACACAAGCAAGACATGTACCCCAGAGCCCTAAGCTCTCTCCTTAGACCATGGGGTCAGAGATCAGAGATTCTTTTTTTTTGGCAAGGGAGGGGGATCATGATGGGGATTGGGCCACCCCTGGTGGTACTCAGAACTTGTGGTCATCATAATATGAATCCGCAGATTGCCACTCAGATTTTTCAGGATTCTGCCCTCTTCCTCTTTTAAATTTTTTTTTATTTTTTATTTTTGTTTTGGGGCCACACACAGCAATGCTCAGTGCTTACTCCTGGCTCTACTCAGGGATCATTCCTGACAGGCTCCGAAACTTTATAGGCTGCTGAGGATCGATCCTGTGTCTGCTGAGTGCAAGGTAGGTACCCTGCCTGCAGTACTATCATGCTGGCCCCCTCTTCCTTCTTTGAAACTTTTGTGGGGGCCAGCTTTGGCAATGTTCAGATTGTATTCCTTGCTTTGTGCTTAGAGATTATCCTGGTGGTACTCAGGGGACCATATGCAGTGTTGAGCATTGAACCAGGATCTACCACATGCAAGATAAGCACCTTACTCACTTTACTATCTCTCTAATCCTGCTTTCTTTTTCCCTTTTTTCCCCTTTTTCCTTTTTTTTTTGTTCATTTGTTTTTAGGGTCACACAGTAGTGCCCAGGAAGCAAACACAAGAATCCTAGTTTGATCCCAGGCACCACTTATCCTGAACACTGCCAGGAGTGATCCCTGAGCACAAAGTAGGGAGAAAGCCTTGAGCACAGCTTCCTGTGTCCCCCAAATCCAAAAAAATCAAAAACAAAATGATTAAAATGAGGACCAGAGCAATAGTACATCAGATAGGGTATTTGCCTTGCACATGGCTAACCTCTTTCTATCCCCAGCATCCCATATCATGTCCTGAGCACTGTTAGGAGTAATTCCTGAGTGGAAAGCCAGATGTAATTCTTGAGCACCACCATGTGTGGCCCGAAAAGAAAACAAAACAAACAAAAATTAAAATGAGCATTTTTGTTTATATTTTATATTAACTATTATTTATTAGTACATAAATAAATGTATATAATTTAAAAATAAATCTAGACAAGGATTTAAAGGAGTACTCCTTAACAAAATCAAAATATTTTGCTAAGATGATCATGTAGTAATCACTGCAGTAGAATAAAGACTGAAACCACGATGTTTCCGTTCTTATAAAGTAACAGTTTATTGGGGCAGAATATAAGTATTTTTTTTTACTTTGATTAGATTCATTGTTTCGACAAAAGATGCACCATTATTATTTAGAGTTTACACCCCAAAATCAGACCTGCTGAAAAAGCATTGTGAAATAATTTGTTTTCTACAGCTGGTTACAAGAACCAAATGATGTCGCGCGGCTGCTATTGCGGCCGCGTGATTTTGGATTTCTGGTATTTCACTTATTAAGCCTGGAAGTATTTCTGCCGAGAGTCAGATAATTATGAGATCAGTTTTTGTGGCTCTGGAGCCATGGTCGTGGGGGCCAACTTGTGACCTCGGTAGGACGTGAAGGACAAGCCAGGAATGCCCCCCTTTCAGGAGGTTTCAGTTGCCCTGTCACGACTGGCTCTTACCTGGCTTTCCAAAAAGCTCCGAGGTGGCTGCCATCTTGCTTTCCAGAGGGAAAAAGGCGGAAGGGAGCAACACCCTTTCCCTTCCGGGCAGGCATGGTAGCATGGATTAAGACATAGTCCTTTCACTTTTGGGGGGCAGAATATAAGTATTAAGTGTTAAAAAATAGAGTAAAAACTTTTTTGAAATTTTTTGGTTTGTTTTGTGTATGTACCACACCTGGAGGTGCTCAGGGATTACTCCTGGCTCTGTGCTCATGGATCACTGCAAGGGGACCACATGGGGTACCTGGGATCAAACTCAGGTTGGCTGAATGCCACGCATGGCAAGTGACATATTCGGTGTGGTATGGTGTCAATGCCCTCAACCCCCAACTTTAGTTTGTTTTTGATCCATACCTGGCATGTTCAGGATCTACTCCCAGCTTGGTGCTCACAGTCCAGTGTTGCTCAGGGAAACACACAGTGCTGGAGCTCAAGCACTGCCTCCTGCAAGCAGAGCCTGAACTCCAGTCCATTAGGCTATCTCTCTGGCCCAGTGACATTAATACATTTTATCAAAGATCAACGCATGATCATTTTATCAAAGATCAACCCAGTGAACTGTAGAAGTGATAACTTAGAGAAACAGAAACAAAGAGAAGAAAGAAAGGAAAAAAAAAAGAAAGAAAGAAGCAGAAGCTACCGGCTGTCAACATTTTTTACCCACAGGATGAGGACAGCCTTGCTCCGGTTGAACTCTGCAGGTCAGGACCTGAGGTCAGAAGCAGAGGCAGCAACAGCGAAACAGCTCTCAGCACATGCAAGGCAGCAGCGGAACTTCAGATGTAGGAAGCAGTGGAACCCTAAGCTCCAGCAGTCCCTGATTCAAGGAGTACAAGAACATTTCCCACGGGTTGGCGCCCCTGTTCCCCGCCGCTCCCAGTCTCGAGTTCGCAACAGTGTGGGACATAGACAGCTTCACTCCGCTGGTGCTCCAGTACCTGAAAAACCTCAGAGTGGTGAGATCAGGATCAAATCCCAGACTTGGCTCAAATAGTGGAAATGATGATTTTTCCAGCTGTGTTTGTTCCTCGCTGCTCTATTCCCATCCTTTCCATTTCTTCCTACTTCCTTTAAGCTGTTTCTTTTTTTTCTCCTAAGGACGTTGACAGTTTCAAAATTCTTGGTTCAGACCTGGGTAGATACTACTGGGGTTTTAGGCACTTGTCTTGCAACAAAACACAGCCAACCTGATTTCAACCCCCAGCACTACCTATGGTTCCCTGAGTCCTGCCAGGAGTGATCCCTCAGTACTGCCAGATATAGTCCCAAAACAAAACAAAACAAAACAAAAATTTTTTTGGTTTAGTTATAGTTTGTACTTTAAAATTCCCTATTTCAGAGGCTGGAGAGAGGGCACAGTGGTTAAGGCACTTGTGTTGCAAACGAATGACCCAGGTTCAATTCCCGGCATCCCATATGGTCTCCCAAGCACCACCAGGAGTGATTCTGCCAGGAGTGAATGCAGAGCCAGGAGTAACCCTTGAGAGTTACCACCGTGGCTCAAAACACAAAATAAATAAATAAAAATAAAGTCAAGCAACTCTTAAAAATCCCCCACTCCAGTCAACCAAATATTTGTAAAAATAACAAAGTAGAAAGACTAAGTCTAAATTTCAGTTCAGAGGCCAGAGAGATGGTATAGTGCCTTGTATGTAGCTGACCCAGTTTTAGTCCCTAGCACCTTCCATGAGTGAATCCTGAGCACAGAGCCAGGAGTAATTCCTGAGCGCTGCTGGATATGGTCTCTCCCTTTCCAAAAGTTTAGTTTAGCATTATTGTATATCCACTAGAGAAATATATAGTCTAGTCAGATACACTGTTGTCCTGGATAAATTTACACCTTTCTTCTCGTTTATACCCAAAAATCCATAGTCCTTGGGGCTGGAGCAATAGCACAGCAGGTAAGGCGTTTGCCTTGCACACAGCTGACCCAAGTTTGATTCCCAGCATCCCATATGGTCCCCTGAGCACTGCCAGGGGTGATTCCTGAGTGCAGAGCCAGGAATAATCCCTGTGCATCTCTGGGTGTGACCCAAAAAGCAAAAAAAAAAAAAATCCATAGTCCAGCTGACTAATTAAATCTATAAGGAGTAAAGGCTGAGAACCTGAGAACCTGTCCTTTGGGATGGTCATATAAGGATTTCCTCAAGGCCTCAATGTCCTCGCTACCTCTAGCACTTGGTCCTTTGGTGCTTCATCTAATGTTTTCCAGAGAAACAGCATGCATCTTTTGTCTAAACTTTCAGGATCAAGGGACAGACTGAGCTATACAGCTCCTCTCCCGTTGAAGGAATGCATGACCAATGAAGAAACCAGTGTAATATCCTGTGAACCCAGCAAACTGTGAGTTCTTTTTATTTGTCCCGAGTTTGTCTTTCAGCATCCATAGAAATATTTCATTTAGGAGAAAAGTGAATATTGGCACCTTCAAGTCTTTCTAGTATTGCCACAGAAGATGAAAGTCAACCTTAAGTAAATTCCAAGGTTATTTCTTAAAAGTGGAAAATATGTATCTATCTGTCTTCTAAGGAAAAGAAAAGGGACCCTTTTCTTAATTGAAGTTATCTCTTCTCTTTTTCTTTGTACTTCTTTCTTTTAGTCATAATGCATTTGCGTTTGTTTGATAGTTGAAAGTTGTATTTTGTAAGATTAGACCAGGTCCAGAGAGAGTACAAAGGTGTAGGGCCTTGCATCCAGCCAATCTGGGTTCAACCCCCGGCACCATATATGGTTCCCTGGGCACTGCCTGCAGTGAACCCAGAGCACAACTAGTTGTGACAAAAATAAAAAGGCTTCAGAGATAGTACTGTGAGTAGGGAGCTTGTCTCAGCCATGGCTGACCCACATTTAATCTCTGGCATCTCAGATGGTCTCCTGAGCCCTCCAGGAATAATCCCTGTGTGAAGAATCAGGAGTCAGTCCTGAGAATATTGGCTGTGGCCACAAAACAAAAAAATCCCCCCAAACAAAAAAAAATTACCTTCCATTCACACAACACACATTGATTCCTCTAACTTCTTTTTATATATGTGAGATCCCATTTCTAAACCTATAGCAGCAGTTTCTATTTCTTTTTGAGGTTTGATATTCCTAATTCTAATTTTAAAATTTTAGCAAAATCAAAATTATGACTAAACTCATTGTTCCATTCATGCCTAACAGTGCCCCTATTATGTCCAGTGACATTATGCAAGTGGAAGAACCAGCTAAATCTTCAGAGAAAATGTGGCCCAAAGATGAAGATTTTGAACAAAGAAGTTCATTAGAGTGTGTTCAGAAAGCCACAGAGCTTCGGTAAGAGTGTAGCATTCTGGGGTTCAGCCATAATAGACTAAAAATGTAAGAGATCTCACTTGTACCTTTCCTTCCTCTCAGAGGAAAAAGAGAATGTTTGGGGTTAAACTCAGCCTGAGTGGGCCCAGAGAATGACAGCACAGCAGGTGAGGCACTTGCCTTACATGTGGCTTACCCGGATTTGATCCCTGATATCCCGATATGGTCCTCAAGCACCACTAGGAGTGATTCCTGAGTGCAGCGCCAGGAGTAACCCCTGACTCTGCACTCAGGAATCAAGTGTGGCCCAAAAACCAAAACCAAAACCAAAAAACCCTTAGCCTGAGAGGCAGATCTAGAGCCCCAAGTAAATCAAGAGATGGATTAATCTACAGAAGATGTTTATGATTAATAGATTTATTGTTTCACTTAATAAAAGGGAATTGGGAGGGGAGAGATAGTAGAAAGTTTAAGGCACTTGACTTGCATGTGGCCAACTCTTTGGTTCGATCCCTGGCACTACAGATGCTTCCCCTAGCACAGCCAAAAGTGATTCCTGAACACAGAACCAGTAATAAGTCCTGAGCATCATTAGTCGTGACCAAAGAAAATAGAAAGAAAAAAAAAACAGTTTATTTTATCCTCCTCCAGTTGGGGTTCTCAGCCTGGACTAAGGCTGAAACTATTTTTTAATTGACGCCATTTTTATATTTATTTATTTATTTCTGATTTTGGGCGGGTCATACTTGGGTTACTCCTGTCTCTGCACTCAGGAATTATTCCTGGTGGTGCTTGGGGGACCATATGGGATGCCAGGGATCTAACCCAAGTTAGCCACATGCAAGGCAAACACTCTACTCACTTTTTGCTACTCTACTCACTTATTGCTCTAGCCCCAAATTGACTTAATTTTTAAAGAGCAATAAATTTGCATATGTGTATATCTATGATATATACACATATGATATATATATATATATATATTATTCCAAGCAGTCCTGATGTGGTTGTCTCCAGGGCCAGTCCTGTGGTGATAAGAGGTGGATAGCATGTGATACCAAACAGAGGAACTCATGCATGTTAGGCATGAGTTCTACTGCTTGAGCTATTTTTTCCACCCTGCTTTACTTTTTTGTTTTTGGTTCATACCCAGGTCAGGGGCTACTTCCAGTTGTGTATACTGGAATTGGTCCCAGTGATGCTTGGGGGAGTATGCGGTGCTGGGAAATGAACAGTGACTTCCCACACTCACAGTCCTCACTCACCCACAGCCTTTCCCACTTTGGTCTCACATCAGAGTGTACATTTGTTATAGTAGATGCAACTGCATCATAAATCATTCTCATCCAAAATCTTAAAAAAAAAAAAAGAAACCTCTTTTTATAGGCTAAAGCATTAGTACAGTGGATAAGGCATTTGACTTGCACACAGCTGACCTGGGTTCAATCCTTGTCATTCCATTATGGTCCCCCAAGCAATGCCAGAGGTAATTCCTGAGTGCAAAGCCGGGGGTAACTCCTGAGCATTGCCAGGTGGACCCAAAAAGCAGAACATAATACAAAACAAAACAAAAACTCCTGTTAAAAAGTTCACCTTGGGGCCGGAGTGATAGCACAGTGGGTAGTGTGTTTGCCTTGCACGCGGCCAACCCGGGTTTGATCCCTGGCATCCCATATCATCCTCTGAGCACTACCAGGAGTAATTCCTGAGTGCAAAGCCAGGAGTAACCCCTGAGCATTGCTGGGTGTGACCCAAAAAGGAAAAAAAAAGTTCACCTTAAAAAAAAAAAAAGCGGGTAGGGCATTTGCCTTGCACGCGGCCAACCCGGGTTGGATTCCCAGCATCCCATATAGTCCCCTGAGCACCGCCAGGAGTAATTCCTGAGTGCAGAGCCAGGAATAACCCCTGTGCATTGCCGGGTGTGACCCAAAAAGAAAGAAAGAAAAAAAAAACCCTGTAAGAGCTGGAGCAATAGCACAGCAGGTTGAGCGTTTGCCTTGTAGGAGACCAACCTGGGTTTGATTCCCAGCATCTCATATGGTCCCCCGAGCAACACCAGGAGTAATTCCTGAGTGTATGAGCCAGAAGTAATCCCTGAGCATAACCCGGTGTGACCCCAAAAAGCAAAAAAAAAAATCATTAAAACAAAAAACAAACAAGCAAAAACTCCTGTAAAAAAGTTTTGTAGGGCTTTTGGGATATACCTGGCCGTACTCGTGGACTAAGTACTCATGCCTTGCAGTGCCCCCTTCCTTTTTTCCCCCCCCACACCTGGCAACACTCAGGACTTACTCCTGGCTCTGCACTCAGGAATTACTCCTGCTCAGGGGACCATATGGGATGTCAGGGATTGAATCTGGGTTGGCTGCCTACAAGGCAAGTGCCTTACCCTGTACTATCTCTCCAGGCTCTCCTCCCTTTTAAAAGTGTGTGTATGTGTGTGTGTGTGTGTGTTTTGCTGTAGCAGTGCTGGGAATTACATCCTGAATCTTCTATAGGTAAGGACAAGTCATATTTCCCAGTCTTTTCTCTTAAAAAATAAAATTTTAAAAAATTCTATTTATTTTTAGAATTTTATTTATTTGTTTCAGATTATACCCAGTGGTGTTCAAGGCTTACTACTGGCTCTGCACTCAGAAATTACTCCTGTTGGGCTCAGGGGACCACATGGGATGCTGGGGATTAAACCCGGTCTACCATATGCAAGGCAAATGTCTACCCACTATTCATCAGTATACAAAGCAAATACCTACCCACAATTAATTCAGCTTTCTTTTGGGGAGGGTTTTGGGAATATTTGACCCACTGCTCAGGTCCCATTTTTTAAACTCAAATTTATACTTTTATTTTCACTATTTTTTAAGTGTCTTATTTATTTTTGTTTGTATTGGGGGGGGGAGGTGGGTCACACTGATCAGTTCTCAGGGCTTACCACTGGTTTTGTGCTCAGAGATCATTCCTTGTGGTACTAGGGGAGCCTGAGATTGAATCTGGTTCAACCATGTGCAAAGGAATCCCCTTCACTGCTACCCTGTTCTCCTGACTTATTGATCAGTGTGTCAGTGTTCAACTTTTTTTGAGGGACCGTCTGGGTACACCTGACACTCTACCTAGAGACTTTTTAAACCACATATGTAAATAAATAACTGCAAGGACAAATCCCTGGGCCCCCCTCCAGAGATTCCTTCTCAGTTATTACAGATTAGAGTCCAGGCAGTATTATTTTATTTTACCTATTTATTTATTTATTTTTGAAGTAAACAGATTTTATTTGGAGGGTTTCTGGAGGGAAAGAGGAAGGGATAAGCGGGAGAGTGGAGAGTAAGAGAGACAGAGTAACGTGCTCAAGAGAACGCGGGCTTCTCCAAGGATGGAGAGTATGCAGTATTATTTTAAATGTCTTATCAGATGAGTCTAATAAATAGGACTAAATTACTGAAAGAAGTCTAATGAACTAAAATCTTTTCCTTAAAGAAAAAAAACCTAAAAAATAGAAAAAACTCCTCTCTTGATGCATTTAAATGATTTTAAAAAAGAGATCTCCTCAGTTGGTAAACAGTAATTATTTTGTTTGTTTTTTGGGCCACATCAGGGGATACTCCTTACTCTACACCCAGGAATCACTCCTGGCAATATTCAGGGGACCGGGGCTAGAGTGATAATACAATGGTTAGGGTGTTTGTCCTGCACGCAGTTGACCTGGGTTCAATTCCCAGCATCCCATATGGTCCCCCAAGCACCACCAGGAGTAATTCCTGAGTACAGTGACAGGAGTAACCCCTGATTTCTGGGTGTGACCCAAAAAAGGAAAAAAATGTTCAGGGGACTGTATGGGATGCCAGGGATTGAATGCAGGTCAGCCACATGCAAGGCAAGTGCCTTACCCACTGTACTATCTCTCCAATCACAATAAGCTGTAATATTTCTTTGAATTTCCATCATACCCCCTTGGTTTCATAAGAAAATGGAACTCAGCCCTAGTAGGATATGGTTTGGATTTTGGGGGGTTGGGGGGATTGGCGCCTACCCAGCAGTTGATCAAGAGCTACTTCTGGTACAGTGTTCAGAGGTTGTTTCCGGAAGTTCTAGAGAATCATGTGGGAGGGATCAAACCCCTACCTCCCACATTCTAACCATGAGCATCAGCCCTTTGAACACCGAGCAAGATCTGAAACTAAGCATCATTTTTTTTTTAGTTTTTGGGCCACACTTGGTGGTGCTCAGGGCTTCAGCCTTCCTTACACAAACTCAGAAACCTCTTCTGGTGGGACTTGAGGGACCAGTGATTGAACCTGGGTTGACTGCGTAGAAGGCAAGCAAGATTGTACCTGCTGTATAATCTCTCAGGCCTAAACCATCATTTAGAAAATAGCTATTATGTTTTCTCAAAATACAAACTTGAGGGGTGCTGGAATTTTTGTCAAATCTCAGCTCCTAAGAGGGGAACTGGGAGAAAGGTGGTTATTTACTTACACCTCCTACTTCTGGTGTCTGTGGGGAATCTAGAAAGGCAGGAGGTAAGAGGAATATGATCTGGGATTTTTTTGGGGGGGTTGGCGAGGCCCACACTCAGTGTTGCTCAGGGTTTACTATGGGCTCTGTGCTCAGGGATAAATCCTTGCAGAACTGAAGTACTACATGTGATGGTGGGGGTCAAATCTAGGTCAGCTCTGTGGAAAGCCTATCCACTGTACTATCTCTCTGGCCTGCAGGAAAATGTTCTCGTTGTGTAGCGTCAGCAGGGTAAAAGTTCTTAACTCTCATTCTCTTGGTTTAGTACTTCTTTCTTTCCCCAGAACTTCTATTAGGGAGAACATAGAGCTGATTCAACTTAAGAAGCTTTTACATGAAAGAAACACCTCATTGGTAGTGATAAAAGCACAATTAACAGAAGTTCAAGAGGTGAGTTCCATCATCAAATCTCAGTAGAATTTAATTTTCTTCTTCTTCTTCTTTTGCCAAATCCAGTAGTGCTTAGGGCGCTTATGCCTGACTCTGCATTCAAGAATCACTCCTGGGAGGGATCTGGGTGCCTGACCCACTATACTATCTCTGTAGCACAGCACCTACCCCACACCATCCTACAGAAACCATGTTTTTTTGAGAAATGTGTGTTTACTTGGTTTTTTGTTTGTTTGTTTTTTGCTTTTTGGGTCACACCCAGAGATGCTCAGAGCGTCCTCCTGGCTCTGCACTCAGGAATTAAGCCTGGCGGTGCTCGGGGACCATAAAGGATGCTGGGAATTGAACCCGGGTTGGTCACATGCAAGGCAAACACCTTACCCACTGTGCTATCGCTCTAGCCCCACTTATGTTTTTATAATTTGGTGACCTTAACATTAAAGAGTGTGAGAAGGAAGATATTTTCAAATTATATAACTTTATTATGGGATTAGATTTTTTTAATTTTTAATTCTTTTAATTGAATCACTTAGACCCTTACAAAGCTGTTTATTGATTAGGCTTCAGTTCCAACACACATTCTCCACCAGTACACATTTCCTAGCACCAGTGTCCCCAGTTTCCCTCCCATCACGCCCTACCCTCCTTCAGCTAGATTTTTATATGACCACTTTGCCTTCCCTTGAATTAAGGGGAAAAAAGGAAAATTATTCTCAATTCTATGTCCTCTCCCATATAAATGGTGAGGTAGAGTTTACCTAAAATTGTGACTTATCACCTACACTTTGTTTTTTGTTTTTGTTTTGGTGCCACACCTAGCTGTGCTAGAGGCTACTTCCATCTCTGTACTCAGGGATCACAGCCCTGCTCAACCATATGCAATGCATGGATCCATGCAGATAGTATAGTTTGCATACATGACAAATAACTTAAACCCTGTGCTATCTCCCTGGCCCTCACCCATGTTAAAAAATATGTCTTATAATTTTTAATTTCTTTTGTGGGAACACTGCCAACATGATGCTAGGGCTGTGTAGTACCAGGCACTGAACCTAGGACTCCCACATGCATATTCTCCAACACCTTTAGATATCTTCTCAGCTCAGAGTTTGCTTTCCTTTTTGTTTGTTTGTTTGTTTTTGGTTTTTGGGTCACACCCAGTGATTCTCAGGGGTTACTCCTGGCTCTGTACTCAGGAATTAACTACTGGCTGTTGCTTGAGGGACCGTATGGGATGCCAGGAATCAAACCCAGGTCAGCCATGCGCAAGGCAAATGCCCTACTAGCTGGACTATCAGTTCGCCCCTTAGTTTTTTTTTTCTTTAGCAATTTATCTTTACGGTTATGCTTTTTTCCCCTTCTTTTGGGGTTGGGGGTAGGGTGACATCTGGTAGTGCTCAGGCGGCTATTCCAAGTGCACTGCTCAGAGGACCATGTGATTTTTTTTTCTTTTTGGGTCACACCCAGCAATGCACAGGGGTTACTCCTGGCTCATGCACTCAGGAATTACTCCTGAAAGTGTTTGGGGGACCACATGGGATGCTGGAAATCGAATCTGTGTTGGCCGTGAGCAAGGCAAACGCCCTACCTGCTGTGCTATTCCTCCAGAACCCCAGACCATGTGATTTTTGAGTCTTGCCCATTGCCCTCTCTCTCCAGCCTTGTGTCTTCCCTCCCTCCCTCCCTCCCTCCCTCCCTCCCTCCCTCCCTCCCTCCCTCCCTCCCAGGACTCATGCATGCAGGGGATACATTTTACAACCAAGCCACACTACTGACCCTGGTTTTCTCTTTTGGAAGGAGGAGGGGGTCATAGAATGCACACCTAATAGTGCTTAGGGCTACCCCCATCTCCTTATTGGGCATTACTCCTAGGGAAGTGTAGGAGACCATGTGATGCTGGGGATTAAATCTGGGCCTTCTTCATTTCTTGGAAGGAAATAGTGTGATCTATTACATTCAGAGGCCAAGTTTACTAGTCGCTGGTAAACTTGGGTAGGGGAAAAGCAACCATTAAACATTTATAGTACTGTTAAACCAGGTCAAGATCTCCCCAGAGGAATCACACAAAGACAAGTTGTGATGCAATAAGCAAAGGGTCTTTATTGGCTAGCTCGACTAGCTCTGAGTTGGGGCCCTCATCCAGCTTACCAACACAGTGGCCGCCTTCTTGGAATGAGTAGCTCTGAGCTTCAAAAGTGAGAAGCTTTGATACTATAGCATTACATAACAGGGACTTTCCACAGACCACCCTTTTGGCTGCAGACTGAGGGACTTCCCGCTACTTGTACTTAGCTGATTGATTATACGTTGGAATTACATAAGAGTTACATAAGGGTTATATGAGGGGGCTTCCCTACCTGAATCTAATCGGTAACCCTTAGTTAATCTAACCCTGGCTATCTCACTTCGGAGAAATCATGACTCAATTACAGGTATCTGCACTCAATTCCAGGAATTCTGGTACCAAAACCTAGGCCTACCTTCTTCTGGCTTCTTTATGAGCGTGTCATGGCTCTGCCTTTGCTTCTCTATCTCTCAGTACCTATTTTGCATATATTGCATATATATATGTACAAAAAGTTACATATGTTGACTAAATTTTTGTTTTTAAATGTATGTATTTTAACATAACAAAACATTTGTATCATAAAAACAAGGTCAATATAAATATTGAGTTTATATAATAATGGAATAATACTATTTATTTCTTTCAGGCATATGAAACTCTGCTCCAGAAGGTAATCAATATTTTTTATTGTTCATTAATATATTAGTAGAATATTATTGTTTTACACTTGCCATACTGTTACCCCAGGCCTATCACCAGAGTGCCAGGATCCCAAGGATACTACCATTATCCTAAGGTCCCTGCACCCTCAAATCACAGTTATATTTATCATGCTTCAGCACTGGTTCCATTGGGGACTATCTAATCCTTTGCTTTGTTCATTTATACTCCACAAATGAGTGAGATAATTTAGTGTTTGTAACTCCAGAAGGTGCTAAAAAAACACTCCTTTATCTTTGTTTCTTTATAATTGGAGTAAGGAAATAGAAAGAAATCCATATTTATCTTCACAGAACACAGAACTTAATCAAGTCAAAAATATATAGAGAGAAGAGCTGGAGTGATAGCACAGCGAGTAGGGGGGTTGCCTCGCAGAAGGCCGACTCGGGTTCGATTCCCAGCATCCCATATGGTCCCCTGAGCACCGCCAGGAATTATTCCTGAGTGCAGAGTCAGGAGTAACCCCTGTGCGTTGCTGGGTATGACCCAAAAAGAATATCTATAGAATATAGAATATCTATATATAGATATAGATATGGATACAGATATGGATACAGATATAGATATAGATATAGATATAGAGAGAGTGTGTTTCTATTAAGAGTTAAGATGTATTAAGATATTGGTATTTTCAGGAAAAACTATCGCAGTGGTGCTCAGGGCCCTAAACTCAGGTATCCTTCCTGACAGGGCTTGGGACACCATATGGATACTGGGGATCAAAACCAGACTGACAGTGTGGCTCAGCAGTGTGTGAGGCAAACGCCTTACCTACTGTACTATCACTCCACTCCCAGAAACAATTGCAGTTTTCATAAAAGTTGAAATATAGAAATCTGAATTGAGAAATATTTAGATACTCTTTTCAAGCTGTGCTTAGTTATTGTAACAGCACTGACAACAAAAAGGGGAAGGAAAGAGGGGGGAGAGGAAAGTATTCCTTTAGCATGACTGAGTTGTTGAGATACAAGAAAACTGTGCCAGATCTTGTTTGGTGTGATTAAATACTTGGCCTTATTTATCTGCCTCAGTGGGGTTCCAAGTGAAAATAAGTGACACTCATGATTAATAATTACAATAAAGGAGCCAGAGAGATAGTACAGTGGCTAAGGTGATTGCCTCACACGCAGTCAACTCAAGTTTGATCTCTCCACCCCATGTGATCCCTCAAGCACTGCCAGGAGTGATCTTTGAGCACAGAACCAGGAGTAAGTCCTAAGCACAGTTGGCCAACAGACATGTCCAATCCCCTGCACCTCCTGTCCCAGTGAACTTTTCTAGAGTTAACATTTTTGTTTGGTTTTGGACAACACCTAGAAGGACTCAGGACTAACCTTGCGCTTTGCTCTGGAATCACTCCGGGTGGGCATGCAGGTGGGGTGGGGTGGGGTGGGGGATCACATGCAGTGCCAGGGATTAAACCAGGTGAACCAAGTGTAAGACAAACACCTTAATCCTTGTATATTTCTCCAGTCCTAGAGTTAACATTTCACTTTGCTGAGTGCAACAAAAAGAACATATGGCCCTGAAAACATTCAAATTGCTTGGAAAGCAAAGGCAGCTTCAAACAATGGCACTTTAGGACTTAATAGAGCCAAGGTTTCATCTGAACCTTTGGAAAATAGATTCTAATCACAAATTGTAGTTTTTTTGGAGTGAAAATTCTCATTATTAGGGAAATAATACCTCCTGGAATATGTTAAATAAAAAACAAAATCAACTTGGGACCAGAGAGATAGAACAGCAGGTAGGATTTTTGCTTTGCATGTGACCAAACTGGGTTCTATCCCTGGCTCTCCATTTGGTCCCTCAAATATCACTAGGTGGGGCTGGAGCAATAGCACAGCAGGTAGGGCGTTGCCTTGCATGCAGCCGACCTAGGTTCAATTCCCAGCATCCTATGTGGTCCCCCAAGCACCACCAGGAGTAATTCCTGAGTACATGAACCAGGAGTAACTCCTGTGCATTGCTGGGTGTGACCCAAAAAGAAAAAAAAAATACCACTAGGTACCATCCCTGAGTGCAGAGCCAGGACTAAGTCCTGAGCACTTGCCAGGTATGCCCTAAAATCCAAACAAAACAAAACAACAAAATAAAAATAAAAACAAAGAAAATACCAGAAGAAAAAAAAACTGATCAATGGAAGCTCAATAGTACAGCTGGTAAGTCACTTGCTTTGCAAGTGGCTGACCCAGGTTCAACCCTCCCCCAGCAACCAATAATGATCCCCTGAACCCCGGCAGTAGTAACCCCTGAGCACAGAACCAGGAGCAATTCCTAAGCACAACTGGGTGTGACCCAAAAAACAAAACATCCCCCCAAATAAAAATAAGTTCAATACCAATCTCGGAACCCAGGGGCTTTTGGCAGTAATCCCTCTAGGTTTATTACTAAAATGTCAGAAATCCAAATTTGCGTGGCCGTGGTTGTGGCCACATGACATCATATGCTCTTCATAATTAGCAATAGAAAACAAATTTTCTAATTACGTCTTTGTGGCAGGACTGAATGTTGGGGAAAAATCCAAATAACAATGTTGGGTCTTTTGTTGTAATATTGAATGTGATCAACGTAGAGAGAGAGAGAGAGTAAAGTGAAAATCTGCCTCACAGGAAGGGGTTGGGTGGGAGGGAGGGTATACTGGTATTCTTGGTGGTGGAAAATGTGCACTGGTGAAGGGACGGGTGTTTGATTATTGTATGACCGACCGAGACTTGAGCTGAAAGGCTTTGTGACTGTTCTCACGGTGATTCAATAAAAAAAAAAAAAAATTCAACTGAAAATGGGCTGGAGCGATAGCACAGCGGGTAGGGCATTCGCCTTACAAGCGGCCAACATGGCCGACCCGAGTTCGATTCCTCCGCCCCTCTCGGAGAGCCCGGCAAGCTACCGAGAGTATTCGATATGCCAGACACAGTAACAACAAAGTCTCCAATGGAGACATTACTGGGCCCGCTCGAGCAAATCGACGATCAACGGGAGGGCCTTTACCTTACCTTTACCTTACTGAAAATGTAAAGAAAACATACCATCTTTATAAGCACCTACTAGGGAATGCTATGGATTGCTGTTAATTTGAAATTACTCTTGTTGAGCTATATGTTCATTGTCAGACCAACTTTCCTTTCTCTTCAGAATCAGGGAATCCTGAATACAGCCCATGATGCCATCTACAACCAAGTAAACGAGCTTAGGGCAGAACTGAGGGAGGAGAGCAAGAAGGCCGTGAGCTTGAAGAGCCAACTAGAAGATGTGTCCATCTTGCAGATTACACTGAAGGATGCAAGTAGTAATAACTGAAAAAGTCATCAACTTAAGTTATTGTTATTTACTAGCTTCAGAAGTGTTAATACGGTCCTCTTACCCCTATTAAGGAGTGTTTCCTAAGCACAGAGCCAGGATAAACCCTGAGCACTGCTGGATGTGGTCCCAATACAACAAAGTCTTACAATGTGTGTTTTAGCAAGAATATGACTATTTCCTATTTTCTTTTTTTTTTCTTCTATTTTTGGGCCACACCTGGTGATACTCCTGGCTAAACTATTGCTCCTGCCCCAAGAAGTCTTAACATTTCTTTCTTTTCTTTTCTTTTCTTTTCTTTTTTTTGCTTTTTGGGTCACACCTGGCGGTGCACAGGGGTTACTCCTGGCTCTGCACTCAGGAATTACTCCTGGCGTTGCTCAGGGGACCATATGGGATGCTGGGAATTGAACCCGGGTTGGCCGCGTGCAAGGCAAATGCCCTACCCGCTGTGCTATCTCTCCAGCCCAGAAGTCTTAACATTTCTAATAAAAGTTTCTAAATAAAAATCACAGGGCTGGGGTTGGAGAGATGGTATAGAAGGTAAAGCATTTGCTTTGCATATGGCTGACCCGAGTTTGATTCTCACCATACCATATGGTCCCCTGACACCGCCTGAGTAATTCCTGAGTGCAGAGCCAGAAGTAATCCCTGATCATTGCTGGGTGTGACCCAGAGACTAAATAAATAAATAAATAAATAATCATGAGACTGGAGCAATAGTACAGCAATGGCACTTGCCTTGCACATGGTCGACCCAAGTTGATTCTTGATTCTATATGGCACCCCAAACACCACCAGGAGTAATCCCTGAGTGAAGAACCAGAAGTAACCCCTGAACATTGCTGGGTGTCCCCAAAACTTGAAATAAATAAATAAATAAATGCCTTCAGACCTTTCTAGTTGAATGGGTCCTCATAGATATGGGAAATAAGCATAGAAATCTTTTCAACCAGAGGCTAGAGAAATAGTACAGAGTGTAGAACGCAGGCTTTGCACATGGTTGGCCTGGGTTTGATCCTCATCACCGCGTATGGGACTCTGAGCAACGCCAGGAGTAATTCCTGAGTGTAGGCCAAGGAATTACCCCTGAGCATCTCCAGGTGTTGCCCCAACATGGCCCAAAGTGCCCTACCCCACCAAAGTATCCTTTCAACCAAATCCTGACCTTGCATGAAGAAAGGGAAGACCTTTATAAAACAGTCTATTTAAAAAAATTGTTTCAGGTATTCTACTACTATTTTTAGTTTCAGGAGAGAGTTGAAGATTTGGAAAAAGAACGACAATTGCTGAGTGACAATTATGACAAACTTCTAGAAAGGTGAGTACCAAGTTGGAGTCTAGAGCACTGTTTGCTGTAAAAGACAATTGTAGAAATTTTTTTTTCTTTTTGGGTCACACCTGGCATTGCACAGGGCTCATGCACTCAGGAATTACTCCTGGTGGTGCTCGGGAGACCATATGGGAAGCTAAGAATCAAAACTGGGTCAGCCCGAGTGCAAGGCAAGCACCCTACCCACTGTGCTATCTCTCCAGCCCTAACAATTGTTGAAATTTTCAAAATATTACCTAGCATTTATAAAATTATGGGGAAGCTAGCACTCAGTTCTTTTATTATAAGAGTATAAATTGGCAGCTTGGAGAGATTGTACGTAGCTTAAGCATGTATCTTGCATCCTCCTGACCACAGTTCCTATCCCCGCTGCCAGCACTGCCAGGGGACACTCCTGAGCACAGAGCCAGAAATAGCCCATGAGCATCGCCAGTGTGGCCCACCCCCCCAAAAAAAGAATGTAAATTGGCACAGTCATTTGAAAGAAAATTTGACACTATCCAAATATATTTAACATTTAATGCCTGTATTTTGTTCCAGTAATTTCGTTTTTGAATCTAAAGAAATTTCTCAGGGTCAGAGTGATGGTACAGGAGGTAGGGCACTTGCTTTGCATGAGGCCAATCTGGATTTGGTCCCTGGCATCGTATATGGTTCCCTTTGCACTGGCCAGGAATGATCCCTGAGTGCAGAGCCAGGAGTGAACCCTGAGCCCTGCTAGGTTTGACCCCAAAACTAATTTTTTTTAATTTGGGGAGGAGGCAGATAAATAGTACAGAGATTAGGGCATTTGTCTTGTACATGAAAATACCTTCATGCACACTCCCATACTTTCAACTCATTTGGGACCAGAGTGATATTATGACAGGTGACTCTCCTTTTTCATTTTTAAATTTTATAAAGTAGTTCACAATATTTGATTACATTTAATATTCAAACACCAATCCCACCACCATTACACCTTCCCACCACCGTATTTTGGATGTTTCCATCCCGAACCCCAATCCCTGTCCCAAAGCAGAACCAAAATAATATATTATTTCCCTCTAAGGTTGGTTGCCTCCTACTTTGAATCCCATTAAATGTGTTGTGGTACTCTTGGAGTATGGGTAGGGTGTGTCCTATGAAGTGTCTCTTGGCCATGCAGTCCAGAAAAGATTCACTCGTGGGTGAGGTTCGACCTGAGTGTGTGAAGAGCAATTGTGATCATGGTGGCGGCTGAGTTCTAGAGGCTTTTGGCTGTTGGGTCTGGGTCCCTTGCGGGGGGGGAGAAGGGGTCTCACCTGCCCCCCAGGTGACTCACCTTGTATGGGGCCAACCTGGATTCAGTCCCTGGCACACATAAGGTCCCCTGAGCTTTGCCAAGAGTGATCCTTGAGCACAGAGCTCAGAGTAAGTGCTGAGCATTGCCAGGTGTACTCTCTCTGGAAAAAAAAAAAAAAGAAAAGCAATATCTTAAGTATATGCAAAGATCAGGTTAATACGAATGTCAATTAATGCAGTCAGTCATATTAAAAAATAGAAATGATGCAAATTTCCTTTGATAGAAGATTGAGTAATTTCTTGTATCACTGGCTGCTAGAGAAATGGTACAGCAGGTAAGGTGCTTGCCTTGCATTTGGCTGACCTGAGTGAGTTTGATACCTGTACCCCACATGGTCCCCCAAGCCCCACCAGGTGTGAATCTTGAGAACAGAGCCAGGAGTGAACCCTAAACTCCACCAGGTGTTACCCAAAACAAAACAATGAAATGCCTGTATCCCCACAATGACATACTATGAACCTGTTAAAAATTAAGTCGACTTATATGCCTAAAATAGTGCTTTAAAAATATCAGGTTGCAAAAGAATGTTAAGTTGACCTAATTTGGATTTTTTGCTGGTTTCTGTTTTGTCTGTTTATTTGTTTTGGGGCTGCACCCAGCGCTGCTCAGGGCTAACTTCTGTCAGCTCAGGGATCACTCCTCAAGGGTCTCGGAATCATATGGGATGCCGGGGATCAACCCAGATCAACTGAATGCAAGGCAACCTTCTTACCCACTGTTCTATCTCTCCAGCTCCCTAATTTAAATTTTTTTATGTGTGTATGAATCTAAAAACTTCAATGAGATTATTATTATTATTATTGTTTAGGTTTTGGCCACAACCAACTATGCTCAGGAGTGATTTAATAGTGTCAAATTCCCCTTCAAAAGGACTGTGCCAATTTACAGCTGTGGCTATGAGTTCAGAGATCGCTCCTGGCAGGGCTGGGGATCTAACCCAGGTGGTCCACATCAAGGAAAGCCACCCTACTTGCTGTACGATCACTCTGGTCCCAAATGAGATGAAAGATTGAGAGAAGGCATAAATACATCTTCACTTTTCTTCTCTATACATCTGTATCATTAAAAAAATTCACAATAGCGAAATGATGGCAAAAAATTCACATATTAACAAGAAGTTTATATTCACATATTGATCACTTGATCACTTGACTTCCCGTTAATCGTCGATTTGCTTGAGCGGGCACTAGTAACGTCTCCATTTGTCACATATTAATACTGAAATTTATAAAATACTTGAAAGGTCTTTTTTAATACCTGAAGATTTTAAAAAATTAAATATGCCTTCTTGACTAACTCAGCCAAGTCAAGGGGGGAGATTGTGGAGATTGTATGAGCATCCTGGGAAGAATATACAGTATGAAGTATGGTATAGTCTCCATACTATAATCTCTGTAGTATGGAGATTATACACTTATAAGATGATCTGTAACAAACATTACCATTTCCTCCCTCACTTAAAACATCATCAATTTCCACAATGAAGTACAGTGAGGTGAAAAGAAAAGATGAAATCGTGCAGTTCACTGCATTGTGGATTGAGTTTAGAGGGCATGCTAGGTGAGATAAATCAGAGGGAGGAAAAATACTGAATGCTCATGCTCCTCTGTGGTATGTAAAGAGACAAAAAAGGGAAAGAGCCAGTTATCAGATAACAACAAATCCCTGACCTGGGATTACAAAACTAAGATTACCAAACAGTGATGGGAAAGGTGACTGTGACAGAAGGAGGTGGAGTAGACACTACCTAAGGAGAGTCAGAGGGTCTTGGACACTGGGTGGTTTTAATTTAATTTAAATTAATTGTAAAAAAAAATTAACAGAATTTTTAAAAATATTGTAAAGACCAGAAAGGTAGTACAGGGGTTAAGGTGCTTGCCTTGTATGCCTCTGACCCCAATTTGATCCCTAATGCCAGTATACTGAGGACCCTGAGTACCACCTAGGAGACTTAAACCCTGAGCATAGAGCCAGAAGTAACTGCAGAGCACTGCTGGATGTGATAAGCAAAACAAAAGAACATTATCAGCATAGATCTTCTTGTATGTACTAAGAAAGTGCCAAGAGGGACCTGGAGATAGCTCAAAGGGCTGGGGTACATTTTTTGTGTGCAGGAACCTCAGGTTTGATCCCTAAGCACCACAGGAAATGACCCCCTCCAGGCAAGTCTGGAATAGTCCTCTGAGCACCACTGACCCAAAGACAAAAACAAAAAGAAGTATCAAGAACTTTTATTTAGGAACCAGAAGATACTACAGTGGGTAGGGCTCTTGCCTTGCACGGGACCCCTGCCAGGAGTAATTCCTAAGTGTGAGACAGGAGAAACCCCTGAACCTCATTGAGTGTGGCCCCCAAACAAAACAAAAACTTTTAATGCCAACCTAAGTATGTTTTTAGGTTAATTTGTTTGTTTGGATGCTACTCCTGATTCATTGCTTTCGGATCCTCCCAGCAGTGCTCAAGAGACCATATAGTGCTGGGGATCTAGCCCAGGTCTCAAGGCTGCAGTGAAGATAATACACGGGGTATCATATTGTTTTCCTTGCATGTGGCTGACCCAGATTCAATCTGAAATATGCCATAGGGTACACCTGAGCATCTTCAGGAATGATCCCTGAGTTCAGAGGAAGGAGTAAGCCCTGAACACTGCTGGGATATGACCCAAACTACGTTCCCCACCCCAACCCCCGAAGTCTCCAGCATACAAAGCATGCTCTCCCGCCCATTGGGCTGGTGCCTGAATAATTAAGCAAGTGATTTATTTATGTAGGTTTTAACTTGGCTCTGCTCAGGGCTACTCCTGGCTCTGCATTCTGGGCAGGTTCTGCAGACCATATGTTGTGCCAGGGATGGAAACTAGGTCAGCTACATGTAAGGCAAGTGCCCTATCCATTGTTCTATCTCTCTGCCCAATCCCATAAGCAAGTGTTTAGATCGCATTTATAGAGTGATAAAAGTGGGGTCAGAGAAATAGTACAGGAGATAAGACATTTGCCTCACACAAGGCTGACCCTGGTTCAAATCTCAGAACCATACATATATGATCCCCTGAGCACCACTGGGGGTCACTTCTGACCACAGAACTGGAAATGGCTCCTGAGCACTGCTGGGTGTGGCCCAACAATCCTCCCCAATAAATTAATGAAAAAGATCAAATGGTAAATATAAAAAGACACAAGCAGAAATAATTATCAATGTCTTCACCTGTATAAAGAACAGGTCATGTTTGCTTTACACACAGAATGGGTTTACTCTTCCAGCTAGCTAGAGTGGTATGGAAGATAAAACTACTGAATAATTTAACTACTGCTCTTCAGTATAGTCATTTATTTATATTCACTTAGGTAGTTTTAGGACTACACTCGGCAGTGTTCAGGAGTTATTATTGGATCTATGTTCAGGGATCACTCCTGGTGGTTGTCAGCATGGTCACTGGGATCGAACTTGGGTCTCCTGCATGCAAAGCATTGCTTAGTCTGCTGAGTTCTCTCTCTGGCTCCAAGTATAGTAATTTATAGCCTGGATCAAAGACAAGTATTCTCTAAAGTAGCCATGGGAGAAGGTAAATAGAAGAATGGAACAAGGAAAAAATGAATACTGTGTTTGTCATTTCTAATCCAGAAGAATGTCTTGGTACATAGTTCCCTACTTAAAGAAAGCCATTGCTGGTGGAGAAGTTCTTTAGGAAACAGATAAAACTTGGTTGTTTACTCAATGGAATAGTTGATACTTAAAAGTGATACTAAGTAATTTCTCAATAGACTCCAAAAGTTCCAAGGCAGTTGATAAATGACAGTTGCAGATAAAGCAGAGGCAGAAAAAAAAAAAAACATGCAGGGAAATGAATGATGAACTGGGCCCAGGAGATACTGAAACTGTGTGATAAACAAATTATAGCATTCACCTTTGACTATCCATTGTACATTCTAACCCCCTTATTACTGCTTCCCATTTTCAGCATGCTGGAGAGCAGTAATCAACCTCACTGGAGCAATGAGCTTGTAGAAGAACAACTACAGAATGTCTCTAAGTTGCAGGATCAGCTGAATGATGAGCTAGAGGAGAAGAGAAAAGTATTACTTCAGCTTTCCAGAGAGAAAGGTAGGTTGGACCTTAAAGAGGTTTGTGAGGTGGGAATTTGGGCCAGAGTTTTGCAATTTTGTGTCACGGATAACAAGAATAAGAATAATGACAACTGAATCTGACTTATCATCTATAAAAGAAATGGAGAGGGGCTGGAGCAATAGTACAGTGGGTAGGCCATTTGCCTTGCATGTGGCTGACCCGGGTTTGATTCCCGGCAGTCCATATAGTCCCCTGAGCACTGTCAGGAGTAATTCCTGAGTGCAGAACCAGAAATAAACCCTGAGCAATGCTGGGTGTGACACAAAAAGTCAAAAGATCCAAACAAACAAATAAAAAGAAATGGAGAAAGAAGGAAAGAAAGCGGAAGAAAGGAAGGTAGGGAGGGAGGGAGGGAGGGAAGAAAGGAGAAAAGTAGGAAGAAAACTGAAGAAAAGAGAAAGAAAGAAAAGTAAAAGGAAGGAAGGAAGAAAAGAGGAAGGAAGGGAGTCAAATTGGGCACCGCGGAGAAACGAGTAATAGCTTAGTATAATGGAGTGAACACTTGGAAAGATGTTGAATTGGATAGTGCATTCAAAGAGCTTGGACCTGGGCCGAAGCAGGTTGAGTGCTTGCCTTGTGACTGTTGACCTGGGTTCAATCCCTAGCAGGGACAGCGTCATCCACGGAACCCCCCAGGAGTGTTTCCTGAATGCAGAGCCAGGAGTAAGCCCTGAATACTTCTGGGTGTAGCTCCAAAACAAACAAAAGCTTGGACTGTTCTATTTAATCCAGTGACTTTTTTGTTTCTATCTTTGCTTTTATTCTTTTCACTGGACCCTTCGGCTGGTATTTTTGTTATATTTTTGTAGCTTACCTGTCAACTCAGTTTATAGAGGATATATAGGGGATCAATTAGCTAGAACTAGTTTTAAAAGAAAAGAGAATTGTGGCTCATTTGCTGCCGGAGCCTATGTGTTGCTTGTGCCCAGGTGGCTGAGCACATGTGTTGTTTGAGGACATGTGTTGCTCCCATCTCTCCTCTTGAGATGGTACTTTCATGCTTCCATATCTAATGCTGGGGCGTGAGTAGGGGCTCTCTCCACCTTTGGAGAAATTCGTGTGCTCTCTTGAATGTGTTACACTCTTGCTTTCTCTCCCTCCTTCTCCTTCCTAAAAAATCTCCAAATAAAATCTGCTTTACTTTAAAAAAGAAAAAGAGAGAGAATTGCTTCTTTAAGGAAAAATTGATAAAATAAGCTTTAGTGGGAAAATTTAATTCATGCTTGGCCATGGTTTCTGACAACTACTGAGTTTATCTTTCTGTATTACTATTTCCTCAGCTCAAAACGTGGACTTGGAGCTTGAAGTTGCCACTCTGCTTGAGATTAATACACAGGAAGTCCAGATTCTGCACAATAAAGATATCATTTCCCAATCTCTTGGCGGACAATCTCTTGAACAGTCTCCTGATAAGCCATCTCTTGACGAGCAATCTGAACCAGATACTCACCCAGCTCTATTTCAAGAGACTGATCAAATAGAGCAAATAGAAGTAAGAGGCTTTTGTTTTGTTTTGTTTTGAAGACAATGCTAGAGATTGAACCCAGGTCCCAAATTTACAAGACCTGTGCTTTGTTGCTACTCAAGCCCTAAGGCAAGAGATCTTTAAGCAAGACCCTTGTACAGAGTACATGAAGGGAAGGCAGAGCATAGGACTGCGGGTAGGGCATTTGCCTTGCATGTAACCAACCAGGGTTCATATCCCCGGCATCTTATGTGGTCCCCTGAGCTTGCCAGGATTAATTCCTGAGTGCAGACAAGAGCAACATCTGAGCACCGCCGGTGTCCCCCCACCCTGCCAAAATAAAAAAATGAATGGATTAGAGAACTATCAGAATGTTGTCTATATCTAGAATATGGAAAAAGGCTTAGAGATTACTTCAATGAGTGAAACACATTTATTCCACTATTTGCAGCTTATATAAGCTCCTTTTTAAGATCAGTTCATTAGAGGCAAATAACTTCCTCACTGCTATTACCAAACATGAAGCACTAGGAAGTAACAAGTTCTTTTTTACACTTTGGAATAAATTCTGCTGAACTCTCCCTCCCTCCCACCCATTCCTCCTTCCCTCTCCTTCCCTCCCTCCCTCCCCCCTCCTTTCTTCCCTCCCTCCCTCCCTCCCTCCCTCCTTCCTCCCTCCATCCCTCTCTCTCTCTTATTTTTGGTTTCTGGTGGTGCTTGAGTGAATCTGGGTGTTCCTCCTGGGACCATGTACTTGGGATTGAACCAGCCCTTCCACATTTAAAGCATGCAGGCAGTCCATTGAGTTGTGTCTTTTGTCATGATTCTGTTTATTTGGGGGGGAGGTGGAATTGGGCAACACCCAGTGTTGCTCAGGGGCTTATTCTTGACTCTGTACTCAGGAATCACCCTTTGCAGTGCTCAGGGGATCATGTGTAGTGCTGGGGATGGAATTGGCAAATGCCTTACCTCCTGTACTAGCTCTCTTGCCCCTGCTGCTGGTATTTTACTATGAAACAGCAACTGTATTATGAAGAATAGATGTGACTACACTTATCATATTTATACTCCCTTTCATTCATGATTTTTTCCCTCTATAGTCCTGTGAAACAAAAAAACAACAAGAAGAAAATTTGTCCCAGATGTTAAGTGAGTTGCAAATATCACATGCAGAGACCACGCTGGAACTAGAAAAAACCAAAGATATGCTTATTCTGCAGCGCAAAATCAATGTTTGTTATCAGGTGCATGAAAAGGGGGTGTGTCAAAGGGGGGTAGGTCAATAGATACACAGGAGGGGCCGGGCATGTATCTAAGCAGTAGAACACTTCGCTTGCATCATGTGTAAGGCTCTGGGTTCGATCCCCAGAACAACAATACACACACACATAAACACACACACACACACACAGACACACACACACACACACAGAACCAATTCAAATGTTGGAATGAAGGAATAAAGACCCAAGTTTCTGGGACTGATAAGGGACACACTGTCCTGTGATGTCCCGAGGTCAGGCTGTGGTACTCATACGTTCATCCCGAGGCCTCTCCAAGGCCTGCACTCCTTTCTTGTACACCTACTTGCCAGGGTTCACACTCATTTATTATGGTGTTCACACACTTCCTGATTGTAGTGCTTTCCAGGAACTGTCTCAGTAATTCCTGCCCTCAGGAATTACTCCTGGTGGTGCTTGGGGGACCATATGTGATGTCAGGGATTGAACCCAGGTCTGTTGTGTGCAAGCAAACACCCAACTGCTATACTAGTGCTCCAACCTCAGGTCTCACTTTTTGACTGTGGTGCATGGACATCTTCCAGTTGTGATATTTGCTGGGGGAATCTACACACTTGGCTGCTTTGTGGCAGGAAATCACTTAGAGCTGCAGGGGTCAGACAGCAGAGCTGCCAGGATTGCAGTCAGCACCAGGGACTGAACACTCGACCTTACACTTCCAAGGCAGATGCTCTAAGGCACAAAGCTAGACCCTACCCTCTCGAGTTTTTTGGGGGAAGGGGTATGGGGAAGGGTCCGTACCTCTCAGTGCCCATGTGCTACTCCAGGCTCAGTGCTCAGAGGTCACTCTTCATACAGCTTGAGACACCATGTAATGCTGGGGATCAAACCTGGGTTTCTTACATGCAAAGCATGAGCACCAGCCTGTTGAGCAATCATCTCTCCACTTTCCCCTGATTTTGTGTCTGTGTACTCTGGAATTGAATTTACTGTTTGACACATGTGAGGCATGTGATCAACCATGGAGCTACGTCCCTGGGATAAAAATGCCACATTTTAATTGGTATTTTTTAAAATTTATTTTTATTTTTATAAAGTAGTTCACTATAGTTGATTACATTTAATATTCAAACACCAATCCCACCACCATTATGCCTTCCCACCACCATATTTAGGATGAATTCTGAACCCCAATCCCTGTCCTAAAGCAGAACTGAAATAATTCATTTTGTATTGTTATGAATAAACTGCTGGAAATATTCCAAAAAAGTTTTTTTTAGACGAAAGTGTGTTAATATTGTATTTCACCCAGGGGCTATTAAACCCTTCTGTAAGAGAGATCACTAACATGTTGTTAAAGATTGAGCCTTGAGGGGCTGGAGCAATAGCAGAGCGGGTAGGGCATTTAACTTGCACGAGGCTGACCCAGGTTTGGTTCCCAGCATCCCATACGGTCCCCCGAGCACCGCCAGGAGTAATTCCTGAGTGCATGAGCCAGAAGTGACCCCTGAGCATCGCCAAATGTGACCCAAAAAAGCAAAAAAAAAAAAAGTTGAGCCTTGATATAAATGTATGTATATATATATATCCCTCTGAGATTAGTTGCCTTCTACTTTATCTCTGAACTATTGAAATAGAAAATTTCAGATATGATTTTGTTTCAGGAGGAACTGGAGTCAATGATGACCAGAGCCGAAAATGAAAATGAAGAGCATAAAGAAAAACTGAAGAGGCTGAATCAACTTCTAGAGCTCAAGAACAATCGTATCAATCAGCTGGAAGGTTTTTTACGAAGTCATGGCCTTCCAATATCTGGCAAGTCTTGATACTTTGTTCTCCTGATCTTGGGATCCATCACATAGCTAATACCTATGTCCAATATATGCTGATACAGAGGTTCTGCCTCTACAACTTCGGCATTGACAATCCCTCCTGTTTCTCCTATCATCCTTGCTGATAGAATAATCATTGCAAGCTCCTTGTCTTCTATTATATTAGAATCTTTTTCTGATTTCTCAGAGGTTTAACAGGGCTCAGATATACAAAAATTTATTTTGAGAGGCGGCTGGAGCAATAGTACAGTGGATAGGGCATTTACCTTGCATGCAGCTAACCTGGGTTAGATCCTCGATATCCCATCTAGTCTCCTGAGTACCACCAGGAGTGATTCCTGAGTACAGAGCCAGGAGTAACCCCTGAGCATTACCGGGTGTGCCTCCAACCTCCCACAAAAAAAAAATCTATTTTGAGAATGACAAAGTTTACTTTGCTGTCAGGGTTGTATAAAACTATTCCTCTGTCAAAGTTGTTTTCTTTTTTCTTTTTTTTTGCTTTTTGGATCACACCCACCGATGGTCAGGGATTACTCCTGGCTCTGCACTCAGGAATTACTCAGGTGGTGCTTAGAGGATCATATGGGATGCTGGGGATTGAATTCAGGTTGGTCTCGTGCAAGGCAAACGTCCTACCCGCTGTACTATCACTCCAGCCCCCAAAGTTATTTTCTTGACCCAGGTCTAAATAACAATGTGTGTGTGTGTGTGTGTGTGTGTGTGTGTGTGTGTGTGTGTGTGTGAGAGAGAGAGAGAGAGAGAGTGGAACATTTTCAGTCATCCCTCATCATTCTTTTCAGTTATTTCTCTCTAAAACACTATCACTGTCACTGTCCTCCCGTTGTTCATCGATTTGCTTGAGTGGGCCCAGTAACATTGTGAGACTTGTTGTTACTGTGTTTGGCATATCGAATACGTCACGGGTAGCTTGCCAGGCTTTGCCGTGCAGGCGAGATATTCTCGGTAGCTTGTTGGGCTCTCCGAGAGGGACGGAGGAATCGAAGGTGGAGGAATCAAACTCGGTTCGGCCCAGTCGGCCGTGTGCAAGGCAAATGCCCTACCAGCTGTGCTATCGCTCCAGCTCTAAAACACTATTAAAATAAATTAAAATAAAAGTTTAAAAATCCTCTATTGCCATTTGAAAAAGACATCAACAGTGACAAGCAGTTGTCTAGACAGCTGTATAAATTTCATACTGTGGTACTCCTATCCTTAGCATAGGCACTGCCAGGCAGAGTCATTACACACAGTCGTGAGATTTGTTAGCATGGGTCAGCTTATATTAGCAAAACTCACCCTGGACTGATATTTAAACAAGAATATTTATTTGTTATTTTATAATGGGTGTTCCATTTCTGTCACCAGAATGTGTGGTACCTAACCGTCTCTCTGGAAAGTTGAATCTGTAAACAGGTTTCCTAACATAGAACTAGGATAAAAGGAGTAAGACGTTCTTAGTCCTGATTGGGTTCATGTCACGGTGAGTCTCTGAGGTCATCGTCAGACCAGCGAGATAGCTCAAAAGACTGAGCTACTGCTTTGCATGTAAGAGACCCAGGTTTGATCCCTGGCACCACACAGTTTCCCAAGGCTCTGCTAGCAGCGATCCCTGAACACCACATCAGGAGTAGGTGCTGAGCATTGCTGGGCTGGGAGTGGGGACAGCCCTTTTATTTAAAAAAAAAAAAAAGGCAACCAACAACAACAAAAAAAAAACCCAAAAAAAAACGGGGGGGGGGGGGGCAGAGTGAGCACAGTAGGGAGGGCATTTGCCTTGTACTCAGCTTATCTGGGTTCAATCCCCAGCATCCCATATGGTCCCCCGAGTACCACCAGGAGTGGTTCCTGAGCACAGAGCTAGAAATGACTCCTGGGCATTGCTGGGTGTGGCCCCAAAACTAAAATAAAAATAAAAATAAGTCATTGCCATATAAGTAAATCCTGCCCACCCCACTTTTGGATTAATTGAAATTATACTGTCATTCAGATAGGGTTATTCTTTGTTAGAATACTGGCTAAATATTCTTACTCCTAAACATTAATTTGCTTTCACTTACATCTCTTTCTTTGAGTGGGAACCTACACCCAGGGAGGCTTCGGGCCTATTCCTGGTTCTGCTCAGGAGTGTCCCCTGGTGGTGCTGGGGGGATCTATCCATAATGCCCTTGATTTGCACTGAGGTTGGCCATGTATAAATATAAAGCAAGCACCTTGCCTCTGGTATGGTCTCTCTAGCCCTTATATTTCCTTTATTATGAAAAGGTTAGACTTTTTAAATGTTTGCCAGTTCTTTTATCCTTTTGCTTTTTGTTCAGGGACTCTGAGGTGCTCAGGGGCTACATCTCACTACATCCTCAGGGGACCTATGCGGTATCACGGTTCCTGCAAACAAAATTTGAGCTTCTCAGTCCTTTGAGCTACCTCTCTTATGTCATTATTTCTTCTGAAAGTTGCCTTATTTTGTCCTTTTTGACATAGTTCTTTTGTGTGATGCTGGAAGTTGAACTCAGCCTCACATATACCTTTACCTCTGAGCTATATCCTTAGCCCTCCTCTACCCATTTCTTTTTTTAATTTAATTTTATAGTTATCCACAATAACTTATTACATTCATCACACCAACCCCACCACCATTACCTCTTCTCACTACCATTATTTCAAATATTTCCACCACCCCGAAAGCCTACCCCAAAAGCAGTACCTACATAATTTATTTCGTATTGCTTATTATGAATAATTCACTAAAAATGATTCAAAAAAGTTTCCTTAGAGGAAAGTGTTGTTACAGGTTGAGTCTGTGTGCAAATATAGACATATCTTGGTCATGATTCGTTGCCTTCTACTTTACACGCCATTAAATGTGGTGTGCTACTCTTGGTATATCAGTGGCGTAGAGTATCGTTGGCCATATGCTCCAGGAATTCAAAAATTTTATTTATTTATTTATTTATTTTGCTTTTTTGGGTCACACCCGGCGATGCACAGGGGTTACTCCTGGCTCTGCACTCAGGAGTTACTCCTGGCGGTGCTCAGGGGACCATATGGGATGCTGGGAATCAAACCCAGGTCGGCTGTGTGCAAGGCAAATGCCCTACCCGCTGTGCTATCTCTCCAGCCCCAGGAATTCAAAAATTTTAAATAGACCTCTAACGATTTCTTTTTTGGGGGGGGGGGGGTTACACTTGGTGATACTCAGGGGTTACTCTTGGTTCTGCACTCAGAAATCACTCCTGGCAGTGCTCGAGAGACCATATAGGATGCTGGCTCGACCAAGTGCAAGGCAAATGTCCTTCCCTGTATTATCACTCTGGCCCTCTACTCATTTCTTAACAGTATTTTATTAATCTGTAAAAGTTCTTTATATTCTATTTCTTTTTGTTTATTTGAAGGCCACACCTGGCAATGTTCAGGGGTTACTCCTGGCTCTGCACTCAGGAATTACTCCTGGTGGTGCTCAGGGAACCATATGGGATGCTGGGGATTGAACCTGGGTAAGCCACTTGCAAGGCAAATGACCTACCTGCTGTACTATAGCTCCAGCTATATATCAAATTATTAACTCTATGTCATGTAATGCATATTATTTGGGGTGGGGGGAAAGGAGCACACCCAGCAGTTTTCAGGGGTGCTTGGTAAATGTAAACAGTGTCAGGGTTTGAACTGGGGATAGGTGTGTGCAAAGCAAACACCTTAAACCCCTGTACTATCTCTCTGGCCACAAAGCAATATAGTTAATTTATTTTATTCAATAGTACATTCTTGGGCTGGAGCGATAGCACAACGGGTAGGGCGTTTGCCTTGCATGCAGCCAACATGGCGTACCCGAGTTCGATTCCTCCGCCCCTCTTGGGGAGCCTGGAAAGCTACCCAGAGTATCTCGCCTGCATGGCAAAGCCTGGCAAGCTCCCCGTGGCGTATTCGATATGCCAAACATAGTAACAACAAAGTCTCACAATGGAGACGTTACTGGGCTTGAGAAAATCGATGAACAACGGGAGGACAGTGACAGTGACAGTATATTCTTGTTCATTAATAAACCATTAATCAGGGGCCAGAGAGATAGTACAGTGGGTAGGACACTGGCCTTGCATGAAGCCAACCTGGGTTTGATCCCTGGCACTTCATATGGGCCCTTGAGCACTATCAGATGTGATCCCTGAGAGCAGAGCCAGAAGTAAGCCTTGAACACCCCTGACTTCAAGGGGTTTCTGTTTTGAAACAGAAAAAAAAGAAAAAAATAACAGAAAAAAAAGAAAATCATTAGTCATTCTGTGTATTCCATTTATTTTGGACAGGAAGACATTCTGATGTATCCAAAATATTTTTGTTTTATTATTTTAACTTTTAAACTAGGACCATCACCTTAATACACACTTGATGACTCAAATATTTTTCAATTCGAAGTGGATTGTAGATCAAAGATTCTGATTGGTTGGATAAGCAAGGTCATGCATGGATTTGGTAAACTGTCTCATCTTTGCATCCACTACCAATATTTTTAAACTTCTTTCCAATAATTCTCCTCTTCCACTATTTACTTATTATTCTGACTTAAAGTGAGTTTTCATCTTTCTTTTGCGTAAAAGAAAGATAATGAAAAGAAATTCTTAACAAGTCCAAGATGGAAAAAAGAATCATTTCTTGGTGGGCCCTAGGAATGTAGGTATGTAGTATGCACTGACGTGAAAATGTTCTATTTATTCTTGTCATGGCCGTTATCCTAACTTCCTATATATATATTTATATACATATAAATATGAAGTTGGATATGTATATATATATATACATACAGAGAGAGAGAAGATGGATGGACCACATCCAGCTGCAGTCAGGGCTCACTCCTGCTGGTACTCAGGGAATCATAAATGGTGCTGGGGATTGAACCAGGGTTAGGCAAGCATCTTAACCTCTGCACTATCTCTTTGGTGCTTTTTGGGGCTTAGTTTTGCTTTGTTTTGGGGTCATACACTGCTGAATTCAAGGCTTACTCCTGGATCTTCACTCAGAGGCTACTTCCTAAGATGCATGGATGACTGTATGGGGTGTTAGGGATTCAGCCCGGGTCAGCAGTGTGCAAGGCAAACACCCTACCCACTGTACTATAGCTCCAGCCCCATATTTTATATTTCTAGTATTTCTCTAATAAAATTACCAGTTAATCCAGAGGACCTTGTGATAATCCAAAGCAATGCCATCTACGGATCAATTTTTGCCCTTTTGTTTTCTTATTTTTACTGTTTACTTCCAATTACTTTGTATCTTCTTTCTAGAGCAGCCACTGGATTATTCGATCATCTGAATTCAGAGTTCTTATTTGTCATTTTATTGCTTTTCCTTTTTTCTTTTTTTTGTGGAGGACCACACCCAGCAATGTTCAGGGGCTAATCCTATTTCTGTAGTCAGGAATTAGTCCTGGCGATGCTTGGGGAACCATTTGAGATGCCAGGGATCAAACCTGGGTCAGCCACGACCAAGGTAAATGCCCTACTGTACTATTCCTGTGGCCCCTGTTGTTTTTATTTTTTAATCATGTGGTTTCTTGATATAATCACAATTTGGAATTCCATGGTTTTTCTTGTCCTTCTTTCTACCTTTCTTTATCCTTGCAAGAATTTTCTACTCCTTAATGGATAGACAGTTTTCTTTCCCTTTAGAAAAGCTCAGAAATGTGGCTTATGGCACTCGACAGGTGTCATCATGTCTGGAAACATTGCCAGCCCATGGAAATGAGGATCAAGTGAACCTTCCTCTTCTTCGCCAGAGTGAGAATCTTTTTGAGCTACACATCCACCAGGCCTTCCTGACATCTGCTGCTCTGGCTCAGGCTGGAGATCCTAAACTTACCACTTTTTGCACCTATTCTTTCTATGATTTTGAGACCCACTGTACTCCCCTATCTGTGGGGCAACAGCCCCTCTATGACTTCACCTCCCAGTATGTGGTGGAAACAGATTTCCTTTTCTTGAACTACATTCAAAGGGCTTCAGCCCAGCTTGATCTACATCAGGCAATAGGCTGTGAGCACCACACACTTGCAACTGGATGGATCTACTTTGGCAGGGTGCTGGGGACTGTGGAGAGAGTCTACGGCTCTATAGTACTTACTGGTAAGTCCTCTCAGTATCCCATAGCTCCCAGGACTAATGTGTGGACTTTCCCCAAACCTATAGCTACTCTGATACTGGTGTCCCACTTCCTTCCTCTGCCATTATTCTTGATCCTGGCCACATCATCTGTCCCTTCCATGCCTTTCCTACTTTCTGCTATCCAGGAGCTGGTGGAGAAGAGATCGGGGTGCTGGAGTACTGGATGAGACTATGCTCCCCGCTAAAATCCAGCCTACAGGCAGGCATTAAGCAAAAGAAAACCCAAGCCTACCTGTCTTCCAGTGTTCTTGGAGCCTGGGAGGCCCAGGAGGATGAGGTGAGAAAAAAGGCACAGGTCCAGGCATCTCAAACTAAGGCAGGCTATGACAGCAGCTCCGTCTTTCACTTTTAGATAAGAGAAATGCCACCATACCACAGCTAGTCAAAATTTTCCCCTTGATCAAGTTCAAATTTGGAATGAAATTGTGCACTTTTCCTTGCTGGGAGCCAAACAGCATGCCTGTTCTGTTCTCTACGATAAGGCTCGAGTGTCAGAATCTCCTTCAGGTCCCTGTGAGCGAGAGCCAGTTTGCAAGCAGGTTAATGTCATTGGGTGTCTGTGATCTGGCCAGGACTCAGCGTCTCTCTAAATCACAACTCTTCACCACCAAGCGAGGGTACAGGGCTTAAACTACCACGCTCTCTTAGGCTGCGCTTTTTAAACCTCAATCCAAGACCCGGCATTTTTCCAGTCCAGATCAGAGACATGGAAACATCAGAATGAACTGCAGGTGGAAATCATCAGGTGCTCTGACCTCCGGAGTCGATGGCTGGGAACCCAGCCCAGTCCTTATGTCATGTACTGCTTCTTCACCTTTTCTGACCACGACACTGTCATCATTCCGGCCAGTCACAACCCCTGCTTTAGAGACCAGGCTCGATTCCTCGTGCATGTGACTTCTGACTTGGATTGGTATCTGAGGCGGGAGGCCCTGTCCGTGTACGTTTTCGATGATGAAGACTCAGAGCCCGGCATGTACCTTGGCCGAGCCCAAGTGCCCTTGCTTCCTCTTGCACAAAATAAATCCATTAAAGGTGGGAGCTCCAGGTTATTACATCTTTATGCTCTCTTTCCAGTGTTTTGCAGCTCTAATCCTAGAATGTTTCTATGATTACTTGTTTGAAACAGTCTTTCTTAAAACATGATGAAAAGGGGGCCCAGAGAGATAGCTCAATGGGATGGGGAGGCTCATACTTGGCATGTAGGAGCCCAGACTGAGATTAGCACTGCTAGACATGGCTTCCAAACCAAAGTAAACTAAAATAAAACATTTATTTTTTAATAAATAATCTAAATTACAAGCATTTTAGAATATCATCGAGAGCAAGAGAGTAGAAAACTTAGGACCTTCTTCATCCCATGAAAACCTAGGCTGCTTCTGCTTTCTCAGCAACAAAAAAGAAGATACCCAAATGAGTAGATCCATTGGCCTAAAGTCAATACGATCTGTCTAAACAAACATTTTATGACTCTTTAATGCTTCCTGGTATCTGTCTTCACTTAAATCTTACTGTTTCTTAGCATAAGACTAGATATGAGACTATAAAGTCGTTCCTAAGACTCCCCAATAATTCTCTTGTTTCTTTTCTTTATTATTTATTTATTTTTAGATTTTTGGGTCACACCTGGCAATGCTCAGGGATTCCTCCTGGCTCTGTGCTCAGAAATTACTCCTTGCGGTACTTGGGGGACCGTATGGGATGCCGGGGATCGAACGCAAAGCAAACGCCCTACCCCCAGTACTATCATTCCAGTCCCTCTTATTTCTTTTAAAATGTAGGCACAAGTTAGATTGCCATCCTATAGCAAGAAAAGCAAACTTCTTGGACTTTTTCCTCACTAGTAGTGAGTGAAGATGGTGCCTGGAGAATCATATGCTGTGTACGGGATAGGGCTGGATTTGGCAGCAGTGAGGCAAGCTCCTTAACCCCTGTACTATCCCTCTGGTTCCAATCTTTATTTTTAAAGCCAGTGTTATGAAGATGTAGGTAGGCAAGGTCACCTCCCAGTTTCAGTCTGCGCGAGGCAGGTGTCCATGCTCTTACTAGGATGGGTAATGTGGATGAGAGCAGCCACTACTAGCTGTATTTAGGAAGCATCTGCATATTCCTTTGAATCTGCAATCTTTGTTTTTTTTTTTAAAAGTGAGGACTGAAGTGATAGTACAGTGGGTAGGGGGCTGTCTTTCATGTGACTGACCTGGATTGGATTCCCCAGCACCCCTTATGGTCCACAGAACACTGCCAGGAGCAATTCCTGAGTGCAGAGTCATGAGTAACCTGAATATTCTCCCTGACCTCCACCCCCCCCCACAGAAAAGTCAGGGAGAGTTCAAAGGGTTGCATATATGATTTGTATACAGAAATCCTGATTTTGATCCTGACACCACATGGTGCCTGAGGGACAGCTAGAAGTGGTCCAAAAAGGATGGGGAAGGGGTTGTAAGTTGTGCTGACAACTCCTCCTTTGACAAAGAGGGGCAATGCCAGCCCTTTGTTGAATTAATCATTATTACAAAGTAGAAATCTGTTATTTTGAAAAATCCAGTTAAGTTTTTTTTTTTTTAATTTGGACCTGGGAATTTAACCCAAGCCCTGATACATTCAAGGTGTGTGCTCTACCATGAAACATGCATCTTGTATGTGAGGCCCTGGGTTTAATTACTGGCACTGAATAAAACAAAACAAATAACTTTTCCTGGCTTTTATTATCTTATTTATGTGCTAATTGTTGACTTTAATTATTTTAGAAATTGGAACCACTTGGGGCTGGAGCAATAGCACAGTGGGTAGGGCACTTACTTCACACATTGAACTTGACTCAAGTTCAATCCCTGGCATATAATATGGTCCCCCAATCACCACAGGAATAGTTCCTGAGTGCAGAATAGGAGTAACTCCTGAGCATTGCCAGGCATGACCTGAAAAAAAAATCATTTGAGTACAGATGTATAGATAATGCTTTTCTCATTTTCTTGTATAAGGTACAAAAGTGTATGGCTGTAATAATAATAATGTAACAATACAGTCTTACTGATTAGGTGACTGTAGCACTGTAGCACTGTCCTCCCGTTATTCATCGATTTGCTCAAGCGGGCCCAGTAACACTGTGAGACTTGTTACTGTGTTTGGCATATCAAATAGGTCACGGGAGCTTGCCAGGCTTTGCTAGGCTTTGCCATGAGGGCGAGATACTCTCAGTAGCTTGCTGGGAGAGGGGGGATGGAGGAATCGAACTTGGATCAGCCATGTTGGCTGCATGCAAGGCAAACGCCCTACCCGCTGTGCTATCGCTCCAGCCCAATTAGGTGACTAATGGCAAGCAAATTATGTCTTTTGGGCTGGCTTAAGTTGGTCTGTGCTCAGAGATCACTGGCAGGGCTCAGGGAACTATAAAGGGTACCAGGGATGGAGACTGGGTCAACCTTAAAGTACAAGACAAGTGCCTTGAGCCACTGTATTATCTCTGGCCCCAACTTCTTGAATGTATATGTTTAACCCAGTGATGTTAATCACTAACAAAATACAGTAAAATTCAAAATGCCAATATAAGAAATAGGTAAGTTGCTGCTAAATGTTCACTAGTCTGTTTCATGTGATCAGATCTTAATAAAGGCTATATTTTTCAGGTGATTTTAGCCTTACTGATCCTACAGGGGTACTCAATGGATCAATTCAGATGCACCTGAATTGGAAGTCTTCCTATGTACCCCCAGAGAACTCCCTGGAACTAGATTCTCAGACTGTGGAGAATGACATCGAAGACAATTCAGAGATCTCATCCAGTGAGGAAAAGTTGTCCTTTCCTCCTCAGGTAGCAGATCTATTCAGTTTATTTTAAGTTTTAGTGTCACTCAGCAGTGCTCAGGGCTTACTCTTGGATCTGCACTCAGGAATTAAATTATTGAGCTCAGGGGACCGTAAGGGGATCGAACCCGGGTCAGCTGCGTGCAAGGCAAGTGCCCTACCTGTCGTACTATTACTCTGGCCCTCCCAGTAGAAGATTTATACCAATCCAGTGGGACAAATGAAGCATAAGAAATATTTTCTGGGGCTAGAGTGATAGCACAGCGGGTAGGGCATTTGCCTTGCACTCTGCTGACCCGGGTTCGATTTTCAGCATCCCATATGGTCTCCCAAGCACCGCCAGGAGTAATTCCTGAGTGCACGAGCCAGGAGTAACTCCTGTGCATTGCTGGGTGTGACCCAAAAAGCAAAAAAAAAAAAAAAATTTTTTTTCTCTGAAAATCACTTTTTTTCTCCAGACAGTTTGTATTCCTGATAATGTGATTAGGCTCTAGATAGAACAAAATTTTTGATTTTATTGTGAAGACAGGAGAGGGCATCTCTCAGCCCTGTGTTGGGAGATGAATGTCTACTTCTAGCTTAAGATCCTTCAGTATGGAAGCTGTCGGATTTCATCTTGTAAGGCCAGATTTCATCTGGTTCTTCTCTTTAGGTCCAGAGGGCATCTGCTGAGATTCTGATTGAAGCTGACCTGTATCAACTGAAAAGGAAACCTCAGCTGGGAGAAAGAAAGGAAAAGGAACACCAGATTGCAGGCTACTCAAGAAGAAAACATGGCAAGAGAATGGGTACCCAAGGAAAGAACAGAATGGAGAATCTGGGTCGTAACATCTTACATGGAAAGACACTGCAGGTGAGGCCTTAGAAAACCTGAAGGGATAACCAAAATAGGGGTTCTACTATGCGCAAATATATTATTTTCAGAGGTAGCAGCAGACGAAGATACAGAGCATAAGCAAAAATTATGAATTTTTTGTGGCCAGCAACTGTTTCCACAAACATAAGTAGTTTAATAGAGCTCTAGAATCTTCACCTCATTTTAATTTTTTTGGTCACACCCAGCAATGCTCAGGACTTCCTCCTGGCGCTGCACTCAGGAATTACTTCTGCCATTGCTTGGGGGACCATATGGGATGCTGGGGATAGAGCTCGTGTTTGCTGAATGCAAGGCAAACGCCCTACCTTCTCTACTATCACTCAGGCACCTCATTTTAATTTTAATTCTGTTTTTTTTTTAACCACACCTGGAGGGGTGCTCAGGGCTCACTCCTGGCTCTGCACTCAGGGGTCAGTCCTGGAGGTGCTCAGGCACTGTAAATGCCTGAGCATCAGGGCTCAAACCTAGGGTCTACTGCATGCAAAGCAAACACTTTATCCACTGTACTCTCTCTGCCCTTGGATTAATTTTGTTAGTTTATTTATGTTTAAAAATTTATTAACATATTCCTAGTAAGTCCAACTGAAACCAAAATTAAAAAAATCAGTAATTATTTGGAAATAATTGGTTCTTTTAGTTTTTGGTTTGGTTTTGGGCCTACATCCAGAAGTGCTCGGGACTCCTTGTTCTGTGCTCTAGGACGCAAGGATCACTCCTGACGTTACTTGGGGTAGGGATGGGGCATGTACCATGTCTGGTGCTGGGGATTCAAACCTGGTTTCGTTGCATGCAAGGCTAGTGTCTTACTCCCTGTGCTATCTTTTTAGTCCCTGGAAATAAGTGTTTAATATAAACTTTATTTTGGTTACAATTATAGCTATAAATTAAAATTTGTTTAAACAGCAAATATTATTCATGAACAAGAGGCTTGTCCTCTCAAACCTGTGTTTTCCTTTGAACATGCATCTCGCTGGCTTTTCTGTCGCTTTGCCTGCTCTTCTGCTCATGTGCTCGCTTGAACATCCTTTTCCTGCTTCCCCCGACACTCACCACATCTTTCTAAGTAAGTTTTCTTCAGTCAAAATTACCTTGCTCTACTTTTACGAACAAACCATGTGCTTGATACTGCCTTCTCCGCCTTCATTTTTTTAATTCAAATTTTAAAATTGAATTACTGTGAGATAGACCCTCAGAAAGCTGTTCCTGATTAGGTTTCAGTCATACAGTGTTCCAACACTCATCCCTCCACCAGTGTACATTTCCCAGCACCAAACAGTGTCTTCAGTTTCCCTCCACCACCCCCTACCCCCCACTCGCCAGCCTGCATCCATGGCAGGTGCTTTTCCCCCCTCTCTCTCTCTGTCTCCCCCCCTCCACACACACACATTTTGAGCATTTTGGTTTCCACTACAGATACTGAAAACTTATCAGGAATATCCCTTTACCTACTTTTAACACTCAGTTCTTGTCAATGTGATCACTTCCAGGTATTATTATACCGTTCCCTTCTCTACTTACCTGCTCCCCCACACAGATAGACTTGTGGTAGATTCCAACCATCAAACAGTCCTCCTTGTGTCTGTTTTCCCTGGCCTTGGTTATTAATCTTCTAATATATATATTATTTTCATATACCACAGATGAATGCAGTCATTCTCTGTGTTCTTGTGTGTATGTGTGTGGAACTGGGGAGCTGGGGGGGATAAGCTCCATCAGGTGGTGCTTCAGGGGCTATTCCTGATATACTCAGGAGTGACCCCTGGCAGAGCTTGGGGTGCCTCACGTGGTTCTGGGAATTTGAATGAGGCTGCAGCCAGCACAGTCACATATAAAGCTTTACCTTCGTTTCCTATACTATCTGGCTCCCTTCTGGCGGCAGGGGTTATGGGGGAGGAGAGTTTGGGTTACACCTGGCAATGCTCAGGGTTTACTTCTTTCTGTTTGTCTGGTTTGTCTTTTTTGGTTTGGGGGCCACACCGGGCCACAGAGTTTTCAGGGCTTACTCCTGACTATACTCAGTAAACACACCTGGTGGGGCTCGGGGGACCATTAAGGGGTGCTGAGGACTGAACCTGGGTCAACCACATGCAAGGCGAGCATTTTACCCGCCATACTCCAGCCTCTCAAGATTTACTTCTTACTTTTTTTTTGTTTATTTGCTTGTTTAAAGTTGTTCACAATAATTTATTGCATTCAATATTCCAACACCAATCCCGCCACCATCACACCTTCCCACCACCATTATTTCAAATTTCCCCACCACCACAAAAGCCTGCCCCCGGAGCAGGTCCTAAATAATTTATTTTATATTGCTTGTTGTGAATAATCGCCAAAAATGATCCCAAAAATTTCCTTAGAGGAAAGTATGTTAAGATTGTTGTATCTCACCCTGGAGACATTAAGCCCTTGTATATTACTCCTAATTTTGTGCTCATTGATAACTTCTGGAGGGCTTGGGAAAATGTATGTGGTGCCAGGGATTAGACCAGGTTTAGTGGCATACAAAGCAAGTGCTTTAATCCCTGGTACTCTGTCTCGAGAATGATACTCGAGAATGGTACTGCTTTTTTCCCAAGGCATTAAAGTTACAAGTGTAGCACTTAATAATATGTACAAGCCAGGGATATGGCTCAGAGGTAGAAATTTACCTTACATTTTTCAAGTCCATGGTTCAGGTTTTGGCATAGGAAAAAAAAAAAGTGGGGAGAGACACAAACAATTCAGTGGGTTGGAATTGTATGCAGGAGCCCAAGTTAGATCCCTGGCACCACATGGAAGCCACCCAGGGACCAATCTAAAAGCAGCCCCTCAGCATCTCTGGCTGTGGCCTAAAAAGACAAAATAAATTAAAGAATAGGGGTTGGAGGATAGTACAGCAGATGGGGCATTTGCTTGCATGCAGCAGACCCAGGTTTGATCCCCAGCATCCCACACAATCCCTGAGCACCGCCAGAAGCAATTCCTGAGTGCAGAGCCAGGAGTTAAGTCCTGAGCATTGCCAGGTGTGACCCAGTCCCCCTCTCCCCACAAATAAATGAAGGACCAGGATATAGCTCAGAAGGTTGGAGCACATACTTTGCATGTGGGTGACCTGAGTTTGATCCCAGACATCACACGGTTCCCCAAGCACTAAGTATGAGAAAAAAAAAAAAAGAAAACTAGATTACCAACTATATAGTTTTGCTCTTTTGTGGGGAGAGGTTGTGTCTTTGTGGGACCCTCTAGCAGCATTGGGGAGCTCAGGGGACCATGCAGTGCTAGTGATCAGACTGGAGTCAGCTGCATGCAAGGCAAGCACCCTCTAGTATTGTTCTTTTATTCTGAAGCAGGTGAACTACTCTGAGTGCTCATTCTCAGACCTGAAGATATCCGTGGATGATGATTCCAAAGATCAGCAAAAGGAAATAGCATCATCTTATTCAGCACTGTTGCAAAAGGAAGCCTTCTGTACTGAAAATGGTATTGTCTTTTCACAACATAAGCTTTAATTTAATCATTAGATTGTTTAATTTTTCCTTCTGTTGGCCATGGGGAGGTTAGGCCTAGAATCTGCATGAGTTCTGCATGGCACAGACACTCTGGTCCTGCGAGTCCCATGAACACCAGTGGCAGGTGACCTGGAGATCCACTTGGTCCTGAGTAGCATGTGTACTTGTCCCTACCTACCCGCCAAGATTTCTGGGCTGGTTCTCAGGCTGCAGTGAGATGTAGAACTTCCCAAGGAGAAGAAAATCAGTCCCTATCTCCACCTGGCTATACACTCTTTTGTCTTTCAACATAGAAAGTAAATTCAGGATAAGACCGTCACTGTCATTGTCCTCCTGTTGTTCATCGATTTGCTCAAGCTGGCCCAGTAACGTCTCCATTTGAGACTTGTTACTGTTTTTGGCATATCGAATACGTCACGGGTAGCTTGCCAGGATTTGCAAGCGGGCTAGATACTCTTGGTAGCTTGCTGGGCTCTCTGAGAGGGGCGGAGGAATCAAACACGGGTCAGCCGCGTGCAAGGCAAACATCCTACCTGCTGTGCTATCTCTCCAGCCCAGGATAAGACAGTGAAATGAAACTTTTACTTTTATATTTTGGGCCACACCTGGCTATGCTCAGGGGTTAACCTTGGCTCTGCACTCAGGAATCACTCCGGGGATGCATCCAGGGTGGCCGCATGCAAGGTGTACTATCTCTCCAGCCCTGAATTTACAATGAATTTTAATTTCTTTCTTTTTGGGTCACACTCAGCGATGCACAGGGGTTACTCCTGGCTTTGCAGTCAGAAATTACTCCTAGCGGTGCTCAGGGGAGGGGGGGGGGGCAATATGAAATGCTGGGAATTGAACCTGGGTCGGATGCCAGCAAGGCAAATGCCCTACCCACTGTACTATCGCTCCAGCCCCATTAATTTTAATTATATTGAGGGTGAAATACACTAATTCTAAAGAATGTATAGGATTCTCCAGAAGCAGGAAAAAAAGTTCCTGGGTGGCAAGAATGCTAGGTTTGGTGGAGGAGTGCATGCTTGCATGTATAAGACTGTGGTTTTAATCCCTGGCATTCAAACACAACTCAGAGAGTCTTATTTTGTCTTTGTTTTTGTTGTGATTGTGAAAATGATAGACCAGGCTAAGTTTATTGGAACTAGACTTAATTTACCAATGTTATTTGATAAAAGTTAAATGTTATTTGGGAGGATGAAGCTATAAAGAAAAAAGAAAACTGTTTTCAGTAACACATTTTGGTGGGCAGCAAATTCTTTCCATAATCATTTTTTTTGAGTTGTTTACCAGCTCCTGATTTCAGTATTTGACCTCGTCTTTTTTCTTCCACTTCCCTTCTTTCTGTTGATGTTGCTGCCACAACTGGGGGTTGCACATGTGCTTGGTCATGGGGCCCTCTGGGTGCCAGATACAGTGTTGTGGTTGCTCACTCACTCAGTCGCGGTGCCTACTCAGGGTGCCACTTCTTTAGTTGGCATGCTCCCCCACACCTGCAAGTGGCACTGAGGCTCACAAGACGACAGGTCTGCCAGGCACAAACAGCAGAGCATTCGGGAACATGCTCAGCATAAGCATGGAATTTATTCCTTAACTTGTGGTTGTTGGAGCTATATAGCACAGCAGGTAGGGTGTTTGCCTTGCATGCAGCTGACTCGGGTTCGATCCCAGGCATCCCATATGGTACCCCAAGCACCGTCAGGGAGTAATTCCTGAGTGCAGAGCCAGGAGTAACCCCTGGGAATCGCTGAGTGTGACCCAAAAGGCAAAATAAATAAATAAATAAATAAATAAATAAATAAATAAAAGAACAAACTTGCTAAAGCAGAGCCGTCTTCTAGCTCTTTCCCTGTCTTTTTGGTTTGTTTTGTTTTGAGGCCACATTGGTGGTTCTCAGTGATGGAGGCTGGGATGTCTCCTGATTGATTGCTTCATTATAAGGGACAAAGTGGTTTCGGGGATCAAATCTGTGTCTTTGTATGCAAAGTGTGTGATCCAATCCTTTGAATTCTCTTCCTGGCTCTCCTCTCTTAATATTTTTTTTTTTACTGGAATTGATTAAGAATCGAGACTTGAGGGCTGGAGAGATAGCATAGCAGGTAGGGTGTTTGCCTTGCACATGGCCGACCCGGGTTCGATTCCCAGCATCCCATATGGTCCCCTGAGCACCGCCAGGAGTAACTCCTGAGTGCAGAGCCAGGAGTAACCCCTGTGCATTGCCGGGTGTGACCCCCCCCACAAAAAAAAAAATCAAGACTTGGTGTTTTCTTAGGTTATGCAGAGTTCTCAGAAACAGTTCAGTAATGCCAATCATTTCTCTAACAGGAAAAGAGTCCTTTGAACAAGCTTCTGAAATCAGTGAATCCCAAACTACTGACAGTGATGACATTATAGTGTCACCCAGATCTTTAAAACATCCTAAGGCAGTAAGTACACTGGGTTAAATGCGGAATGCAAGACAAGATTCTAAATGATGATACTGTGCTTAATACATGGGTACAAATGAATTTCAGATCGTTTTAATGACCCAACAGGAAATCCAAATAACTTAGTTAAATTTACATTACCTGAGAACAGAAGGGCTGGAGCGATAGCACAGCGGGTAGGGCGTTTGCCTTGCAAGCAGCCAACATGGCTAAACCAAGTTTGATTCCTCCGCCCCTCTTTGAGAGCCCGGCAAGCTACTGAGAGTATCTCGTCCACACATCAAAGCCTGGCAAGCCTGGCAAGCTACCCGTGACGTATTCGATATGCCAAACACAGTAACAATTGTCACAATGCAGACATTACTGGGCCCGCTTGAGCAAAGCGATGAACAACGGGAGGACAGTGACAGTGAGAACAGAAGACTGTTGATACAATTAGAAAAAGTATAATTTTCTTAGGGCTGGAGCTATAGTACAGTGGGTAGGGCATTTGCCTTGCTTGCAGCCAACCTAATTTTGATCCCCAGAATCTCACATGGTCCCCTGAGACTGCAAGGTATGATCCCTGAGCACAGAGCCAGGAGTAAGCTCTGAGCACTGCCTGATGTGGCCCCAAAACCGAAAGAAAAGGTAAAAAGGTAAAGGCCCTCCCGTTGATCGTCGATTTGCTCGAGCGGGCCCAGTAACGTCTCCATTGGAGACTTTGTTGTTACTGTGTTTGTGATTGGGGTTCTTGGTGTTGAAAAACGTGTACTGGTGAAGGGAAAGGTGTTTGATCACTGTATGACCGAAACTTAAACCTGAAAGCTTCGTAACTTTTCCCACAGTGATTTGATAAATAAATATAAGAAGAAAAAAATAAATAAAATTATGAAAAAAAAGTAAGGTGGAGTTCACGCCCAATTCAATCAGCTAATCAGTGGCTGAATAAGCAGCAGTACTTCCTACATAAAAAAAAAAAAAACACCAGAGTTAGCTGTGCTTAAAACAAGCACTTTAATCCCTGTTTTATCTCTCCAGCCTAATTATCTTCTTTAAAAAAAAAAAAATCTGTGATGGGTGAGCTGATTCACACAGAGTTGAGTTGTGTGTGTGTGTGTGTGTGTGTGTGTGTGTGTGACTTGAAAAGGAGGGGATCTGGAGTTTTGGGGGTAGGGAGTGGGTACACTGATGATGGTTGTGATGACAGAATTATGTACTATGTACACAGGAAACCATTTTTAAGAGCATTGTAAGTCACAGAACCTCAATAATTTTTTTTTAATTTGGAAAAGGAAAAATTACTCCTTCTCTGCACTCAGGAATTACTCCTGGCGGTGCTCAGGGGATTATATGGGACACTGGGGATCAAACCCGGGTCAGCACTTTGTCACTCTGATCTTGCAATAAATTATAGAATTGAAAGAGAGGTCTCTGGTGGTTGCAGCAACTGAGAAGTGAAGCTGAAAATAGGGGTGTTGCTTGCTCTTGTGACTAAAACAACTATAACTCTTTAATATGAGCCAGGAATTCTTTGAGGGGCTCACTCAAGAATATGCTGGATTGGATTTCACTGTGAAAGCTGGAGAAAAGCAATTTGTTTAGAAAGTGCCTTGATTCTGCATTGAAGACAGCTGAGAAACGATTCTCTGAACTGGGAGATTGGATATCTGGACTCTGTTTACAGAATCTCTTTAGATTCCCTGGGGACATTTCGGTCAAGTTGGCCTCGGTTCCTTTTAACCTCTAAGTGGATTGTAAAGGAATGATAGAGTAGGTGGATTGCACCTCAGGCTGATCCCTAGAGAGTAGTGTGTTAATCCTATGGAGGGTAAACAGATTCTTGGAGCATCACTGATCTATAGGAAGTAAATAAGTATTTTCCTTATCAGGACTCAGAGAAGATGTGCATTGAAATTATCTCCCTGGCCTTCTACCCAGAGGCTGAAGTGATGTCTGATGAGACTATAAAACAGGTGTATGTGGAGTACAAGTTCTACGACCTGCCCTTGTCTGAAACAGAGACTCCAGTATCCCTGCGGAAGCCGAGGCCGGGAGAAGTGATCCATTTCCACTTCAGCAAGGGTGAGGCACCCCTGTGGGGAGTGGGGAGGGGGCTGATGTTTAGCTTGGGGTCAGATCTACTCTGGACTTGTGATGGATATGTGCAACTATTTTATTTCCTTCTGCTCACCTTTCTTTCTTTTTTCTTTAGCCAAGTCATACATGCCTGTGATTTAGAAATAGCAACTCGGGAAGAGGGAGAGGGAGAGAGAGAACATGTGATCATCCCAGTTCACTGCATGAATATGCTAGGAGTAGCCCCAGAGCATTGCTAGGTGTGACCTCAACCCCTTTCCCCCAACCCAAGAAAAAGAAGTATTATGTAGGTCTAAAATTGTTATTTTTAAAAAATTGCTTTTGATTAATATTAAACAGCCCTTTGCTCTAGCCTTCGTCACAAGCCACCTACACCACTTTTCTTTTTTCCTGTTTTTTAAATTTTGTTTTGGTAGTTTCTCAGGACATACTCCTAGCTATGTGATCTGTGATCACTCCATGTTGTGCTCAGGGAAGCGTATTTGATAATGGGGATCAAATCTAGGCCCGCAGCACGGAAGGCAAGCAAATGCCTTAACCCCTATACTAACTCTCCAGCTTACTTTCCACTTTTTGGGCTACTTCTAGTATTTGATTCTATATTTTCTATAGTGTTTCCACGGAAATTTCCTGAGTGCTACTTTAAGACATATCTGCTGATTTCCTATCTAAAGACAAAATTTTTTTTGCACCCATCTCCCCTTCCGTATAGTTGGACCATAATTTTTAATTTATTTTTTGTTCAGTGCCCAAAGGATATTTCTGGTTCTGTGCTCGGGGATCACTGGTCGCATTGCTCAGGGGCCATGTTTGGTGTCAAGGATGGACCAGGGTTGACCTCAATCGTAAAAATGCCTTACCTCCTGTACCATCGCTCTGGCCACTGGATCAGTTACTTTGGGCCACAACTGGCAGTGCTCTGGGCCAGAGTGATAGTACAGTGGTTAGGACATTTGCCTTGCATGTGGCTGACCCGGATTTGATCCCCAGCATCCCCATATGTTCCCTCTGGGGCCCACCTAGGTGATTCCTGATTGCAGAGCAAGGAGTAACCCCTGAGCAACACAGGGTGTGGCCCAGTCTCTCCTCCCCTCCCTCCACTGCCCTTGCCCAAATTCCAATCACACCTGGCAGTGCTGAGGCGACTTCCAATTCTGGGAATGGCGGCCATCCTGTTGATGCTGTGGGACCATACAGTGCCAGGAGTTGAGCCAAGGTTGGCCACATGCAAACCAAGTACCTTGACCCTCGTACTATCTCTCCAGCCCTATGATAAACTTTTTGTTTTCGGGTCACACCTGGTGGTCTTACTAGGGCTTATTCCTGACTCTCTGTTCAGGAATCACTCCTGAAGGGACTGGGAGACCCTGTGTGATGCCCGGGATCAGTCCTGCGTATTGCCTTACCCACATCTAAAATGCCTAGGAACTATTTCTTGTTCTTTTTTCTTTAGTTTCCTTGTAAGAGCACACAAGACCCTAGTTATTTTTTTGCTTCTTGGGTCATATCCAGTGATGCACAGGGGTTACTCCTGGCTCATGCACTCAGGAATCACTCCTGGCGGTGCTCAGGGGACCATATGGGATGCTGGGAATCAAACCCGGGTCGGCCGTGTGCAAGGCAAATGTCCTGCTCACTGTGTTATCACTCCAGACCCTCTCTTAGTTGTTTTAAACAGATGCAGGGCCAGAGGCAGCTCAGCAGACAGAATACATGCTTCGTATGCAGGAGATTTGGGTCTAGTCCCCAGCACCACAAACTGCCCCAGGTGCAGAGTCTGGGGCCTCCAGGTAGCCCGGAGTGGGCAGCTGGAGTGACCTGGAGTCGTTATCTTCCAGTCTCAAGGGGACTGCACTGTCCTACATTCTCAAGATTATTGGCTGGAAAAAGGGGAGGGAGAAAGGCCTTGTAAAGCTGAGCCCCATAAACAGACTTCACACAACAGAACTTAATCTCATAACTAAATCAAGCTAAAATAGAAGCTGAAAGGCAGGGGCCACAGTTGGCAGTGCTTAGGGCATACTCCTGATTCTGCACCCAGTGATCAGTCTTGGCAGGTTCAGGAGACCGTATGGGTTGCCAGGGATCAAACTTGGGTAGGCAGGGGCCAGAGCGATAGTACAGCGGGTGGGGTGTTTGCCTGGCATGCGGCCGACCTGGGTTCAATCCCCCGCATCCCATATGGTCCCGAGCACGCTATGAGTAATTCTTTTTTTTCTTTTTTTGCTTTTTGAAAATAGATGTTCCGGGTGCTCGGGGGAACACATGAGATGCTGGGGATCGAACCCGGGTCAGCCACTTTCAAGGCAAATGCCCTACCCATTGTACTATCACTCCAGCCCCCACAAGTAATTCTTGAGTGCAGAGCCAGGAGTCACCCCTGAGCATCGCTGGGTGTGATGCAAAAATTAAAAAAAAAAAGAAAAATAAAATTTGGGTAGGCTGCATGCAAACACCCTACCCACTGTTCTGTCTCTTTGGCTCCAAAACAGGCTAATTTGGAGCTGGAGAGACAAAACAGGTGTGACAAAACAAGTGTCAAGGCACTTGCTTTGCATAAGACTGACTCTAATTTGATCCTCTGCACTCATATATGGTCCCCTGACAGTGATCAAGACTGACAGTGTCACTGAGCCCTGCCAGGTGTCACCCCCAAATTAAAATAAAATATAGGTAAATTTATTGGAGACTGCAGCATTCTTAAAGAAATATGAGAAGGGGGAGAGTAGCTGCCAAGACAGGCACTTGAATTGAATTTATATCTAGGTGGCCTTAAAACTGCAGACTTGTAGAATTCTTCTAGCCATGGAGTGGTGGAAGCATGTTGCTTTCAGCTTATGGTAGAATATACTTCGTCGATTATAAGGCTTCCTTTTTTTCAGGGTCAGTGAATGTCTTCAAGGGTTCACAGTAAACATGTGAGGCTTTGTGGAGCTTAGTCACTATCATAACTATTCCGTGCTGTAGCTCTGTGGTACAGTGCATGGGGCTGTACCATCCCAGGCACTGCAAACAAACCAAATATCTCTCTAGAGCCCTGGTCTGCCATCTGCTTTATATCAGTTTAATTTAGACCACTTAAAAAAAAATTTCAATACCTGGGGACTGGAGGAATTGCATAGCAGGGAAGGTGTTTGCCTTGCATGTAGCAGACTCAGGTTCGATCCCTGGTTGTCCCATATAGTCCCCAAAGCACCACCAGGAACAATTTCTGAGTGCAGAGCCAGGAGGGAACCCCTGAGCATGGCTGGGTGTGACCAAAAAAGCCAAAAAAAAAAAAAATTTCAGTGCCTAAATGAATCTTTTCTTTTCCCCTCTTTTACCCTAAATATAGTGATAGACCTGAACCCCCTGAAGCATCAAGGTCGAAGGCAATTTCTCTTCACCATGCTGAATGGACAAAAACCTGGACAAAGACAGTAAGTGTCTGCTTTCCACTTTGAAACAGATACGCAACAAATTCAGGAGTTTGTGTTTGACTTTGTCATTAATGCTGATTTTTTTTTTTTGGAGGGGAAGAGAGGGGTCACACATGGTGGTACTCAGGGCTCACTACCTCCTGCTCCTGCTCAAGGATTCTTTCCAGAGAGGTTTGGAAGGACCCTATGTGGTGGCAGGGATGGAACTGGGTCAGTCGCACACAGGCAAACACCCAGCTGTACTGCCTTTCCTGCCTTCTTCCCCCCTCCCCCACCCCAGATTTTTAGGTCAGACCCGAAAATGCTCAGGGGTTACTCCTGGCTCCGCATTTAGAAATTACTCATGGCGGCACTCGGGGGGCCATATGGGATGCTGGGGATCGATCCTGGTTTGGCCATGTGCCAGGCAAATACCCAACCTGCCGTATTACGGTTCCGGTTCCTCTCCAGCCTTCTAATGCTGAATGTTTTAACAGCTTCATGATGATTCACTCTTTCCCCTTTTCCTCTCCTTTGCTATTACGCTGATTGGGGATCATGCATATACTTGGTCTTGGTCCTCATGGAAGGAGCTGAGCATTGTTGTGGTGCTCACACATGCGCTTGTGGGGGCTGACCTCCAATGGTGTGTTACATGCCGGGAATTGCTGTGGTACTCACAGCCGCGCCCACAGGGCTGCAGTCCTGGTTTTAGTCCTCGTGTATCTTTAGATGTGATGCTTGCACATTGCTGTGGGCAGGAGATGTCACCCTGTTTTGTGCCAGCAGACAGACAGTAGAGTTGCAGGGATGATGTCTGCACAGTTGGGCAGTACTGGATCAAACACCGACCCACTCCTGTATAATTTACTTTTATTGAGTTTCATTTATTGAATTGTACTTTCTACTGAAGTACAATTTTATTCTTGTTTTTTGGCCACCCCTGGTGGTGCCTGGGGGTTACACCCTAGCTCAGTGCTGGGGAATCATGAGGTATTCAGGATGAAGCCGAGGTCTCCAGTGTGCAAAGCATGTACTCCAGCACTTTGGGCTGTCTCCCTGACTGTAAATTACTTTCTAGTTGTATTAATAATTCTACTCTTCTGTCTTGAGGATTAAGTTTAGAATTAGTATATGCAAAACTTGCACTCTACCATGGAGCAACATCTCCAGCTAGTCACTTAAATATGCACAAATCTAGAGATACTATTTATCCTTTAAAATTAAATTATAGGGGCTGGAGAGATAGCACAGTGGGTAGGGCATTTGCCTTGCACTCGGCCGACCCGGGTTCGATTCCCAGCATCCCGTATGTTCCCCTGAGCACCGCCAGGAGTAACCCCTGTGCACCGCCGGGTGTGACCCAAAAAGCAAAAATAAATAAAATTAAATTATAAATCTACCTATTTTTTTCCTTTTATCTTTACCTTATTACAATGGCCAGAGATGGTTAAGAATGTCCCAACATAGTGATGGAGCAATAGTACAGCAGGTAGGGTATTAGCCTTGCATGTGGCAGACCCGGGTCGATCCCTGGCTTCCCATATGGTCCCCCGAGCACTGCCAAGAGTAACCCCTGAGCTTCATCGGCTGTGACCCCAAAAGCAAAAACCTGGGTCGGCTGCTTGCAAGGCAAATGCCCTACCCGCTGTGCTATCGCCCCTTTCAGAAATTTTACAGCTTGTCTTTGTTTGGTTTGGTTTTGGGTGGGAGCCACATCCAGTGATGCTTGGGGTTACTTCCCGCTCAGTACTTTTGGGTTGGTCCTGGGGGTACTCTGGGGACCATCTGATACTGAGATTGAACATGGGTCTCTGGCATGCAAAGCATACTACCAGCCCTTTACCATGCCTGTAAGAGCTTGAATTTTCAGTTCTGTTTCTTTGGTCCCAACCAACATTTGTTTTAAAAAATTCACAGGGGTATAAAATATCACAATAGGTCAATCCAGATATGACAGAATACCTACTTTGTCTGTATGAAGCTCTGAGTTTAACCCCTGACATTGCCTCAAAATTGTTTTCAGGGTTAGATAGTACAGGGGGTAAGGCACTTGCCTTGAATGTGGCCAAACCTGCTTCAATTCCCAACACTGCAAATGGCTCCATGAGCACCACCAGGGGTCACTCAAGCACTCTTCACCCCAAATTATAAAAATAGTACCTCTTCCAGTATCTCCTATAATCTTGGGTTTTGTGCGGCACCTTCACTTCTCATTTTTTTGGGGTGTGTATTGGGCCACACCTAGGAGTGTTCAGGGATATTCCTGTGCCCAGGCATCACTCCTAGTAATATTGGGTGGGGAAGGCCACATGCTGTGTAGGGAACTGGGATTGGCAGCATTTCAAGAGCTCTACTGTCTCTCCAGCTCCTATATCAGATGTTTAATTCGCATTATGAACATCTTCTCCCCCTCTTATCTTTGCTGTCCAGATGGTTTTTATTGTTTTGGAAACAATGAGCAGTACTCAAGGGCTACACCTGGGAGTGCCTTCGGGGACCAAAAAGTGCCAGGGTTGGGACCAAGTGACCATCACCGAATCCTGGGCTCAGTCTGTTGAGCCCTCTGTGGTCCCATGCTATTGTTGCAAAGGCCAGATGTATATACAGTTCTAGAGTCATTGTGGAACCTGAATATGCTTTGGTTGCAGTGCTCCGGACACGGCACACTTTGCTGTGGCGTTGGGATTGCAGCAGTGTTACTGAGATTGCACCTAGTACTATGCTGGGAACTGTACTAGTGACCTCATGCATGTTAGACTCTACAACTGAGTCACACCCCCAGACCCCAACATTGTAAACATATTGTTTTGGGGTCACACCCAGTAGCACTGGGACTATCCCTGGCTCTGTGCCCAGCAATGTCCTAGGGACCACGTGGCACTGGGATCCAAACCTGGGCATTACTGCATGCAAAGCATGAGCTCAGTCCATTGAGTCCATATTTCTCTGGCCATATGGATTGTTTTGAGATAACTATATTATCATGAGTCTTAGTATTCCTTTCTCAAGCTTTGTTAAATATGTTGTAAGCTCCTAAAATGGAAGTGAGTTTGGGAAGACATTGTATAATATACGACTACTTATTTTTTTAAAGTTTAAAGTCTCAGCAATGGTGAATTAAATGGAACTCCCTTTTTCCTTTAGTTTCAAGTTTACAGTGGTAAGTGAGCCTATGGATGAGGAACAGAATGAATGTCAAGAAGTAGGATATGCATATCTGGAACTGCGGCAGATCTTGGAATCAGGAAAAGACATTCTAGAGCAAGAACTAGACAGTAAGTAGGAAATTCTTGGCTTTTCAGTCCTCCTTGTTCCTAAAGAAAGCCTCCTTATGTACATGTTTTTTTTTGCCTCTAATGCAGTTGATGAGACACAACTGGAATGAAATCAATGCATCTTTATTTCTAGATCAAGCATGAAAGTCAGTTGTATACTTTGCCCACATGACAACTAGAATCTATTATAAATAATTCTAGTATATAATCTATTATAAATGACAACCAGCATCTATTATATATCCCTAATGTTTGATTTAGGGAATCTTGGTGGTGTTGGGAGATGAAGTGGGGAGTTAGAGCACACTCAGTGGTCCTCAGTGCTCAGGAGTGACACCTGGTGATGGCTGGGGACCCAACCAGGCTTGCTTGCAGGCCTGTGCTATACCCTGTACTATCTCTCTGGTTCCATATAGAGATTTTTGGAGACATTTTGATTTCAATCAAATTTAAGCATCATTAATTTTTTGGGTGGGGGAGCAAGACCACACCTGGCAGTGTTCAGGACTTACTCCTGGCTATGCACTAGTCCTCGCAGTGTTTGGAGAACAATATGGGATGCTGGGGATCAAACCGGGTCTTGAGTCAGCAACGTGCAAGGCAAGTGCCCTACTCTCTCTCTCTCTCTGGTCTGACTTCAGAATTCCTAAAGGCAATAAATGCTTTTAGTTTGGATTAAAAAAAAATCCTACTATGGTCTCCTTTGTTCGCAGGCTTTAACTAGGTTGGTCTCTATGTACTTTTAGAAAGGTTTTTTTTGGAGGGGGCCACAACCCAGCAGTACTCAGGGGTTATTTCTGGCTCTGCACTCAGAATTACTCCTGGCAGAGATCATGGCGCTATGTGGGATGCAAATGCCCTACAGAGTAGAGCCTTGCACACATATCCTCATGCAAGACAAATGCCCTACCTACTTTACTATTGCTCCACTCCCCAACCCCCACCCCGGTCTCTAGGATTTTTTAAAAGAAAACCTGGGGCCAGAAAGATCCCAAGGGGCCTGCATTATAAACCACTGACCCCTGTTCATCCCCAACTGCATGTATTATTCCCTTAACACTGCCAGGAGTGATTTCTGAGCACTACCAGGTGTGACCCTCCCCATGCTTCCTCCCTCCCCCAACAAACCACTCAAAATTCAGCTCTTTCAACTATGACTGCCATTTCAATGCTTTTTATTTTTTTGGCCACACCCAGCAATGCTCAGGGGGTTACCCTCAACTCTGCACTCAGAAATTACACCTGGCAGTGCTCAGGGGACCATGTGGAATGCCAGCGATCGAACCCTGGAGGCTGCCCCAGTCCTATTTTAGTATTTCCTATGTTTCATTTAAGTTTACATTCAAGCATCTTAGGTTGTTCTTATTTTTCTGTCACATCTAATTGGTTTTCTTACTCATCCGACTTTTGTAAACATCTAATGATTCATTATTATTATCATTTTTGGGTTTTGGGCCATACCCAGCAGTGCTCAAAGGACAATCTGGTGTGAAGGATCAAATCTATGGGCATCCTGTGCGCAAAGATATATTCTAGCCCATTGAGCTCTCTAGATTTTTGTCTTTCTTTATGGATCACAGCTAGTGATGCTCAGGGATTCCTCCTGGCTCTGCAATCAGGAATTACTTTTGGTGGTTCTGGGGGACCCTATGGCATGCTGGGTTTGGCCGCATGCAAGGCAAATGTCCTACTTGCTATACTGTTGCTCCGGTCCCCATTGAACTCTCTGGCCCCATATTCATTCTTTTAAAACTGTCCTCCCTTGGGGTGAGAGGTGTTTGCCTTGTATGTGGCTGACCTGGGTTTCATCCCTGGCACCCCACATTGCCCCCCGAGACCCCAAAGAGTGGTCCCTGACCACAGCTGAGTGTGGCCCACGTCTTTGCCCCAATACAAATAAAACTGTCCTCCCTTTTTAAACCATTTTGACTTTCCATATCTCCCTCTGGGTGATCTTGGTTTCTTTTTTCTTTGTAGGTTTTTGAGCCACTACTGGTGGTGGTTCCAGGAGACCACTGACCATTCCCTTTGCAAGTCAGCCACTTGCAGGGTAGGCACCTTAAGCCCAGTGCCCTCTGATTCCATCTTCTCTTTAATAAGTTATTCTTTTAAATGTTAATTCTCCTAAAATATTGTGGGACTGGGTCAGATCTTGAAGTTCACTGGGTCCTCAAACAACTGTATGTAGTACTGGGGTTGAACCTGGGTAGACCACATGCAAACCAAGAACCCCATCCCTTGTACTATTTCTTTGGCCCTAATTCAATTCTTGCCCTTTTTTTCTCTTCACACACTCTTCCAAATGTTTACACCCACTTTCAGATTTTTTTTTTAAATTTTGGGGCCACATCTAGAGGTGCTCATGGCTTACTCTTGGCTCTATGCTCAGGGATCACTACTGGTGTGCTCGGGGGAGCATATGGGGTGCCAGAGATCATGCCCAGGCCGGCCATGAGGAAGGCAAGTACTCTACTTGCTCTGGCCCCCACTTTCAGAATTTTAAGTATAACCTTGAAATGAAAAAAATGTCTAGGTTTCTAGAGATTTTTAAGAAATCTGGACCTATTTCAACCACTACTACTTCTGTCCCCTCAGATTCCCTTTAGAAGTAATTGTGTTTCCTCTATACTTAGCAACTATGAAGCAAATTAGAATGACCACCCAAGTCCCAAATGTCTACTAACATCATTCAATCACAAAACCTGGTTAAAACCCTTATGAGTTATTATTTTTTTAGTATTTGGGACACTGGAGAGGGTGTTTGGGACTGAGGTACTAGGAAATTAATCTGGGGCTCTCGCATGCAAAGTGTATATTAGAGTCCTTGGAATCCTTTCCTTGGCCTTAATTTCACCTCTTGTAAGTTCTAAATTTGTCCCCACCACCATACCCAACTCTATACACCGGATATTTCCCTTTCTTTTCTGAATTACTACAGCTCTCATAATTATCCTACCAGAACATGAAGTACATTCTGGGACTTGAGAATTCCAACCTAGTGAGTACCTGCTTTGCATGCAGGAGGCACAGGTTTGATCCCCAGAACAAATGGTGCCCTGAAACACCATCTGGAGAGACCCCTCAGTACCAGTATCTTCCCAAACAATGCAGTTATTCTCCTATAGCCAGACTAAAAGCTGTCATTTTCCAGGCCACGGATTTAGGTCAGCTGTAGAGCACATGCCTGTACAGACCTCAGATTTGATCTCTGGTACAACGGAAGGGGGTCAGGGCTGGAGTGACAGTAAAGCAGGATAGGGCATTTGCCTTGAGTTTGATCCCCTGCATCTCATATGGTCCCCTGAGCACCACCAGGAGTTAACTGCTGAGCATCGCCAGGTGTGACCCCAAAAGACAACAAAACAAAAACAAAAAACAAACAAACAAAAAAAACCAACAAAAGATGGGGTCAGAGAGTTAACTCAATGGGCTAAGAACATACTTTGCATATTAGAGGCCCAAGTATGATCCCAGTGCTGCAGGAAACATTCCCAAGCTGGGAGGAGTTCCCAGGCACCCCCAGAACCAAAACAAACCAAAACAGAACCAACCCAGATGAAAAAAGAGAAAAAACCCACATAAATTCTCATACATTTAGCAAAAACAAATTTCTTAAAGATAAACAAGGTCCTTTTATGTTTACAGCTGCATTTTTATCACACTTTGTAGTTTTCCCAAACTTGTCCTGTTCTCATGTTTTGGCACACAAATTTAGAATACTTAGCTCGGAGACCGTCTCCAGGAAAACCTTTTCCGGTTCCATCATAGACTATGTCTCTAGATATTCCTAAAGTCACATAAGTTTTCATCTCATCATCTGCTGTACTGTACAATGTCTTTATTTTCCTTTCTTATCCCCAAGTTTGTCCGGCACCCAACACAGCACCTTTATACGTGGCACTCATCAGCAAAACAGTTTAAGTGTTTTTCACCTGAATTATGCTCTCTGACTCATTTCTTTTTTATATTCCCAACAGTTATTAGCCCTGAAGATCAGTCTACCCCAATAGGAAGGCTGAAGGTTTCCCTTCAAGCTGCTGAGGCCCTCCACGCTATTTACAAGGAGATGACTGAAGATTTGCTTTTGTGATGAAACAGGGACTATTCCACTTGAAACTCTGAAGGAACCATAGTAAAATGTCTTATAAAGTAACTCACTATACTGTGAAATTTAGCCTATTTGTAAAAATGTCTAGTATCTCTCAACCTGATGACGAAAGCTTAAAATGATGAAGTTTATTGTGTTACTAACTGGATAAAGGCAATATTATACTCTAACATCTTAGCATTTTACCTGGCTGAGAAGCAGGCTTACTTTTAGTAACTGCAAAGAATTATCACAAAGGTAAACGTACAAAAACAACCACCACCACAAAAAAAGAAAAGGGGGAAAAAAAAAAAACACCCCACAGTTTATTTTTTAGTTCTTCCAAAATTGAAAATACCAAGTCCTACTGCTATGAAGGAAAAACAAATAAAATCTGAGGCCCTCCCCCCTCCTCTCATAATGTCACAGAGCACAGAAGGAACTTCGGTGGGACAGGTGGATGCAGAGAACTAGGAGAGGGGAGGATGGCAAGATAAACTCCCCAAATACTTAGAAAAGCTGTTCAACAGAGACTGTGATAAATACAGGAAAATGCAAGACAAGTAAAAATAAGGAGCAGCAGTGACCAGAGGCTGTGCTACAGACGTGGCCTCTCTTCCTCTTCTCATCAGGGTATTTCAGAGCTGGGGCATAACTTGCCCCTTTCAAATCTAATTGCAGATCCTTTGTGCCTCTTTCTATATTTCATTAGCAAAAGAATAGGAGGCGTTAGCATTCTTCCTCATAGATCAGCAAAGAAACAGTGGAATTATGTTTCTAAACTGTACCAAGTGTGAATTTTGTAAGGAGGATGAAGCCACGCCAAGGAGTGTCACTGCTTCTTAAGTCTTCCAAGCAGAAATACCTCAGTCTGCATGAGGCAAAAACAAAACAAAACAAAACAAGAAACAAACAAACAAAGCAGGAAAACTCAGACGGAGGTAATCAGCCGGATCTGCCTCATGAGCTCAAGTTGCATGGTCTGTCACAATCATTAGCAAATTCCAAGAACCTTTTCTTGAGTATGGCAAAGGTGGAACTTAGAGATGTGAGGAAGGTCATGGCAATAGGTTAGGATGGAGCACTGAATCTCCTGGTCAAGAAACACGGTACAGGCAATTAATGGTCATCGTGTACCAATATCTGGGAAATAGAGCTTTAAGACACCAAGATTAGGATGTCAGGAGCCATCAATGTCCTTGTAGAAGGTGACAGGAAGAGAGAGGAATGAAATGGTATTTATTAACAGTGGAAGCCTCTGCCCTTCTTCAAAAACACCTCCTCCCTTGCCATCTGGATAGGGCCATTGGCACTCTGTGTCCTGGTGGGCCTGGAATTCCCCGAGAAGATTGGTCCACACGAATGGCCCCCTAAACCCATTAACACAAATGGCAAAACTTCAAAAGAAAAATGGGAAAAAATACAGTTTCTATGTCATGTAAAATTCTCAGGGGTTGGCTGGAGGAAGAATGGAGCTGAAGACAAAAGTTCAGAAGTTACTTCCTCTTTTTCTTGGGGGGTGCAGAGCTATGTCTGGAACCACGGTTAGAGCCACGACCTGAGCTGTGTACTGATGCCTTCCTCTTCCGGCTCATATTTCGACTCCGCTCTTCTTCTTCCTCATAACGACTTTCACGGTCCGCTGAACGGAAGAGGCATTACTAGTTAGCTGAAGGTTAAGCTTGAGGTACCTAATGAAATTGTGTACAATAGTGTTTTTCAACTGGGGGAAATAGAGTCCCACTGCTTATTTCTAGAATATTCCAAGGGGGCTTCAGGAGAGAAACAAGGTCGGAAGGGAGCCACTTGGAAAAAAGGTTGAGAAACAACAGTAGGGAGGATGAGACTTAAAATTAGTCCTAAATTAGTGTGCGGTGCTGAGACCATACCAAGGGCCCCAGACCAGATGTGAGGTGTGTACTATACCACTGAGTCACAATCCCACCCCCCACTCTTAAGCTTTCATCTTGTTTTTGTTTTTAGGGTCATGCCTGGCTTACTACTGGCATCGCTGTGCTCAGCGAACCATACAGGGTGCTGGTGATTTCATCCAGGTTGGCTGTGTTCAAAACAAGCACTCTAACCACTGTACTATTTCTCCAGGCCCTAAGTTTTCATCTTTACTGATACTAAGCAAGCACTTAATCTTTGTGAGGTTGGTTTATTTATAAAATGGGAAATTGTGGGGCTGGAGCTATAGTACAGTGGGTGGAGCATTTGCCTTGCATGCTGCCAAACTGGGTTTCATCCATATTATCCCATATGGTTCTCGGTACCACCAAGAGAAATCCCTGAGCTTAGAGCTAGGGGTAAGTCCTGAGCACCAACAGGTGTGCTCCCCAAACAAAAACAAAGCAGAACTGAAAATGATTTCGTAATAATCCCTGTCAGGAATTTATAGCAATTCTTGGAATATATAGTAGACGGTATTTACTTTTCATCTTTATTTCGCAGCTGGCTTAAGAATTAAACTATCAAAATATTTTTCTTTTTTTGCTTTTTGGGTCACACCCGGCAATGCACAGGGATTACTCCTGGTTTTGCACTCAGGAATTACTCCTGGCAGTGCTTGGGGGACTATATGGGATTCTGAGAATCAAACCTGGGTTGGCCGTGTGCAAGGCAAATGCCCTACCCACTGTACTATCACTCTAGCCCCCCCAAAATCATTTCTAACTTGGAAAAGATTCTGAAAGCTGAATATTTTAGGATTTTAGATTTGAAAAATAAATTCTGGAATCTTATGAAACTATGTGGATATTACTGGACATAGGGAACAGAGTAAAGGAAGACGCTTTCAGTTCACCAGTCAGTGACACTCCAAGAGTATGTCCACGTACCCAGACCCCGCTCTCTTTTAGTCAGTGAAATCTAGCTCTAGGTTTATAGGGTTTTTATTTGTTTTGTTTTTTACTACTCAGGGAGCCTAGTGTCTCAAAATACTGAAAAACGTTAGAAATAACATCAACAACAAAAAAATCACCTTTCCGAGCTTCTTCTTCAAGCTCATCCCAGTCCTTTCCACTCTCTTCTTCACTGCCCAATGATTCCTTGGAGTAGTCTAGAATAAAAATCAAGTATTAGACAGGAATTTCTAAAAGGTTTTTGGAAATGATACTGAATTAGGAAGTCACTCGAAGTTTCATTTAACCTGATTCTTCAGCTTCTGATGAATAGTCTTCATCACTGTCCTCCTCTTCCTCCTCATAGTCATCTTCTGAAGGGTTGAAAGTTTCATCTTCGATTTCTGACTCTGAATCACCGTCCTCGGCATCACTACCCTGATAAATCAGAAAGAACAAATATTAGGTACATTTCTTTTGCCAGTCACTTTATTGAAATAATTCATAACACATGGCATGCCAGCATTACTGTCATTTGTTTTTTGGTTTTGGGCCACATCTGGCTTTATTTAGGGGACCATTATGTGGTGCCTGGGATCAAATCTGGGCATACCAGTGCAAAGCAGGTGCCTATACTCTGTGCTAATCTTGCAGGCTCAGCATTATTGTTCTCATGGAGGAGGGGAAAATGAAATGAAGGGACAAAAAATTAAAAAAAAATTCTTTTACACCCAGAAAGATTAACCAAAAATGGGCTGGAGTGATAGTACGGCATGTAAGGCATTTGCCTTGCACGCAGCCAGCCTGGGTTTGATCCCCGGCATCCCACATGGTCCCGCGAGCACTGCCAGGAGTAATTTCTGAGTGCAGAGCTAGGAGTTACCCCTGAACATCACTGGTTGTGACCCAAAAAGCCAAAAAAAAAAAAAAGATTAACCAAAGACAAAATTATTATTTTTGGTTTCTGGGGTACACCCAGCAATGCTCAAGACTTACTCCTGGATCTGTGCCCAGGGATCATTCCTGGAGGGGCTTAGAGGACCATACGAGGTGCTGGGGACTGAACCTGGGTTGCCCTTGTGCAAGATAAGCACCCTACCTGCTATACTAATTCTTCAGCTTCCTAAAGACAAATTATTGGTAGTGATGAATAATCACTACTGCCCATCTCTGTCCAAGAGGTGGGAGGAAGTATATTTCTGTAAAACGTACTAAAGAATTTTCCCTCAAAATGGGGTCAGAGATAGCACAGTGGGCAAGGTGCTCAGTTAATACTCCAGGAGTGATCTATGGGCACAGAGCCAGGAGTAAGCCCTGAAGCACTACCAGAGGTGGCCCACAAACACTGAAAAACTCAAGCAGGCAGAGATGTGACTTGGTAGAAGACACCTGCCTTACATACATGAGTCCTTGAGTTCAATCCTCAAAACAAGGGTGGGGGGCAGGAGAGAGAGCTAGAGATTAAGAATAGCTTTTGTAATTTCAAAGAACTTTTGTCAGTGTCTACCCAATGCCCAATTAACCATTTACCTGTACAATTACTTGTGGAACAACCATGTCAAGTTGTGTTTAGTTCCCCCATATGTTCTGATCCCTTATATAATCTTAATATTCTCCTAGCAGCCCAAATGATAATGGAGAACATTATGTATTAGAAAAAGAAACCCCACACTCACGCACCTCACCCTCAGGCTCCAGGAAAGACCAGCCACCTTGTTCGAAGAAACCTTCAGGGTCATCAACAATAGTCTTCATGATCTTAGTCCAGTTGAGTGACTGTACTCCTTCTGTGTACTTTAGGTCACAGGAACTGAGAGAAATGACATTACAAAGACGAAATCAATCTACATTTCTGACAATGTCTTCATTTATCGTGTACATCCTTGAAAAGCAGACCACTTTTCTCTAAATATATGGGACACAAATGGCTGATATCTAATTTCCCAAAGCACTAATCTGCACCACAGAGCAGTATATGGCTTATACAAGTTTTTTTCTCCCTCAACCAAATCAAGCTCATTATCACCCTCTTCCATTTCTATTTTTGAGGGGAAGTACATTTTAGTCACACCGGTAAGTGGCTCATGGGCTACTTCCAGAGTACATTAAGGGACCATGCAGTACTGAGAATTGAACGCAGGCCTCTTGCATGCTAAGAATGTGCTTTTAGCTTACTAAGCTTGCTCTCTGGTCCCTATTAAGGAAGTAAAAATAGTAATTTTCAGTTTAAAATTGCCTGAGAACCACTGGCTCTAACAGATTCACTAAAACTACGAGGCATGATGGAATAATGAGCAGATTTACCTTTTCACCTTTAATGAAATACATCCATTTATCACAACACAGTACCACTGGGAGGGACCCTAGAGCAAGAAGCAGCGGCTGAGCACTGTCTGGTATGATTCCAAATTAAAAAAAGAAAAAAAAAAAGCAAACCTTGAATGGATTACAATCTAAAATTAAATGTAAAGTAGGCATAGAAAGAATTAAACATTTTGAGGGGCTACAGAGATGGCAGAGCAAGTAAGGCACTTGTCTCAGAGGCACTAGACCCAGGCTCAATCCCTGGCATCACAAATGGCCCCTGAGTCTACCAAAAGTAATTCCTGACTGCAGAGCCAGGTATGCATCCCCCCCCCCAACAAAACAAAAACAAGAATAAAACATGTTTATGACTGCTGAGGCAATACTTATGACAAAAAAGGCAGAAATTACAAAGTTGATTGGATTTTATGAAAAATTTTACCTTCTTTTAAATGATACTTAAGAAAATGAGACTGTTATGAAACTACTTGAAGAAAACACACAAAACCTGTATTTGATGAAAGACTTGTATCTGGCCTGAAGAACTCTTACAATCCAGTAGTAGGATAATATGATTTTTAACATGGGCAAAAAATTAGAAACTTCATGGAAGGTATAGAATTACAAAAACATTTGGAAAATAATCACCAGCTGTCACAGAAATACAAAACGAAATGGTGAGACAGCCCTAGCACCCATTTGCAATGGTAAACTGAACTAACAATACAAGTGTTGACAAGGTGTTGACAAACTATAACTTTCATATTTTGCAGATTTCCAGTGACTTTTAATTTGGTAACTTCTTAGAAAGTTAAACATAAATTTAACCACATAATCCAGCAAACACATTCTCAGATTGTATGCCTAGGAGATACAGAAATCAAGAAGACCTCCACATGATGCTTAATAGCAGCGATTCCTCAGAGAATCCAATTGTCTTTTGATGGGTAAATCAAATATGAGATTATCTATACAAATATTCTACTTTTTGGAGGGAGAAGACCCTCTCCAGCAGTTCTCAGGCTACTCTCAGCCCAACTGTGCTGGTTCAGTGCTTGGGCACCAAGTGGCAAAGGTACATGATATTGCATTATTATTACTTATGTAAAATGTATATAAGTATATGTATGTTCAAGATGAAAATAAACTCTCTTACCTTTGAGTAAAAATAGATAACTAGTGAGAAATTATGTGCACAAAACTCTCTGTACATTCATAAATATCCATAAACTATAGCTGGCATTTAGGAAAAAGTATCTTTACAACTAATATACCCCCAAATTTCCAATCTACAACCCAACCCAAAGCAGACAAAATAAAAAGGACCTTAAACTTAAGGCTGGAGTGATAGCACAGTGGGTTGAGCACTTGCCTTACATGAAGCTAATCTGGATTCAATCCCTAACATTCTATGTGGTCCCCTAAATTAGCAGTGATCCCTGAATAAAAAAATCAGACCTGAGCACTGCTAGGGTAGCCCCCAAATAAACAAATACAAAAAAAAAAACACACACCCAAAAAACAAACAAAAAAAAACACTCAGGTTTTTGCATTTCTGTAAATATCCCATAAACTACAGCTGGGCATTTAGGAAAAAGTATCCTTACAACTAGTATACCCCCAAATTTCCAATCTATAACCCAACCCAAAGATAATCTCGTGTTACATACATGAATAGATTTTCCCTTTTGATCTGAGTGTATATTTTATGTACAACACAGCACAGGTATATTCTCCAATACACAATTTATAAGGTAAATACAGACTGCAGGTAAGTGAACTTACTTCAACCATTCCTTGATGGGATCAAGAGAGGCTACAGGAATGGCATTGATCATAGTCACTTTCTTGCTGTAATCCTTGTAGACAATGACCATATCAAAGTTCTTCAAGTGAAACTGGACCCTCTCAAAGTGAATCAGTTCCACTTCATCCAATGTCACCACAAAAGGTGGCTGTGAGGAAAGAAGGGTCATTATTGTATAAACACATCACCAAAGCACAGGCATTTTCTTTTTATCCCTCTTTCCTGCTTGTTTTTGAGTCACACCTGGTGGTGCTTGGGGGCTAATCTAAGATGTCTGCTGGGGGATCAAAATCCTTAGAGGGATCTTTCGGCTCTGCAGTTTCAAATATTTTGCAGATCTAAATTTTGCCAAAGCAGGAGTCAGAGAGTAAAGGGGTTTAGGTGCTTGGTTTGCATCCTGTCAACCTCAGTTTGAATCTGAGGACCACATATGGTCTGCTGAGCACGGCCAGGGGTCACTCCTGAACACAGCCAGGAGTAGTCCCTGAGCAATGCAGGTATGGCCCCAAATAAAAAGTTTACTAAAGTATAACTAAACTTTTTTCAAAAACTGAAAAGAACCAGAGAGACCACTCAAAGCATGTGCTCAAACTACGTTTAATCCCTGGCACTGCACGGTGAGTACTACTAACCATTGCTGGATATGGTCCCCCAAACAAACAAACAAACAAAAAAACACAAACAAAAAACTAAAAGCCAAATTAAAAAAAACTAAAGGCAAAACAACATCACAGGAAGTCACACAAAAAAGAAAGTCTTTAATTAAAGAGTCTATGTGTGTGTGTGTGTGTGTGTGTGTGTGTATGTATGTAGTGGTCGGGGTGGGGCGCTAAGGAGTTCTCCACCCAGCGTTGTAGAGGATCAAACCCGCTGCCCCTACACACCAAACAAATGTTCCAGTCATCTAAGCCTTCTCCCATCTCCTGGGTTCAATTTTCCTTTTTAAATTTTTTTTTGTTTTCGGGTCATACCCAGGTGTTCAGGGATCATTCCTGGTGAGACTCGTAGGAATATTTGTGGTGTCGGGATTCAAAATGAGGTCAGCTGCAAATAAGGGAAGTGTCTAGCCCTCTCTCTTTGGCCCCTAATTTTTCTTCTTAAATTCATTTTATTTTTCAGATTTTTGTGGTGACAGGGATCAAACCCAAATAAGTCCTCTACATGCAATGCTAAGGCTCTTTTATTGAGCTACATCCCTGGTCCTAATAAGTCTAAAAAAACCCTGGTTTAATAAGTTTTATGTTTTAAGTTAAGTAGTATCAAAAGTGAGTATCAAAACCAGACTCTAGTCAAACACTGTTTTCCTTAGTTTTGGTATTTATTTATTTATTTTTGCCACACCAAGTTGTGTTCAAGGGCTATGCCCAGCAAGGTGCTCAGGGATTGAACCGGGCCTGCAAGAATGAGCTCATCTTATTGAACCATCTCTCTGGCCTACTCTTACTAAAAAAAAAAAAATTCTGGCTAGCTCTGGCTTGCTCTCCCTTAAACATGTATTTCCCCTCCTCCTCTCTCCTCACATTGCTTTTTTGTTTGTCTCTTTTTGAGCCACACCTGGCCATGTTCAGGATTTCCTCCCGGCTCTGTGCACAGGGCACTCCTGGCCGGGTTCGGGGACACATGGTGTACCAGGATCAAAGCCGGGGCAGCTGTGAAGTGGGTGCCTGACCCACTGTATTATGTCTCTGGTCTTCTCTTCCCTCACATACTTCCTAGTAAGTTTTGTTCAATAGAAATTATTTTGCTTCACTAAAATAAGACCATTTTCTTTTTTTTTTCTTTGCTTTTTGGGTCACATCTGGCGATGCTCAGGGGTTACTCCTGGCTCATGCACTCAGGAATCACTCCTGGCGGTGCTCGGGGGACCATATGGTTTGCTGGGAATCGAACCTGTGTTGGCCATGTTGGCTGCATGCAAAGCAAACGCCCTACCCGCTGTGCTATCGCTCTAGCCCCCAATAAGACCATTTTCTTAATGTGGCCAGGGAAAGAGCCTGTGGGAAAGCAGATGCCAAGCTGCAGGAAAACAAATTCAAATCCCTGCACTGCCAAAACCAAAACCAAAACCAAACAACCATAAAACAATTTTGTTTGTAAAAAAGGAGGTAAGAAATACTCACCCATTCCGTAGCATTTACTAGTGCACTACTAGTGGGCTGAAGAAGGCAGGTACTCCTATAGGGAGCTCCATTAAATCTGAAATAAGAATTAGATAAATGCACTTAGGAGGGTGGGAGCGATGGTATAGTAGCTGTTTCCCTCACATGTGGCCAACCCGGATTTGATCCCCGAGCCCAGCAGGAGTGATCCCTGAACACAGGAGTATGCCTGGAGAATAGCTAGCTACAAATCCAAAACAAATAAATATAATAAAAATAAAAATATAAATGCACTGGGGCTGGAGCAATAGCACAGTGGGTAGGGAGTTTGCCTTGCATGTGGCCAACCCGGGTTGGATTCCCAGCAACCCATATGGTCCCCTGAGCACGGCCAGGGGTAATTCCTTAGTGCAGAGCCAGGAGTAACCCCTGTGCATTGCCGGGTGTGACCCCCCCCCCCCAAAAAAAAGCACTTAGGTCTGGGCTCACTGTAAAAGAAGCAGCTGCTGCCACAGAAAACTCTCTTTTGGGGGGCCACATCCAGTGGTGCTCAGGGATTACTCCTGGCTCTGCACTCAGGGAGCAATTGGCAGGACAATATGTGACGCTGGGAATCAAACATGGGTCGGCAGTGCGTGAGGCAAGCACGCTTGCCATTTCTCCAGCCCCACAAACACAACTCCAACAAACTCAGATTATTTCTAGAAGTTTTGCAGTCTTAAGTTATTTCCCCTTGCCCTGCATCAAAGGTTATCAGACACAGGAATAATGGCACATGTTAAATACTATTTAGTGAAAAATATCTAAGATTCCTCAAAGATACACCAAAGTATCAGGCCACAAAGAAGATTAGATATGTTACCCCAAGTCCCTAAAAGGCACTTCAAATTCCAGTTCTTCCTTAGTTAGAGCCTCTACTTTTTCAATGAAATTTTTAAAGGCTGTTTTCAGTTTGTGCCTCATTTCTCGTTCCATCTGTAGAAGAAAAAAAGTACTCATTGACTTCAAAAGACCCAACTACATAACTGTGCTACTAATACATATATATCTTATTATAAGCCACCATAGCGTTAATTGCAGAGTTAAGTCTACAACCCAAGTCTAATATGTAGGTCACTGGAGACTGTCATTCTGCAAATGGATTCAGGAGTTCTTATTACAATTACTACCTCAATTTTGCACTAAACTTACTTCATTATTCTGAAAATAAAGCACCCAATATAACAGACCTGCTCAGCATAGAGGTCATCTCGGTCATGCATATGCTGGTGTTTCCCCAAGTCTGTGGTGATCTCTCCCACTTCTGTATAGAACTGCACATCTGTGTGTCTCTTCTTCCCAAACATGATGGCATTCTGAGGGCGGAAAGCAAAAAGATTGGGGCCGGAGTGATTAACACAGCAGGCAGGGTACTTGCCTTGCATGTAGCTCACCAGGTTTGATCTCCAGCACCCCAAATGGTCTCCAAAGCCCCATCAGGAGTGAACCCTAAGCACAGAACTAGGAGTAAGCCCTTGAGCATTGCCAGATGTGGCCCCAAAGTAAATAAATTTATTCTAGAAACCAAAACACATACAAAAATAATAAAACTATCATAAATATAACAGCATAAGTCAATATTTATGGGGATTCATTTGGGAATAAAAAAGGTGTAAAAATTTATAAGCACTATTATAATGAACTTTGGAGATTATGTCCCTAATTGTGACTAACAAATATTATTTATATATGATAAAATACATATTTTATCATGTCCTTTCTTATCTGTATCAGAACTCATACAGAACAATGAGTTATGGGTTGGAAAACAGGATTTAGTTTCTGCACCTGTCTGAAAGTCTTTGTCCACCCACAAAAGCGCTGATGACACAATTTTTATTTCAGAAAAAGGAACCTCGAAAAGGCCTTTTGTTTTTTGGGGGGTCATTATATCGCTTATACTGAAGGAACCTTCTACAAGACACCGTGGATTTTACAAACAATAGTCTGTTCAGAACTCATAATAATAATTTTATGTGTTATGTGCTATTTTTAAGCACCATTTTAAAAAAAAGTCTTGTCCAAGATCTCCTAACCTAAAAAGCAGCTGCAGCTGAGCAGGAGAGTGCTTTCTCTTCATTTGTGAAGCCTCATGTTCAATCCCCAGCATCACAAAAACAAACAAAAACCCACACACTCAAAAAAACAAAAAATAAAACAAAAAAAAGGGGTCAATGTGGTAATACAGGAAGTAAGGCATTTCCTACGCATGTGGCCCGGTATAATTTGTAGTACCACATGCTTGATTTAAACAAAAAAAAAATAAAGTTTTTTGTTTCTGGGCTCCACCTGGCAATGCTCAGGAATTACTACCTATCTGCTGTACCCGACTGCTTGATTAAAATTTTTATATATCTTTTATTCCCAAAAGTAAAAATTTATGCTGACACTGGGGATAGTTTTATTTATTTTTTCTTTTTGGGTCACACCTGGAAATGATCAGGGGTTATTCCTGGCTCTGCACTCAGAAATTACTCCTGCAGGTGCTTGTGGGACTATATGAGATGCCAAGGATCGAACCTCGGTTGGCAGCCTACAACATAAATACCCTACCCACTGGACTGCTGCTCTGGCCCCAGTTTTATTATGTTTTTGATTCTCCAAGCCCGCGATCACGAGTGGTCCCTGACTTTAGAACCAGGAGTAAGCCCTGAGCACTGCTGTGTGTGACCCCCTCACCAAATAAACAACACCTCTCCACCTCGACCCCATGAAACTTCAAAAATCCCCAAAAACCTCCTAAGTAGTAAGTAGAAAAGTTTACCTTGAGGTGAAAGTGCAGGACAATAATCATTTCTCCATCACAGGGTTGGAACAGAGCATGCTTGATGTTATTGTACAGAATATCCACTTTGTCTCCTCGAACAGATGTAAAGCGAAAACCTGTGTGTGTATGCGGGGCGAGGGGGGTAGTTAGAAAATGAAGTAGCTAAGTAACTGCTCAGTTGCTCCAGCATTAGACTGAGTCCAAAGGCAGAGTATCTTTTCTGGCTGAACTGAGTAAGGTCAAATGAAAAGTCAGCAACAGCTATACTGGGCTATCCTATCCTTCTGACAATGAAGGGTACAAGAGGATTCCTCCCTGAGTTTCTCTGAATTGCCCCTGCCCACCTCCCCACAACCCAAAAACACCCTGAGCACAAGAAGGATCATCCCTACCATTGACATGGGCTTCCAGGGAGCCCTGCATTCTCTTTTGGGCAATGTTTGGACGAATGTACAGATCTTTAAGTTTGGGGTTACTTCGGTTGAGATTGATCACCAGTGAGTCTTGCTTCACAATACCCTGTGCAGAATAAAAAGTAGAGTGAATTCTCAAGTATCTTTATATTTCCCCAAGTCTTCTTTTACACAAAGGGCTTTGTCTGTGTTCAGGCTCACCTCCTTTTCTTTCTCTTCCGCTTCCCGCGTCTTATAGCGCTTCTGTACTTCTTTTATAATTCGGAAAGCATTCTGAAGGTTCAAGGCTGGTACTGTCTGCTCTCCGGGTGCCTTCATATTTGAAGCTCGATACGTACTGATGAAGAGGGGAAGCAGTTATATAATTTTCTGGTCTTTGTTTTATTTTTGAGCCATACCCAGAGGTACTGAGGGCTTACTCCTGGCGGGGAGAGAACCCAGGACAGATGCATACAAGGCAATCAGCCAAGACGCTGTACTATGGCTCTGGCACCAAGTATATAAATTTATTAAATTAGGTAATCTGCATTTGTGCACTTTATAACTGTATTCATAACCTTTAGGGGAAAAAAGGCATATTTTTCTCTTATTCATTTTATTCTGGATTGGTGAGACAATAACTGGAAAGTTGAAAACAAAACCAACAAAATAAAATCTCTTTGTTCTCTCCCACAGAATACTGCACACTGATAATCTGCTGGTGGGTGAAATCAATTATTTTTCTTTTCCTTTTTTGAGGGAGAAATGGTAGTGTTTGGGCGACACGTGGTTCTGTGCTCAGAAAACCGTGCACAGTGAACCTTGAGGTACCACTCACAATTCTAGGAATAAACCAGGGCTGTTCACATTCAGGGCAAATGCCTTAACCCCTGTTCTAGATCCAGTCCCCAGTCGCTTATTTTTCTTTTTGGGGGGCAACATCCAGCGGTTCAGGACTCATTCCTGGCTCTATGCTCATAGATAGGCTAAATGGGATGATAGGGATCAGCTGCATGCAAATCAAGTTCTCTACCCAGCCCCTCACTGATTTTTTTCAAATGTGGTATTACCCCCCTAAATTATTCTATTTCACACCAGGAAAGAGCAGAATTCAATGTGACATGTATTTCCTTATTTGAGATTATGAAATATGTACTAATATTTTCATCATCATAACAGGACGAAGCTCTTAAGGTGATTCTACACAAGTGCTGTGAGGAGAGGCGCAGCAGAGAAGGAAAGTTTCACCAGCCAGCAGTGACTAGGGGTGGCTTTTGCCTAGGGACTCACATTTCCTTGACAAACGTGGCTTCTGGGTTAGGAAAGATGTTGCCCTCATTCCTGCCCAGAGCACTGCCTGGGCAATAGAAGTTGATTCGCAAGTAAGTGTAATCTCCTTCCACGGACATACTTATATTCTGTTCAAAGAAAGGAAAAACATTAAAACAAAGACAAATGTTTTTTTCTAGGAAACACTGGTGATTATAGAAATCTTAAAGTTAGATTAGGGGTACAACCCTAGTCTCTAAAGCTTACTCTTAATCTAAGACATAGTTCATCTTTTTTTCAATGACTAATTTCCATAACAATCATTAGTTTTTGGGATGGGTATGGCTTCTGGACCACACTCAATGGTGCTGGGGTGAGGAGACGACCCCCACAGAAATGCTCAAGGGTCACTCCCTGTATGCTTGGGGGACTGTGCTGTGTGTGAAGGGTGTGCCCCGAAACCCCTAAGTACACTGAGCTATGGGTATCACTTAGCTTTTAAGAAAGCTTTTACCATGTGCCCAATACACAACTGGTTAAAAAAAACTTAGAAGTTCAAGGAAAGACAAGCAAATGCTGTTTTCAGACAAGATAATTTTACTGTTCGAAGGGAAAATTGAAAAGGAAGAATTTTAGCAAATCAGAGAGGAGTAACTCTGAAAGTAAGAAGTGTAGAGTTTCAATGTGAAGAGAGTAAGAGACAATTTAGACAGAACAATCCACAAGCCCAATTCATGTTTTAAGAAGCAGTGCACATGGAATTTAATTCAAGTTAGTACCTTGATTGTGGCAATATGAAAAGGTGTTGCAATGCCAAACACAGGCATTATTACAGTCTCATATTTCTTATCAATATAGATCTTCATTTCCCGAATATGTGGCTCCTTAGGCATCAAAGACGGATTTTTATAGGACACATTGGATTTGCGAGCTCTAGCGTAGAGACAAAGAAGCATCTTTCATAAATGTCTGCAAATCACATATAACCTAAGAAACCTTCCTGCTCAATGCAAACTTACTTCTGAATCTGTTGTTCTCCTTTCTGTTCAGTCAGTCGTCTCTTGGCTTCCTCATTAAGTTGAGCTGCCAATTCTTTTTGATGTGCTCTTCGCTTCTCTTCTGCCGTCATCTCATTCTAAGGAAGGAGTAACTCAAATGATCAGCACATGTGACCCTCTGACATAAATATCGGTAAATCACACATAACCTAAGACAATCTCAATATTGTTTAAACCAGTAAACTTACTCGGGTTCTTTCCGTAAGTAATGCTGCCCGAGAACCTCTTCCTAGCAGGTCCTCGGCTTCATCTTTTTCCTCTTCCTCTTCTTCCTCATCCTCATTCTGTGGAGGAAAAGTCAGAATCAGAAATTCAAGTCTTAATTTCTTCAGTAAGTATTAGCTGTTTCTTCCCTGAACAAAACTTTCTACACAACTTGTGGTCATCTTCATCCTACCTTCAGAAAAATTCCCATATTCTTTACTTTCTTCTTCACCGAAGTGAGAACAGTGGCCGGTCCATCCTAGAATAAAAGAAAAAAGTCAGAGCCTTTAAACAGAAACATACTTTTAAACAAAATGTACACCTGGGCAATGCACCTTCTAAATGAATACTAAAATGGTTTTTTGGCGGGTAGGGTTTGGGCCACACAGAGTGATGCTCAAGGATTACCCTGGTGGTGCACAAGGGACCACATAGGATGCGGGGGATCAAACCTGGGTAGAATACTAATATTTATGATAATAAATAAATCCCATTTGTATATTACCAATTTCTGATTATAAGCTATATTTTGAGAGGCAATACTAAGATAATAATTAAGAATACAGATTTGATTTGAAACCTGAGTAAATCATTTTCCTAACATTTGGCAAATTATTTAAACTTCTCTTGCCTTAGTTTTCTGGGTATGAGGTGAATATATAGTTCATATGGTTACTGTATGGATTTAACGAATTAATGTATAAAAGTGATTACCTTATAATATGAACACTGAGTTGTTAGCAACTAGATCCTGCTAAATGAAAGATTAACAGTCAAAGACCACAAATGTTTGGAAGAGACAAATACTGAATGTAAAAAAAGTTTAGTCATTGTCTAGGTCAGGGGGACTAGGAGTGAAAAGAGGGAGTGACTGTTAATGGGTATTGACTTTCTTTGTGAGGTGATTAAAATGATCTAAAATTAGATTATGGGGATGGGCTGCACACTGTGAACATACTAAAAAAAATTCACTTAAATTTTATGCTTTTAGTGGGTAATTTGTATGATGTGTAAATTGTAGCCCAACTGGTTACTAAAAATTTAAAAACTGGCATTCCATACTGGAAATTTATTTAAAAATATTTCTTAATGTACTAAACCAAGTTTGTATAGGATTTTTTTACTTACTATTCTTTTGTTGTTTTGTTTTTTGATTTTGGTTTTTGGGCTACACCCAGCAGTCCAACAGTGTTAGTCCTGGTGGAGCTCAAGGGACCATATGGGTTGTTGGGGCTAAAACCTGGGTCAGCCCCATGAAAGCCAAGTACCCAACCCACTGTACTATCACTCTGGTCCCAGTGTCACAGAATTTCTCCCCTCAATTAAGCACTGGACTTTTCCCAGCATCCCTCATGGTCCCCCAAGCACCTCCAGGAGTAATTCCCAAGTGCAAAACCAGGAGTAACCCCTGTGCATAGACAGGTGTGACCCAAAAAGAAAAAAAAAAGAAACTACTACACTACTACTGATGACGATAATGAGTATCAAACTAGGGTCTCCCACATGAAAAGCATGTACCCCAGTCCTATGAGCTATCTTTCTAACCCTTAACAAAGACATTTAAGGAAAAACAAACAAACTAAACAAACATAAGCTACAAAACTGTACCTCAAAAGTCTATAAACACAGTTGGGTAGGTAGGGGGAGAAGGTCTATAACCGTTCAAGGGCTTAAGAAGCAATACAAACCTCATCCACAAGGACTGTGTCTCCAATGAATAGGGCATAAGTTTTCTCTTCTGGTTTCTTCCCGTCTTTGTTGGATAGATCTGAGAATCCCAAATTGATGCTGAAAACCATCCCTAGAACACAAAAAGAGGAATCAATCTATAGTAATAAATCACAAGTTTTATACAAAAAAGGTGATGATGAATCAAAATGAAATAAAATTTTAAAAAAAGTTATTTTCTTAGGCAAGGAAGATTGTAGAGGAACCTGCTTGCTATGGATGCAGCGGACCCCATTTGAGTCCCCAATACCTCATATGGTCTCCAAAACACCTCCAGATGTGACAGTAAGAGTCAGACTTAAGTCAGACTTAAGAGTACTACCGATTGTGGCTCACTCCCAGATGTGGCCCCAAGAAAAAAACAAAAGGCGCCTGTCTTTCATTTGGCAGAACCAGGTTCCCCATGTGTCCTGAGATGCAGAAGTGACCCTGAGCACAGAGCCGGGACTAAGTCTTGACCACCTGCAGTATGGCCCCCAAACAAATGAAATGTATTTTCTTATTGCATACCTGTAAAACTTACCTTTCTTTAGTTTGTACTGATTTTTACTATTAATTACTAAAGATCCTTCACGGAATTCAATTCCCATTCCAAACCTAAAAAGGAAATGAAGATAGTTTCAAAAAAGGAAAAACATGTTGAATGATTCACTCCTCTTGATCAGCAAATTAAAGAAGCAGATTTAGGGACTGGGGAAAGAGTATAGCAGATAGGGCATTTGCCTTGCACGTGGCTGGCTCAGGTTTGAACCCTGGTATCCCATATAAGGCCCCCCCAAGCCCACCATCAGTGACAGAGTGCCGAGCCTGGAGTAACCCATGAGCATTGCCAGGTGTGGTCCCAAAACAACAACAATAACAAAAAGAGATTCAGAATCTTTAGGCCCTTACTATGCTGAACATAAATGACTCATTAAGTACCTCAAGATAACTTTTCTTTGTCTGAGTCTAACTTTCAGCTTATTCACTCATTAAATCTTTAATCTTCTACTAAAACATCAAAACAGGGTTTTTTCCTTTCTTTTTCTGCAGGGAGCCTGTTAAGGACTATATAACCAAGTCAGCACTAACTGTATTAAAGAGGCATATTTCACTGGAATCTTGTTAATTATATTCATTAAGTCTCTTTGGTCCAGACTTATGCGATAGGTAGGGGCCAGAGAGATAGTACATGGGTTAATGCACTTGCCGTATATCCTACTGACCTCACTTTAGTATCAATCACATATGTTCACTGGAGCACACCAAGAGTGGTCACTCCCAAATCAAAAATCAAACCAAACTAAACCAAAAACACAGACTTCGTTTATAGGTCAATATAGCCCTCGACCAGAAGTCAAAAAAAAAAAAAAAAAAAAGATCTATAAAGCTAGTTTTCATTAAGGTTTTGTTTTCCCAAAATGTTTTTTGTTCTGTAAGATGTATTAGGTATATTTCTAAATTTTCAATGGCCAAAAATATTGTAGAAGCACTGGACTAGATAAAGATTTAGGTTGGGGAGATGGCTGAAAGGGTTGAATGCACACTTTAGATATAGAGATCTGGGTTGAATTTCCAGCACAGTAGGTCTCAGAGGGCATGAAGCCCTACCCAAGGAAATTTGCTCAAGCGGGCCCAGTAACGTCTCCATTGGAGACTTTGTTGTTACTGTGTTTGGCATATCGAATACTCTCGGTAGCTTGCCGGGCTCTCCGAGAGGGGCGGAGGAATCGAACTCGGGTCGGCCATGTTGGCCGCTTGTAAGGCGAACGCCCTACCCGCTGTACTATCGCTCCAGCCAAATAAAGTATTTTATTTATTTGGCTTTTTTGGGTCACACCTGGCAATGCTCAGAGGTTACTTCTGGTCCTGTACTCAGGAATTACTCCTGGCAGTGCTCGTGGGACCACATGAGATGCTGGGGATGGAACCTGGGTCGGGTGTGCGCAAGGCAAAGACTCTCCCTGATGGACTTTCACCCTGGCCCTATCTGTTGATGATACCTGGCAGTGTGCAGGGTTTACTCCTGATCTTCTATCATGGACCATATGGAATACTACAGATCAAACGTAAGCTAGTGGCTTGCAAGGCAAGTGTCCTACCCACTGTACTATCCCCTCTGGCCCCAAATAAAATCACATGAATAGTGATAGTACAGCAGGTAGGCACTTCATGTGGCTGAACCAGCTTCATTCCCCAACACCCCATATAGTCCTGATTCCACCAGGAGGGATCCCTGAACACAGAGCCAACATTAAGCTCAGCAACGCCAAGTGTGGTCCAAAAACAAAACAAAACAAAACAAAAAACGGATTCAGAATGTACATCATAGAACCCTACCCCAAGTTTTTGGTGATTTTGTTCAATAGCTCCGGCTTCTGCTTTTTAACCACATCCATGACAGCGTTATACACATCACATATCTTCACACCTATTAAGATAGAAAGGAAATATTAAAATGTCTTTCAAGACAAAAACAACTCAAGTATACTTTTCCTTTTCAGTGCCAGGAATTGAACTTGAGGTCTTACACATGCAAGTGCTCTATGCTGAGCTACACACCTGCCCCTCCCAAACGCAGTTATTTTGGGGATTCTGGACCGTAAGCAGCAGTGCTTAGGGGATCTAAGTGATGCTGAAGATTGAGCTGGGTCAGTCACATGCCAGGCAAGCGCCCGAACCCTGGTACTGTCTCTGTGGCTACTATCTGCATCTTTCTTATAATAGAAGGCAGAGGAGAGACATATACCCAGCAATGTTACTCCGGGCTCAGTACTTAGGGGATTGTGTAGTGCCAGATATCAAACCTGTGCCTCCTGCATGCAAGGCATGTACGTACTTCATCCTATTGGGTTATCTCTTTGTTGCCTACTGCTTACCCCCATTTTTATAAACTTTCTTTTCAGGTTCTTCCATGTGTGAGCAAAGGAATGTAGCTGCAGGAGTGGCAGTGCTAAGAAATTTGCATTCTAAAAAGAACATACTTAGGAAATTGGAGAGACAGAACATTGGCTAAGGGATTTGCCTTGCACATAGTTGACCCAGGCTTGATCATTGGCACCACGCTGGTTGCCCAAGCCCTGCTAGGGGTGACCCCTGAGCACAGCCAAAATAAATAACAATTCCAAAGAAACCAAACAAAAGTGATCACTCAGGGACCAGTGGGATAGCTCAAGGACTACAACTTGTGCCTGACATCATGTGGTCCCTAGTTCAATCCCTAGTTGCACAGAGCCCTCTTAGCAGAGATGGGCAGAGCCCTGGTGGCCACCTCACCATTAAACCACCCACCCTGCACAGTGAGATTGAGTACCACCAGTATTAATCGCTGGGCCCACTTGAGCACTACTTAGAAGGCACCTCAAATACAGAACCATCACCACATCCCACTGTGTTCTGAGATCACTCTTGGTAGTATTTGGGGTGATTATATATCATCTCCTGGATAGAACCTGGGTGAGTAGTTAGCTGTGTGCAAGGCAAGTGATCTATCCAACGTACTACCCCTCTAGCTTCCCTGTCATTTTTTCTTTTTTTCTTTTTTTTTTTGGATCACACAGGGCTGGAGCGATAGCACAGTGGTAGGGCATTTGCCTGGCGCACAGCCAGCCCGGCCAAGCCGGGTTCGATTCCTCTGCCCCTCTTGGAAGAGGCCGGCAAGCTACCAAGAGTATCTCACCCACACAGCAAAGCCTGGCAAGCTACCCGTGACGTATTCATATGCCAAACACAGTAATAAGTCTCAAAATGGAGACGTTACTGGGCCTGCTCGGGCAAATCGATGAATGGGAGGACAGTGACAGTGTATTTGGGCTGGAGCGATAGCACAGTGGTAGGGCATTTGCCTTGCACATGGCTGGCCTGGCCAAGTCAGGTTCGATTCCTCCGCCCCTCTAGGAGAGGCTGGCAAGCTACCCATTCAATATACCAAACACAGTAACAACTATTTTCACAATTTGTTGTGAGACGTTACTGGTGCCTGCTCGAGCAAATCGATGAACAACGGGAAGACAGTGCTACAGTGCTACAGTGGGATCACACACCCAGCAATGCATAGGAGCTACTCATGACTCTGCACTAAGGGTATTCCTGGCAGTGCTTGAGGGACGATATGGGGTGCTGGGGATCAAACCTGGGTCGGCTGTGTGCAAGGCAAATGCCCTCCCTGCTGTACTACAGCTCCAGCTCCCTCCCAGTCATTCTTAATCTAGGAGTCCATGGAACACCAGCTGACCATAGTGAAATACTTTAAATGCTAACAGCAGCATCATAATAATAACATTTTTAGTTTTATTTCTTTATACTTAAGTAACATGGTTTCAACAGTGGGAACATTTATGTTTTGATATAGTTACTACGCCTCGCTGCCACCAATGTGCCAGGACCCTTGCCACTGTATGTTACTTCTAATCCACCTCTTACCTCGCCCAAACTAATAGGTATACATTTTTAATTGTTTTTTTTTTGGGTTTGTTTTTATTTTGGGGCTATACCCTATGGTTTGCTCGAGCGGGCCCAGTAATGTCTCCATTGGAGACTTTGTTGTTACTGTGTTTGGCATATTGAATACGTCACGGGGAGCTTGCCAGGCTCTGCCATGAGGGCGAGATACTCTGGGTAGCTTGTCGGGCTCTCCGAGAGGGGCGGAGGAATCGAACTCGGGTCGGCCATGTTGGCTGCGTGCAAGGCAAACGCCCTACCGCTGTGCTGGTTGGGCCGGAGTGATAGCACAGCGGTAGGGCGTTTGCCTTGCACGCAGCCAACATGGCCGACCCGAGTTCGATTCCTCCGCCCCTCTCGGAGAGCCCGGCCAGCTACCGAGAGTATCTCGCCCGCACGGCAGAGCCTGGCAAGCTCCCCGTGACGTATTCGGTATGCCAGACACAGTAACAACAAAGTCTCCAATGGAGACGTTACTGGGCCCGCTTGAGCAAATCGATGAACAACGGGAGGGCCTTTACTTACTTTACCCCATGGTTCTCAGGGCTTACTCCTGGCTCCATAACCACTCCTAGTTAGTGGCCTTTGAGGACCATGTGGGGTGCTGGGGATTAAACCTGGGTTGATATGTGTTCTGCTTGCTTTTCTATTGCTCCAGACACCAGATAGATATACATGCCTTTTGAAACAAGTGAAGAACAGGAGTACTACTGATTTCTAGCCTTAATTTCTCAGAATTATATATATAATTTAAATCAGGAAAATTCAGAAATTGAAGTTTTAAAAGCTATCTGAGTGCATTTTGTCCTCATTAAATGGTCTACTCTATTTCTACCAATAGGACTTAAAATTGATTTCAGATATATAGGAACTGTATTTGGAAGCTGGGCTATCATGGGTATGCCAAAAAAGTGGTTTAAAGGCAGTTAAACTCCTACTTAGCCAATCAAGAGTGAAAGTCTCAAGGGAAATAAGGTGCTAATTATTTTGTTTCCTTTGGAGGTAGTATGTTGATTAGTAGGATTATTAGTTTGATGTGAAACTGAAATTTTTGGTATTCATATAAGTGGGACTGAAGTTACTTTCCAAAGAGAACTGGTCATGGTTGTCTTACGAAGATCTGAACATAGAAGTTAGCCAGTTTGTAAACAATATAAAACCACAATGATCACTCAGGCCGAAAACAAAATAAGATTCAAGAACTAAACGCTCAGATGATTTGGTGTCAATAAAATCTTATTTTATTTTTATTTATGGCTCTTGGGCCATACCTTGCAATGATCACGGCTAACTTCTAGCCCTGAACTCAGGAATCACTCTGGCAGAGCTTGGGGGACCACATGAAATGCTGGAGATCAAACTCGGGTTGGCTGCGTGCAAGGAAAGAGCCTTACTTGCTGTACTATCTCTCTGGTTCTCATTTTATTTTCAGTACAAGAGACTTGGAAATAAAAACCTAAATCAATACTAATGTTTTTGTTTTGGGCCATACCCAGTGTTGCTCAGGGGCTACGCCCGTCTTTGTCCAACGGTGCTCAGGAGACCATGCAGTGCTAGGGATCAAACCCAGGCTCTTGCATCCAAAGCATGTGCTCCAGCAATGAACTCTCTTGCTCTCTTTCCAGCCCTGAATGACATTCTTGTTCCATGATATGCAAATTTTCTCTAAGGTACCTTACCATGTCTTAATTCTTTTAGCATCTCCTCTTGAAGCTGGATCAAAAAGTTGTAATTTTCTTGAACTTCCTGAGAAGGGTCAACCATCAACGTGCGAACAAGGTTGGAACAGTAAGATTTGAAGCGAATGCCCATGGCACAAGTGATGGCTCCAAAGTGCATGTGATTCTTATCACTAAAGCCAAAGAAGAAAGCCATTCATTACTCATACTAGCAAAACCCTTAATGTCACTTAAACAGTAATGACAGTGATTATCTTTTCCTCCTGTATACCAAAGAAGAGGCAGAAGAACTTCTGTGGTTCTATCATTTTTTAAAAAAAAATTTGTGGTCATACCCAGTGATGTTCAGGGGTTATTTCTGGCTCTCTAATCAGGGATCACTCTTGGCAGTGCTCATCAGGGGCCAGAGTAGAGTATAGGAGTAGGGTGTTTACCTTGCACGTGGCTAACAGGCGTTTGATTCCTGGCATCCCAGATGGTTCCATGTCCTGTCCACCCCTTACACACTCTTCGCAAGTACCACCAGGAGTAATTCCTGAGTACAGAGCCAGGAGTAATCCCTAGACATTGCTGGGTTTGACCCCAAACCCACCCCCCAACCCACCAAAAAAATGACAGCTCTGTTTGTGGACCACGTCATATAGGATGTCAGGGATCGAACCTGGGTCAGCTGTGCCGTATGCAAGATAAGTATGTTACCTGCTGTACTATCTCTCCAGCCTCCAGAATAAGAACTTTGTTGTTGTTCTGGGGCCACACCTGGCAGTGCTCAGGGCTTACTCCTGGCTCTGCCTGCAGGGATCACTCCCGATGGGGCTCAAGGGACCATATGGGATCCCAACCTTTTAGAATAAAAATTCAGTAAAGACTGAGCCAGAGTGATAGGACAGTGCATAGGGCACTTGCCTTGTACACAGCTGATTCCAGGTTTGACCCCTGACAACCCATGGTTCCCTGAGAAGCTAGGAGGGATTCCTGAGCACACAGCATCGACGCACAATATTTTCATTATCATTCAGGATTTTCTAAAATTAGAAGAGGTGGGCCAGAGACAGTAGAGCAAGTAGGGTGTTTGTTAGGCACAGGGCTGACCAAGGCTTGGTTCCGTATCAGGGGTGACCCCTGAGTACAGTCAGTTGGGCCATCCCTGGCCCCCTTCCGTCAATCCAAAGGGAATTATCGCATATGGAATATTTATCCAGTAAGGTTTTATTGGTCTTGTTTTGTTTTGGGTCATATCCAGAGGTGCTTGGGGGTTACTTAAAGTTTAATGCTTTCTCCTCAGTGATGTTCAGGGGACTATGCTCAGGAATAAAACCGAAGCCTTGTGTATGCAAACCATGCACTCATTTCATACTGAACTCTCTACCCCTACTAAGATTTTAATGTTTGTTCTAACATGTTTTGTTCTTTTGTTCCCTGCCATATTCAACAACGCACACAAAAAAAATGTTTACAATCAAATGCTCAAGTAACGAATAAGATAAAAATATACATAGAATAGACAAGATAATGTAAAAGGCAGGCTAATGGCTAATAACAAAGCTATTGTTTATAACCTTATAAATTATATTTTTAAGTTGGAGGAGACAGACTAATTTAATGCCTTTAGTATATTCTGCAGTTTTAATTCCTTTGGCTATTAAATTTTTCTTTAGCCATTGAGAGCAACTTCATATTAATCCTATGGAGCGATAGCACAGCGGTAGGGCGTTTGCCTTGCACGCAGCCAACATGGTCGACCCGAGTTTGATTCCTCCGCCCCTCTCGGAGAGTCCGACAAGCTACCCAGAGTATCTCGCCCACATGGCAGAGCCTGGCAAGCTCCCCGTGACGTATTCGATATGCCAAACACGGTAATAACAAAGTCTCCAATGGAGACGTTACTGAGCCCGCTCGAGCAAATCGATGATCAACGGGAGGGCCTTTACTTTTACTTTACATTTTAACATGAACCCAAGAGATTTTTTGACAACTAAAATTTTTTTCTTTCTATTGTTTTATTGAAGAACAAGTTTTTTTTAATTTTTGCTTTTTGGGTCACACCCAGTGATGCTCTGGGGTTATTCCTGGCTCTGCACTCAGGAATTACTCCTGGCGGTGCTTGGGGGACGATATGGGATGCCGGGATCGAATCCGGGTTGGCCACGTGCAAGGCAATCACCCTACCTGCTGTGCTATTGTTCCGGTCCCTGAAGAACAAGTTTTATTTGGAACTTTTGAGGAAGTGGAGAGTGAGAGAAAGAATAATGAGCTCAAAAGAACATGGATTTCTCCAGAGTGGAGAAACACAACCCACCATTTAAATATTAAAGTACGAAAGTACACATCTCCAGAGGGGAAAATGTGGGCACCACGTATATGTGCTGGTAACACATGTGCTCAAGCAATCTAAGTGCTCAGGCAGCTTATGTGCACCAAGATTTTATTTCTTTTAACATTAAAACATTAAAAAAATATTAAGGTACTCTGCTATACATATTCATAGTTGAGTTTAAGGTATATAATGTTCCAACACCAATTCCACCACCAGTGTCCCCAGGTTCCCTCCCACCTCCTGTCAAGACACATTTTTGAGTTCTACAATTAAGTAAAAGTAAAAAAACACTGAAAGCTGACATCCTAACTGCTGTATTTTGAATGTAAGAACCCTTATACTTACCTCACCACACTGAACTTAAGGTTATAATTGCCACCACTCTGAATAATAGGAGGATAACACATTTCCACAGTGGAAGGATCTGCCCCAGCTAGATACTTTTTCTCTTCAATGGCCTTTTCCACAGACTCAGCCAATTTGCTATGCCGAACTTTCTGTAAGCATACCCAGGAATAAAACGATAGTTACTCCCTGAGGGTGGCAAAGAGGAGATTTGGGTTAATGCACTATATGTTGGTATACATGGAAGCAACTTCAGAGAACATGTGGAATTCACAATTACACATGGAAATCTCAACCAACCTCAAGAAAACAACACAGATTTAGAGTTATTTTGAAAGATGGCACCATTACACATCATCAACTTGTGTATCAAAATTTTAATTGGGGGGAGGGTAGTTTAATTCCCCAAGAAGTAGAAAATACATTTTAAAAAAAATCACAAAGTAATGCATCAGGGAGATTACTATTTTCTGCATCATTAAGAGAGTAAAGATTTTTTTCTCCATTTACCTCATCTGCATCGACTATTTCCATGACTCTCTCCTTGAAGAATTTGTTAAAGACTTCAGAAGTGATGCTGGCAGCTTTCTTCATTAAGTTGAGCTCCCCATCCTCCTTGACAGCAATGGTGTAGGCCACAACCGCACTGATATCTACCTGCAATCAAAGTGGTAGGAGTTTATAACATTCACTACGGAACTGCATTAAAGAAAATAAAAAAGTTTATCTCTAGGGGCTGCAGGAGATAGCACCGGGATCACGGGCCCATGCTCTGCATGAGCGAGGTATGAGTCTGATCCCCAACGATGAGTGTACCTCTGATGGACTCTCAGCACTGCTGGGTCTAAGCACTTACCTTAGGAAACCCCCCTCCATGTCCCTAAAACCATCTCTGTAAATAGGAGTACTGTCATCGATAAGCAGAATATGTAAAAAATTATTTTTTTGTGAGGTAAAATAGTCCTATTGAGGGAGGAAACCAATTCTAAGGAGCAAGTGTAATTCTCTACAGCGAGAAGAGAATAAAAAACACAAAGTAAAGGAAATGGATGATCTAGAGGAGACAGGCTACCCCAGGAGGAGTGCCAGTAAAATAGAGATCACACACCAGAGGCGGCATCTGAGCGAAGTGCACCCAAAGCAGGTAACTGAAGTTTACACCCAGACTACTAGAGGATGGAAGCAACTAGATAAAGGACAATTAGAAAAATTACACATCAAACAGGCGACTCCTAAGTGGAGTGGATACAGTGCACAAAACGGTAAAATAGTCTCTTCTTGGACTGAATAAACACTTGGAACAGGTTTTTACTAGATCTTTGTGTGTATTCCAAGAAGAGTCAAACTAATGTACCATTTAAAACGTAAATGTGTTTTTTTTTTTCATTTTTGGGCCATACCTAGCAGTGATCAGATCTTATTTTAGGTGGGGCTTATGGGACCATTATCTGGTGCCAGGGGAGCAAACCCAGGTTGGCTCCATGCAAGGCAAGCCCCTTACATGTTGTACTTTCGTCTCTGTAAATGCTTCTGTCTGAAGATTTTTGTAAAGGACGACAAAAGAAGAAATGCAGGAGAAGTGGGAATGGGAAACCCTATTTTTTGGAAAGGAGATTAGTCTTAATATCCCTCCCAAAGAGGGAAACTATCTCCTGAATGCTTCACTTCCGAATGAGAAGAGTAAAACTGGCTTGTTTTTGCAGAGGGAATAAGAAGTAGAAATGTGAATGTATAAGCTGTTCACCCAAAACAAATTCTCTGTACTATGTGTTATGAAAGTTGGTTATACTTTCAACCTCTCAGCTCTTCTGTGCTACTCTGGGATAGTCTTACTTTGTCAAAGCCCTCTTTGCTGAGGCAGTCGTTCCAGCTCTTCATAAACTCGCCAGGAAATCTGTCTTTGCTGAATACTCCAATCTTCTTGCCATTCTTACTCTCTTTGATGGCTTCAATCATTTTGTCAAAACTGCTCTTATTACTTTCATTCTATCCATGCCACAGGAAAGAAAAGAAAAGAGGTCAATTAGTTTTACAAGTAGCTGTGTATCCTCATAATAGGCACAGACAAAAATTCGAACTGTAAAGAATAAATTTTCCCCCTTTGCTCTACCTATTTTTCTTTTTTGCTTTTTGGGTCACACCCGGCGATGCACAGGAGTTACTCCTTGGCTCTGTACTCAGGAATTACTCCTGGCAGTGCTCAGGGGACCATATGGGATGCAGGGAATCAAACCTAGGTTGGCTGCGTGTAAGGCAAATGCCCCACCCGCTGTGCTATAGCTCCAGCCCCTACCCTACCTACTTCTAAGGGTGGTCTATAACACACCAGAAGTTAACACAAAATTTCTTTGGATGCTTTTATACAGTTAAGTGCCATGTAAGTTGAATTTTCCTTTTTTCCAGGAGCACGTGAAAATTCAAAAAATATTTTGGGGAAAAAAATCTTTTGTCAGGAGGGTATTATGACTCCCTACACCTCCAAAAATCACACTCAAGGGTCAGAGAGAGGGCTCAAAGGCTGAATTTGAATCCTAGATTTGACCCCCACGCTACATGCTCCTGTGAGCATAAAGTCAAGGCCCCAAACAAAAAATACATTTGCCAAAAGCTGGAAACAAGCACATTCTCTATCTTGGAGACTGGTCCAATGAGATAAATGCATTCTCAGCTTTCTACTCTGGAGAAGCTGGTGTCCGCAATGTATTTCTTTAAAAAGATTTTACTTAAAAAGAAAAAACTCTTCACTGGGGCTAGAGTGATAGCACAGCGGGTAGGGCATTTGCCTTGAACGCGGCCAACCCGGGTTCGAGTCCCAGCATTCCATATGGTCCCCTGAGCACTGCCAGGGGTAATTCCTGAGTGCAGAGCCAGGAGGAACCCCTGTGCATCTCCAGGTGTGACCCAAAAGCCAAAAAAAAAAAAAAACAAAAAACAAAAAAAAAACCCCAAAACTCTTTACTTCCAAAAAGTGAATGTGCAACGGAACATTACAGTTATAACCACAGTCAGTCAAAACCTTCCTCTTAGAGTCTTTCAAATTCCCAGATGGAAATTCTGTTTATCCTTTCAAAGGTACTTTCAAATTTATGACTTTTTTTTTAATCATTTCTGACCTTTTCTCGTATCAGCAGTGTGATGGCAGGAGCTCCATTAGCATTCTCATTGCCCTTAGTGTTGGCAATCTGTTTTAAGAACTCCACTTTTTTCTTGCTGGCCATGAAGATGATTTTCTCATCACAGAAGACCATTATAGTATCTGTTAGTTCATAACCAAAGAGCCATGTCTGTGGGAAATAACAACAGTATTTACAGATTTAGAAAGAACAAAAATCAATGTACTTATATAGGAATATTCATACAACAACAGAAATTAACTCCAAATTAACATAGAGTGGGGAAGCCTGCAAATAGACTGAAATGAAATGAGACTGGCCAGGAGTTGACAATTTATTAAAACAGAAAAATGGGACTGTGGCAGGCATACGGGAGTAGATAGATAAAAGCAAATAAAATGTTACTTTCCCGACTGTTTTGTTTGAAAAATTCTGTAAAAAAGAACATCAAATAATGTGGTCATTTGTGTTGCTAGGAATAATAATTTAGTAGGACAGAACCACATAAACAGATACATAGTCGTACCTCAGGAAACTGCATTTTACGCCCCCCCAAAGACTGCTAGTTGTTTATCAATTATTTCTCATCTTTTCTTGTATCTATGTTAAACAATCAGATTAAGCTGAATAAACTTCAAGCAAGTATCCATAAAAATGCAAGGCCTCCCACTTTCTTTCCATTCTCTATTCTTTTAGCTTTAATAGCTACAGTTCTAGCTATTTTTATATGAGGAACACAATGAATATTCCTTAATGGGAGGAAAGATCTAGAAAAAAAAAAAAACAAGGTTCCTTAGTTTCTCTATATAAGAGAAACTATTTACTTTTAATGCCAGGAATCAACCTTGTAAATCCTAGCCTCATTTATTGAATGAATTGTGAAGCACATACTCTACCACTGAGCTATAGTCCCAGCCCCAAAAGGAACACCTGATTTCAGCAGTTATGTAAGTCTTTATCATTAAAAAGTCCACCCCAATTTATATACTTCTATATTTCACTTAAGGTCTAAGTATGTGTATTTTGCTGAATTTCTATGAAAAGATTCTAGATGTACTCTAAGATGACGACCAATATTGAGTACTTAAAACCTTAGATGGAGAAATAGATTTTTTTAAGAATAAAATTTTAATTTATTAATTTGAAAAAAAAAAAAGGAAACAAAAAGTGTCAGTGAGGATGTGGCTAAAAAGGAGCTCCCATACACAGCAGTTGGGCCTTGAGACTTGGGACTGCAGCCTCTTGGAAAACTGTTTTGGAAGGATTTTATTTACTTATTTGATTCATATTTATTTATTGAATCACTGTGGGAAGAATTACAAAGATTTCAGGTTTATGTCTCGGTCAATGATCAAACACCTTTTCCTTCATCATTGTTTTTCACTACCAAATACCCCAATATACCCCCCTCCCACCCCTCCCGATGCCGATGAGGCAGATGATTTCTACTTAACTCTCTATCTACTTAGATTACATTCATCACTTTGACAAAAGATGCGCCATTATTGTTGAGTTTCCACCCAACAATCAGAACTGCTGAAAAGGCATAGTGAAATAATCTGTTTTCGATAGCTGGTTATGAGGACCATATGATTTTGGATTTTTGATATTTTACTTATTAAGTCTGGAGGGATTTCGGCCAAAAGCCAGACAATTACGAGATTGGTTTCAGTGGCTCGGGAGCCATGGCCGTGCCGGAGAGCTGCTCGTGGGGGGCAACTCGTGAACTCGGTAGGGCATGAAGGATGAACCAGGAACGCCCCCCTTCCCATGAGGTTGCAGTTGCCCTGTCACCGCCTGCTATACCTGGCTTTGCAATAAGCTCTGAGGCGGTAGGCACCTTGCTGCAGGGGGGTTGGGGGGGGGGGAATATTAGGGGGAAGGGAGTGACACCCTTTCCCTCCTGGGGAGGCATGAGGAATTTTTTTTTTCTTTTTAGGTCACACCTGGCAATGCACAGGGGTTACTCCTGGCTCTGCAATCAGGAATTACCCCTGGCGGTGCTCAGGGGACCATATGGGATGCTGGGAATCAAACCCAGGTTGGCCAAGTGCAAGGCAAACGCCCTACCCACCGTGCTATTGCTCCAACCCCCAGAAACTGATTTTTAACAGGGCCAGTGACTACCAGACTGAGCAAGGAGGTGTTTCAGAAGTAAACAGTGCAGTCAGCAACCCTTTCACTCACCTGTAAAGCAGTTGATTTGGCATAAACAATTTCTTCATCAACTCCCACTGACACAACAATAGCATCAACATTGGCATACTCATCTTCTCCTTTCTGAAAAATAAAGACCCATAATTTGGTCACTTCCTTTTACGCTAAAAAATATAAGAATATTGAATTCAATATTTATCCAGGATATGTAAAAAAATTTTCATAATAGAAATTTCAAGTTTAAGGCACAAATTTAATTTGCTTGACAACGTCACTGCCATTAGTCCTGTAGAACTCAATAGAGCCATATCTGATGGGGAAGCAACCAACCTGGCCTGGTATATGCAAGCAAATGCCCCAACAACCTCTGTATTTCGGTCCCAAGTTTTTTAATTTACTACTCATTTATACTTATGGTTCAGGAGCACAGGCTTCAAACAGGTACTCTAATTTTTATAACAGCTTTTTTGAGATAAAACACACACAGGGCTGAAGAGACAGCTCAACATGCTGGCTGAATGCATGCGGAGTATGCATGAGGCTTAGGTTTATTTAATATGGTGCATCACATAGGCCCCAGAGCAAGGAGTCAGGAGTAGACTCCTGAACATCACCAGTATGGCCTCAAAACAAAATACAGAAAAGTTTAAATTTTGAGGGGCCACAGCTAGCAGTGCTCGGAGGCCATGCTTCACAGAGTTTGGAAGACTGTCCATGGTGTAGGATCTGAACCACTGTTGGCAGAAAGAACTGCGTGCTTAGAACCAGAGAAAGAGTACCCAGATTAAGGTGCCGTGCCTATCTCTCTGGTTCTAAGTTCAATCTTTAAAACGAAACAAAACAAAACAATACAAAACCACCCCAACCCACAGATAATAATACAATCCACTTATTTAAGGGGGAAAATTAAATGTTTAGTGTTTTCGATTATATACCATCACAGTATAATTTTATGATTACTTTTAATTTTTTGTGGGTGCTGCAGCTGGTGATGCTGAGTGGTGCAGATGAGGGGAAGCAAATGGTGACTAGGGATCAAACTAAGAACCATTACCATTTCATCCACATTCCTGATGAACCAAAAAGAAACAAATGGCAATCATTATCCATCTGCCCCTAGTTGCCAGTAACAAATCTGTCTCCTACAAACTCGACTATTTTGAACACTTTCTATAGATATATTCATATGGGATCTTCTTTTGCTTAACATGCTTTCAAAATTCATTCAGGTTCTTACAGTATCAAATCTTGATCCACCCTCCCCCTTTTCAGTTTTTGGGCCACAGTGGGCAGTACTGGGGAAGCACTTCATATGCAAAGCAGGTATTCTAGCCTTTTGAGTAATCTTGCTGGACTTCTTTGCACTGCTGAAAAATATTCCATAGTACAAAAGTAACACTTATCCAATTAAAAATTTTTTTTTCTTTTTGGGTCACACCTGGTGATCCCCGGGGACCATATGGGATGCTGGGAATTGAACCCGGTAGGCCATGTGCAAGGCAATGGCCCTACCTGCTGTACTATTGCTCCAGCCCCTCTGATTTAAATTTTGCTACAAACAGTGCTATGAACATTCACATAAGTCTTGTGTGGATATAGTACCTCTTGAGTTTTACCTAGGCAAGGTCACATGTCAACCCTACGAATATATCTTCTTTGAAAAACCATCACTTTTTTGTAAAGTGACGGCACCATTTTACATTCTAAACAGCAATGTGCAAGAGTGTTAACCAACACTTAGTTTTCATTACATACATCCAAAGGAAAAGTAACATCAGTTTGTATTTGAGCTTCCCTGACAGTTAAAGTTGTACGATATGTCTCTGGGACCCAATGAGTAGATTGACCTATATTTTCTTCTACAAGTCTTAAAGTTTTAATTCTTATACTCAGATCTATAATAAAAGTTAATTTTTGTATACAATGAAGAAACAACCTTAACTTCAGTCCTTTTGTTTTGGAGCCACACCTGGTGACGCTCAGGGATTACTCCTGCCTCTGGACTCAAGAATTACTCCTGGTGGCACAGAGGCAACTATATGGAATAGCCAGAATAGAACCTATTTCTCTGGCCCTAACCTTTACTTAAAAACAAACAAAAAAACCAAAACCCTCTCCTATCCTTTGTTGTTGTTATGCAATGAATGAGGGTTGCACACATGCCAGGTTGTGATATGTGGCAATTTAAGTTGTGCTCATTGGAGGTCACATCTCAAGTGGTAGTGCACAGTTACAGTGGACACTGCAGTCTACACTCCTGTACACATGCACATGGGGGTGAGCACTCTTAGTTGAGGCATATGAGTTATGGGTGTGGTGTGTGCTGGGGTCAAACAATGCTCATACATGTACTTGGCTAGGGGTTGCACCTCCTGGCTATAGTATCAGTACCCATTTTTGTGGTAGGTAAATACACCTGACTACAATGTAGCTGGAAATCACATGCAGCATTGGAGATGACAGGCAGCACTGCTGATCAGAATTACACAATAGGGGACACTCAGGACATGCAAGGGAGATGTTTTAAGCCATTGTGCCCTGCCTCTAAGACCTCAACTTCAGTATTTTATTTTCAGTCTTTGGGGGCCACACCTTGCTATGGTGCTTGGGGATTCAAACAAGGAATGGACACAAGCAAGGTGAGACTTTCACCTCACAAGTGAATCTCAGAACCGAGCAGCTGGTCCTTGGTTCTGGACCTTGCACCAGGTCAATTTCACTGGGGTGCCTCAGATGGAAGGTGTCATCCCTCCACCTGTCCCCTATGAATCCCAGCAGCTGCAAACCTCCAGAATCCAACGAAAAACTCAGGTACGCAGGACCAGTGACCGAAAACTCCAGACCACAAGAGATCGTGGATGGGTTGCTCCTTCCCATCCCCCTAGCTGTCACGCCCACAAACTGCCACTGGGTGCCATTTAAGGGCATCAATGGTCATGATCCAGAGACTCACAAATGAAATTTCAGAATCGAGCAGCTCACTGCAGAGATGTCTCCAGACCCGTTATTTAAAATTTTAGAATTCCAGGAGCTCGCGGCTGCAAGAGTAGGCATGCAACATCTCATGCGTGCAACGTATATTCATAACAAGCAATACAAAATATATTATCTAGCACCTGCCTGTGGGGAAGGCTTGAGTAGTGGTGGGAAAATTCAAAATAATGGTGGTGGGAAGATGTAATGATGGTGGGATTGGTGTTGAAATAGTGAATGTAATAAATTATTGTGAAAAACTTTATGAAAAATAAAAATTAAAAAAAAAGACCTTAACTTCTGTACTTTTGCCTTCCTAACTTCATTCTTTTACCTTCTTTTCCTGTGGATATCAAGTTGTTCTGGAACCATTTGCTGTAGAGCATTCTTTTTGTATTGGGGCCACATCTGGTGATTATCAGAGGTTACTCTTAGGTCTGCACTCAGGAATTACAACTGGCAGTGTTCAGGGGACATATGGGATGCCAGGGATTGGACCCAGGTGAGCTGCATGCAAGGTAAGCACCAAACTACCACTCCCAGCCCTTTTTATTATTTGGGGTTCTGAAGTCATGCCCAGCAAAGAGTGGGTATGCTCAAAGGCTATTCCTGGGTCTATGCTCAGGTGAGTGACCCCTGGCAGTGCTGGGGATTTTAACTGAGTCTGGCTACATATAAGGCAAGCACCTCACCTGCTATATAATCTCTCTGGCCTAACTAAATTATGGGAGTTTGCTTGTTTTTAACAAAGCCACTGAAGTTAAAGTCTCTCTTAGCACTTGAAATCTTGGTTGAATCAAAAAGGTACCAACATGTACAAAAATTAAAAGTATGGGCTTGGGGAAGAGTTCCAGTGGGAAGCACATTGAAGAGCCTGAATTAAGTCCCTGGCACAAGCAGCTGAGGCCCTGGCAGTCTCAGGAATGGGTGGAAAGACAGCTCCACAATCTTAGAGCATGCAGAGCACACAGACCTTGGGCTCAATCCCTGGTAATTCGTGGTCCCCTGAGTACCCCAGGATGGACCACCTTGAGAACTGTGTGTGACTAACAACAAAATAAAAAAAAAAATTTCAAGGCTTGAATGATAGGCATGCTACTTTTTGTTGATTGTCTTAAGCCCTAAGACCAAATGTCTGCTACCCTGAGCACCACTGGGTACAGCTCTGGAAGCACGAGAACACTTCAGGGTGGCCTTGGGTTATCCCCAACATCAGAGGGTTCAAGCAGCACTGCATCCTCATGCCCTTGTGTGGAACCACTGACTGGTTGGCAGAGAGCTACTGGGAGGAGCCCTTTAGTCCCTCGAGTGCTGCTTTGGAGGACCCCCTACCAAATTAAACAAACAAAAATCCATAGTGAAATTACAAAAACAAAACAAAACCCACAGTGGCCCAGGGATCTGGTTTAGCAGTACAGCTGTCCGCATTGCTTGTGTGAGGTCCTGGGTTCAATCCCTGGCACCACAGGGAAAAAACAATGACAAAAAATAAAGTAGAAAAAGGAGCATAATTTAATAAGCAATAATATGGTAGATAAAAAAATAATCTTAACTTTATAAAACTAAGGATTGAGACTAGAAAGTCTCATTTAGCAGTTTTACAGACAGAGGAAACAAATCTCGAGGACTTAAATGAAATAAAATACCAAATCTTCCACAGCTGATCAAAAAGGTGAGAGAGTGAATACTAATAATTTCTTTGAGAATTTCTTTGAGAATTCAGTTGCTGTGACCATTTCAAAGAATATTCTTTTATTAAGAGCTTCAAACCCTCTATGATCCCTCTGGCCCCTCTTGATTAATTCTTTAGAAAACTGATGAGAAGAAATAAATGCAGTAAAAGAGTTTAAGATACTTAAATATAATTAACTTAGGCAAACTTTTAAAAATGTGACTTAATTAAAAGAATTGCATAAAACCAAGTATTTTGATAGCAAAACTGGAAAACCTTTATTTTCAAACCATATACAAGATTACATTTAACTGTTCTTCTGAAACTGGATTTCTTTTTTTATAATTACGTACCTTTTATTTGACTTTTTGGGTCACACGTGGTGATGCTCAGGGGTAACTCCGGGCTCTGCACTCAGGGATCATTCCTGGCAGTGCTCGGGGGACCTTATGGGATGCCAGGGATTGAACCCAGGTTA